AGGTGTAATGTTTTATTTTTTTTAAAAAGGCATTATTTTTCTATTAAAGAAAATAGCTTCTATTTATTTTAAATTAACTACTCTTTCTAAAGAGAAGTATAAAGGATTTAAATTATAAGAGTACTATAAATAGGTAATTAAGATATAAGATAAATAGGTATTTATTAAAAGATTAAATAAATCCTTAGGGTATAAGCCTTAGGGATTTATAAGTACTATATACTAGAGCTCTAAGGGCCTTACGCTCTTAGCCTAGAGGTCTACTAAAGGTAGGCTAACAGGAGCTTAGATAGAAATACCTATAATATAAAAGGCCTTTAGGTATAAAAAATCTTTAAATACTAGCTTACTTATATAAACTATTATTACCTAAACTACTTTAAAAGCTATCTATTATAAATTTAAAATTACTAGTTAAATATAAAGTTTTTATAACCTAGCTATAGTTTATTATATACTAAAGTTTATAACTAGACTAACCTTTAACTAATAGCTGCCTAGGCTTTTAAATATAAATTTATACTAGTATATAAAGTAAATTAGAACTAAAAGATAGTTAATTTACTTTTTAATACTATTGTTATATACTTTAACTTATATATTATATATAAAAGGGCTAGGTATTAGCTTCTACACTAAGTTACTATATTATAATCTTACTATATAATATTAATCTACTTAAATAATTAGTATAAATACGCTATAAACTAAAAGTAATACTTATAGTATAGCTTATTATTTTACTATAGCTTAAAAATAATATAATTATACTATTAAAAAGGTACTTTATAAAGGTAGTTATAAAGTTATAAAAAAAACTTATATAATATAATTAAGTAAAAGTAGGCTAAAAAGCTATACTAGATAAAAGCTAGTATATCTAATTAAGTAGAAACTTATTACTAATATAAAAATGTAGAACTATAGTAAGTTAATAAGAAAAAGGTTAATATAATAATAATAATATTTTAAAGTAATATATAGGTAATTTTTACTTATCTACTATATATATATAGGCCTATTAAGACTACTATAATACTATAGTACTTTACTTAACTTTAGATAAAACTAGTAATAAAAAAAGATTATTATAATATAAATAAATAATAAATAGTACTTAAGATCTTAGTATATTACTAAGTAAACTACTAATTCAAAGCTAATATACTTTTATAAGAAACTATAGTAATTATTTTAGAGTTTTAGCGTATTTCTACTTATTATATAAGTAAATAGATATTATATAGTAAGATTATAGTATAGTAACTTAGTATAAAAGCTAATACCTAGCCTCTTTATATATAGTAAATATTAGTAAAAGTAAATATAATAGTATTAAAAAGTAGATTAAAAAACTATTTCTTAGTAATATTCTACTTAATATACTAGTGCAGACGTATATTTAAGAGCCTAGGTAGCTATTAGTTAAAGTTTAGCTTAGTTATAAACCCTAGTTTCTATTATAAACTATAGTTAAGTTATAAAAACCTTTTAATTAACTAGTAATTCTAAATATATAATAAGCAGCTTTAAAGAAGGTCTAGGTAATAATAAATTATATAAGTAAGTTAGTATATAAAGATCTTTTATACCTTAAAGCTTTTTAACTTATATTTTATTCTATCTTTAATCTTATCTTACTATAACTTAGATTATATATCTATAGTATAATATTATTACTAGAACCTAGATAATTAAGTACTATATTTTATAGTACTTTAATAAAGTATAGATTACTATATATAATTCCTAATACTATTATAGTACTTTAGATATCTATAGTAAAATTTCTAAAAACTTAACTAAATAGTAAAAGGAGATAAAGGGTATTACTTAGCATAATAGTAATATATTTTATATAAAAAATCTAGATATCTAGTAGTACTTTAAGGTTAATAAAAGGCTTAAGGTAAAGCTTTATAAAGTTAAAGTTTAACTTCTTTTTATATAGGTTTATAAGGCTAATAAGGCTTTCTTTAAGGCTTAGCTCTTTTAACTTAACTAGCTTACTACTTTATAGTATAATTATACTATTTTAACTTTAAATAAAAGCTACTTTAAGTAAGCTTTTAAAAATTCTAAGTAATATAATTAGAAAATAAGATTAGTAAAGGTAATTAGGTAGGTATCGTACCTATATATACTATTATTAGTATAAGAACTAGTAACTATTAGAGTAAAAGTAATAGTAATAGTAATAGTAATAGTAATAGTAATAGTAATAGTAATAGAAAGTAAATAGTTATAACTAGTTAAAACTTTAGCTACTATAGTTAGTATAAATATACGTAATAAAAACTAATAAATAATTAAAAGACGTGTATAAAAACACAATAATAAGATTTTATATTAATCTCTGTCCTTTAGGGAAAACTATAGTTATAAAGTTAATAAAAAGTATAATAATTACTAATATTAAAGTAAGTATACTTATATAAGATATATAACTAAGAAGGCTACTAGTAATATTTATTTTAAAGATAGTACTAGCCTATAAGTAATTATAGAAATTAGTAAAAGATACTAACTTTAGAATAAAGTAAGTAAATAATAACCTATTTAAAGTAATATTATACTTTTACTTTATAAAATTATATATTTTAAAGTTTTAAAAATAGTACTAAAGAAGTGTTAGAGGCTAAATAACTATTTATCTAATAAGAAGGTACCTAATAAGGTAAAACCTATAAGTATAAAGTTACTAATAATAATATATAGTAAGTATAATAATACCTTTTAAAATTATAATGTAAAGATAATAGTAAATAGAACTTTTATAAAATTCTAATAATAACTTATAATAAACTAGAATATACTTACTAAAGTTAGAGAAACTTAGTAATAATATATAGGCCTAGTATAATAGTTCTCCCGACTTAATTAAATAAAATAGCCTAAAGAAGAACTGAAATAATTTAGTACTAAATTTTCTCTAAACATTTTTTTTTTAAAATAGGGTTTAATAAAGTTTAATTTAAGTAACTATATAAAGTAAATACCTATTTATTTACTCTAAAGAATCTAGTAGGTTCGAAAAAACTATTAAAAAAGAAAAAGCTTTATTATAGGTATTTCTATCTAAGCTCTTATTTACCTATCTTTAGTAAACCTTTAGGCTAAAAGTATAAGGCCTTTAGAGCCTTAGTATATTAACTTATAAATCTTTAAAGCTTATACTTTTAGAATTACTTATTCTATTAATAAATATCTATATTATATTTTATCTTAATTACCTGTTTATAGTACTTATATAATCTTATAGTATACTACTTAGTATAGAATAAGAGTAAGTAATTACTAGTACTAGTATAGTACCTTAGATATTACTAATTAGATTTCTAGAAACCTAGTTAAGTAGTAAATTAAAATTAAAAGTATTACTTAGTATAGTAGTAAGACGTTCTACTATAAAGATAGAAATACTTTATTATACCTTAAGCTTACTATTAGACTAAAAGTAGATCTTTATAAAGTTAAGAATAAGTATCTTTTTATATAAGTCTATAAAACTAATAGAGCTTTCTTAATTTTATAGCTTTATTAACTAGATAAAGTTATTAGTAAGCCTAATAATACTTCTACTATAGCTATAGTTATAGGCTACTTTTACTAAGCTTTTATAAAATCTAAGAATACTACTTAGAGAAAAAGAGTTATAGAAGTAATTTAGAAGGTAGAATACATTACTATAAAACTTTATAATTAATATAATAGAAGGTCTAAGTAAATAAATTTTTAAGTAGTAGTATTAGTAATAGTAACTATAAGTAGTATAGTAATAGTAATATAATAAAGAGAATTACAACTTAATTAAACTTTAGCTAATATAATAAGAGCTAACTAGTAGTTAAAACGCTTTATATAGGAATATATTAGAAACGTAATATATAAATATCTATTTCCTAGAAATTAAGTACTCTATATACTAAGTAGAAAGTAGTAAAATAGTTACTATAAGCTTTAAGATTTTATATAGTCTTTCTTAAAGTACTATAGTATTATTATAGTTTCTTTATTTAGCTTATTAATCTTTAAAGTATCCTTTTAGAATAATTTAACTTTAAATTAGTATTAGTATAAGTAATAAAATTCTAAAAACTATATAAATCTTTATAGTATTAATTATACTTATAGTACAGAAAAATTTAAGTCTTAACCTATTTATTTAAGATATTAGTATATAAGTCTATTCTTAAATCTACTAAAGCTATTTGATTATATCTAAAATCTTAAAACTACTATATAACTTAGACTTATTAATAAATATACACTATCTATAGAATAGATTATTTTCTGTCTCTAAATATTCTGCTAAGTTATTATTAAATATACTAAAGTATTGCCTATTACTATAACTAGGCCTGTTGTATAATTTGCTTCTTACAGAAGTTAAAAATTACTACGCAACGGAGTTTAGAACACTTTTACTTGGCCACCGCTATCTCTTGGCCTCTTCCCATAGGAGGAAAACACCTCTGAGGAATCCGCGATTAATTATTTTCCCAAAGTGCTAGCATTTCAAGCAAAACAGCTTCACCACAGCATGCCTCAGCCGCCCGGACACACTTCCGCTGAATAGACCAGCATCGTACTCTCGCCAAACATTGCAGAGAAAGAGAATTTGATGCGCATGGGGCTGAGAGATTTCCTGGATAGGTCTGATACTGCACAATACCTTTTCCTGCTAGCAGGAGGGCACCGCATCAGGGCAAGACATACGTGTTAATCTGCCTCTATAGCAGACCTTGAGGATATCATGAACGCTCACATTTGACAACCTGAGGCACTGGGCTTTCGCGCGCCCGAGAGTTTCACATTTCCAATTATACCAAAAAGCCGGAAGACATTAAACCCGTCACGATACGACGACTAGATGCACGACCACTGCGCGTGAACTATCTCACGTCCACACAAAGACACCTACTCAGCCATCGATGCGCTGTTCGCGTTCGCCAATACTAAGAACCCTTCGACCGAGTACTGTTTCAGTGAAGGATGCAATGTAGACACTGTCATCTCGATAGACTATGGGCTGAACGCAGCTCAGTTGCACGCCTGATCTCGTGATGCAGACATAGAGACAGAGGCACCTTTCCTTTGCAGCATAAAGTGCCAGATCATCTTCCTCGCTCAAGAAGAAATAATAATTCGCTGGACTGCGTGTACCGCAGATATCCAGTCGACCCCGAAGCCGAGATCTATGCCGTCGTTCGCCCTGCTAGAGTGGAAAATGGGACACCACGCACAAAGACGCTGACTGGTTGGATACAAAGAAGGGGGCCACTTTCGCATACAGATGTTCAGGCGACCATGGTCTTGGACTTTTGTCCGCGTTCAGCACCACAACAGGGTCGAACTGCAGGATCTAGTTGCAGTCTTGAGCGATATGCCAACATTCGGAATACTTGCTAAACAGAATTTCCATCATTTGAAGGAGAATGGCACAGTGGGACTTCTAACAGAAGCCTATCATGCTCAACGAATTATAGTCTTCAAAGAACAATGGGTTTTGCTGGAGAAGCTGAAGAATTTCGCGAAGGAGTCTGGCCTGTACGAGAGCCAGAAGAAGTTGTGGGCAATAGACAACGAAAAGCCTCCCCTCAACCTGTTTGCAGCGTACCTTAACTATAATGGATGTGGGGTGCTTGTTCCAAAAACTGTTCGCGCTCTATACAAACATGCTCTGGATTTCTGTCCGTCTTGAATGTCACCTTTGAGCGAACTATGCGGTGGCTCAACGATAACGTTGTATGTAGTTGAGCGCACTGAGTGTATTGTTTGGTTCTATAGCGACACGGAATGAATGGAGGAGGGTAGGGCACTCGTTCTTGAGCTACGCCAGCTAGAATGCACAACCACGTGGCAACAGAACCCGAAGAATCGATTCAAGATGATGCGAATATCTGACTTGACCGCGCACTTCCCCCTCCCGCTCGATCTCCCAGAACTCCCGTCCCAGCTGAAAGGATATATCAACAGTAGACTGGGCTGTTGACTATGTTACGAATGCCTCAATCCTTAAGTAGATAACAGCGAAGTTTGCAAAAAGCACGACACAAGGATACAGGAACTTATCGAAGCCGTTACTTTAACATCAACGTAAAACCCCTTGACATGGATATAGTCTTTGCCCTGTCTCGCAAGCTAGTACATGCAAACTACGTGCGGGGAGCGATGTGTTGTCTCAGAGCATTCGTCGACCAAAATGTGTGGTTATGCGACTTTGGGGGAATGTCATGCAGGGGGGGCCACGCCGCCTTCCACTCAAGAATAGGAGTAGTAAACCTCAACGACGGTAGTGCAACTCATGAGAGAATAATCAAGTACCCGCTGTCTCCGATAGTCTAAGCAATGGTCTAAGTGTGCATACAAAGCAAACTTAGGTATTCAAGTTTAGCACGTTCAACTTTCTGTAGCTGGAGAAGAGACCTACAAACTCATGTGCTAGCACCATGATAATAGACAAACTCCTGTTCGAACATCAGAAAGCCCATAAAGTGATTGGGTTTTGGGAAGATACAGCAATTGTCATCTATCAGGGTTGAACAAAGTAAGATAGGACAGACACTCCGCCACTAACCATCAGCAGTAATCAGCGAAACCGATGCGCAAGTGGACTGTCTGGCTACAGTTGTTTGCATGAGTGATACAATGCACCATTTTGCGGCTGTACTCACTTTTTGCCGTCTATCAGGCATAGTTCGATAACCCGGATCCCTCATGCTCTGCAGATAAGATCAAGGCCGATTGGCACACAGCCTTGTGGGATGCTACAGGAACAAACCATCTTTCGGTCAGATTTCGAAGGGGATTGGGACATGTGGGAACTTAACATTCCACGATGGTAAATGAACGAAAAAAGTAACAAGTAGGGAAACACAAATTTTCGCCAATCTTTATCTGGGTGACTCTCAAATAATCCAACTTCCGATCTCGAACCCGCAATGACGCTATACATAATTCAAGTCGTGGAAGATAACAAAAGCACGTTGTCAAATCACTCCGATATGAACGTATCTTTAATCTAATTGACTTGACTAAGCCTCGTGCCTTCATCGTGCGCAGAGTGAAGACTAAACAGGGCCATCCGACGTATCTCGTATGCAGGTATATACTTCAGCGGCTTGGGCTGTGTTGTTGGTCAAAGGTTATGGTGCGGAGAACTGCAGAGGCTGTGCGAAAGACTAAACAAGTCGAGGACAGTTGGTGACAACAATGCGCCGTCGGTTCAGTTTCGAGTTAACCAAGGGTCTGGTGCAGACTAATGCACACTGCAGTACTCTCGAACGTTTTAGCTGTTCATCAGATTTGAGTGATAGTTAGCTCTTGTTATTCAACGGACTAACCTCGCCTGTGTTGGTCGCTGTTGGTTGATGCAGTGGCAAAGGTCACCGTTCTGGGTGGTCGGTAATCGCTGCCGATGTGGGCCTCTCCATGGAGTGGCTGATGGCTAGGACATGTTCCAACGTAGCAGTAGAGATCGTGTGCTAAGTATCAAGGTGGCTGATTGATGCACGTGCTTTGACAGCGATTGTGCAGCATTACGCTCGGGTCGATTGGTGGCGTCAGCAGATATTTTATTTTTTGTCTTGCGCTCCGCCATTCTCAATAGGTACACGGCACATTGCAGACGCTAGCGACCACCAGATCTGGGATATCCATTTTCACACCCCGCAACAAAAAAGGTTACAACCTTTTGATGTGTTCGAAGGTTGGGTCCATCATGGAACCTTGGTATGGCGAGTTTCAATGTACAGGTAAAGAGGGTTGTTACTTGACAACCCAACCTCCACATTTAATTCCCTTGAGGCTGGGTGTACAAGAAGCAAATTGCACACCGTTTTCAGCGACGCTGTACGTGATCCGTGGAGTACCTCGATTTTGCGCACAGATGTGTTGACGATGGATAGCCCCCTGTTACAAGATCCAGGGGGTCGTATCTTCTACACACATCAGCTCAATCAAACGAAGGGGGTACACCCTTTGTGTTCACGACCCACCTACTCTATCGAGCAAGGAGGATGCATATCAAGATACCCGACATCTCACAGGTTGCATCCGCATCTGTGCGATCAGATTCGGATCTCTGTTTCCGATGGTCTCGGACTGTTGTGCCGGGGGCGTTTGTTCTTGACTTTAAGTACCCATTAGCCCGGCAGGACGGTTCCTGAGCCCGCCACGGTTCACTAATCACTTTCAAACACCTTCCACATTCCTGCACCCTCGTCGGTTTTCGACTAATCCTCATCGCGCGTGATTCAATAGGGTTGAAGTACGGAATGAGCCTTTAAGCTGTAAAAGTTCCGCAACCCTTGGCATGGGACACTCGTATCCACATCGCTTCCTTCCCAAACGGGAAAATATTACGACGAGCCCCAGCTACGCCTCAGCGAGACGATTGTCATGTGCACCAATCAAAGACAGAGCTCCTTGCTCTAGATCCCTTGAGTGGTTATGTTCCTTTTTCCACCGCGTGGCCTTTCAACATGTCGTTCGGGAATACGTTGTGCGGAATCACAGCAATAGGAAACAATCCCGGTGAGCGACATGATAAGGTCATCGGTAACCAACAAGCTACACATATTTCGTACATACCTTGTGGCTGCCGTACAACGTGAAGCCAGATCGACGAACCTAAGCACATACTCGATTTAAAAGTCGTACAAGAACACCAGTGTATTATGTTCCATATCGGTGCTGCTATTTGGACTGCCATACACTTAGTTCTATTTGCACTTAGACCAGTAACATCAGCGGTATTGTCTGAATACGACCTTGTTCTCTGCAGAGCTCGGACGCTGCCAAGATCAAATACAGAGAGCATTGTCGAGGGTCTGCAGTCGCATGGATCTCCAAATTGGTATCAGCATCATCGGTAATGAGATGTCAATCGTAGTGACCATTAATGAGTCCTCGACTTGAACGGACCGGAGAATAGCATATATTGTTAAAGTTTTCAATTACCATGACACCATCTTGTTCCTGTACAGTCAAATCCATAGGCCGCGGAAACCACTAGCTATGGGTACCCGGCGTACGCTGCCTCGGGATACTGTATCATAAGGGTCGAGCACGTGCTAGTGATTCGGATCCTTGTCCACCGATTCGGGCCTTGTGCGGATTTAAAGCAGGTGAAACAACGAGGAAACACTTTTACAAGTAGAGATGTTCCCGCCCTTGGATGGCTAGATCGGGTCTCACGGGGTTGTTAGACTTGCCTGTAACTTGATGAACACTGGCAACAAGTCCGTCAGGCATGCAGCACGAAAACTACATGGGATACTGGATATGCGAGAAACATCCATCAAACGGAGAAGCGCTCAAGGTACCACAGAGTACGGATACTAACTTCAGCGCTCACAAATTCGAGAGCCATCGTTGAGGAGATTGTGCGCAACCCACGACTTCTCGGATCGACGACGTACCGAGTCACGACCAGAAACTGGGAGCGGATGCGGAAGCGGACGCGGAACGAAACAAAGCACTCGGCCCCCATGAACTTCTCCTGAGAAATTCACAACCCAACGGACGATGCCGCCGACGATCCTGATTCTCTGCTCTTGCTCTCATGCTGGATACGTGGCCTCAGTCTCAAAACAATCGGATATCATCCGGCCGTTGAATGTCGCATGCTAGCCCATTAATTACTCAGAACGTCATCAGCGGCCTCCTAGGTTGCCACAGTACGAAAAGCGGATACACTAAGACTCGAGTGGGGTTTCCTCCGAGATCCTGAACTCTATCTCATCCAACGCTTTCCAGAAGAGTGGTGTGCTCCGCGATCGGCAAAGTTATATATACCCACCCTGATACCCATGGTAACGGGACCTTGATGCCGTTTTATCGAGACTTGCAAACAACTGGGGTTGGGTCAATCAGGGGTATCATCTGATGAATATGTGTCAGCTGAACTACGCCTATTTGAAAGAGGCGGTGCAAGCCAATGTTACACTTTAGACTAGACAACAAACCGCAACCTCTATTGAAAGACTCTAATTTTTGTCAAAAGAGGACTTTCCAACTACTAGCGATGTTCATCGGTTTTATGATTTACTTTGATAAGGAGGCTTCAGTCTTGATCTTTCATGTGGGGTGGTGAATTGTATCATCTTCAGAGAATCCGGACCAACGCGACGAAACAGTGATAGCAGGTAGAGAGTGTAATCGAACATTGAGTCCCGCTTCCACAAACTTTTGCAACTATAGCAAGCTAGGTTAGCTTTAATCTGCTAACCTCGCCACCTTTCCTATCATCGAGATTTGAAGTACATCTGCGGCTTGTGATGGCGAATAGCGCGACCATCTGGGACGTTTCGAAAACGGGCGCCGAGTTGGGGCAAGAGTATCGCGCTGACATCATTACCGACAGCATGGGTATGTGGTATCGTATGATGATGTTGATCATTACCTTCGCCACAGTTGGGACGCTCAAAAGTATCAGCCCACTTGTTCAATCGATCCCATTGGTCACAACGCTCCGACGATTGCAGAAGTTGGAATACAACAGAGAACTTGCACAAATTTGCTGATCCACGACGGAGCGCTCCCGCCCCCAACACTACAATTGCCGCCCCGATACCCTTCCTAGCAGCATGCGATCCAAGGGGCCGCGCAAGTGACGGCAGAATGCTAGGACTATTCCCGACCCTCTTGGTTCGTCGGTTGGAATTCAAATAAACGACATCCATGATGCAACGATCTTTACACCTCCCTTTTGCCGTGGCCAGCGTTAGCGATTAGTTATCATTTCAATGGTTCGTTCGTGGACACATGGTGATCAAAGCTAAGACGGAGCTATGCGAAGCTAGCGCAAGGTCATGACATGAGGGCGTCACGTAGAGTGCCGTACCGAGCCGCTTTGACGCTGGCCCTTGCGTTTGGTTGCAGACGACGGGCGGCCTTACTATTGGATGCGTTATTCAACATCTGCTGCTCGCTCCGAGGGGCCCTTACTCCTAGGTAGGTAGGAGTGGACTCGACTGGTATCACAGGAAGGAGTTCGCGATTGTGAGCTCGAAGATGACACCAAATTGTGAATCCATGCAATGAAACTGAAGATGCTGGGATGTAATAATGTCATCGAATGTACAAAAACGTGTAGCTGGAACCCCGTTTGCTATCGAACAACACATCGGAGCGTAGCTCTTTGAAGAATTAGAGGAATAACATGATATAAAAAAGCTAGATGCTGATACATGTAAAGCGTACAATCGTGGTATGATGAGAACAAATGCCGAACGCCTCAAAGATACATTGGTCCTAGCGACGCGAGAAAGATCAGATTGGAAACGCCGGTTCGTGGTACATTCTTCTCTTTTGAGGCTCGTTCAGCCAATAAAACACCATGCTCAAAGGAGAAACTTCAAACTCCAAAGGTGGAGTGGCATAATGGCAGCGATAGGGGTATAATGTATGTCCTTGTTGAGCTAACATCAACGGCAATTCAAAATGCAAATGCAATGTCGTGTGCGGGAGTAGAAGATGTGTCGAAGAATTCTGTGGTCTGAGCCTCGATATTGGCGTGCTCAAGCAGGGGTGGGAGGGCGAACGGGCGGTGCCGTAGACTTTGAGTCAAAGGTTACTTTCCGTAATTTCGATGTGGTCGGCTGGTCCTCCTCATGAGGGATGTCAGACTTGCGCTTGTTGGATAACGTCTCTGTATGGTTGCCGTTGTGTGACACGAACTCCGTGTCTTTGCTATGAATATCGTCGGGAGAAGCAATTGACGAAGGACTGGTAGGTGGTATATAACCCTCTCGTGGAATGCAGTGACTATGGTGCCATTTCCATTGATCATAAGCAGCATCAGCTTTCAGGCGATGGTCTCGCAATTGGGCGATCAAGTTGTGACTTGTCATAGATAGCTCATGACCCGTTTCTGCTGGTGAAGCTCGACGAAATTGTTCAATGTTTGGCAGGGGCCTCCTCCATGCCTCGTTGCATCCATGGCAACGTTCCACGGAAGACTCTCCTTCTTTCTGTCGAGATTGAGACTGTTGGCTGTCTGTCGACTGAAGCGTAGCGTTGAAGAGTTTGATCGACGGTTCCTCGGTGGGCGCTGGCTGTTCTTGGGAAGTAGGTGATGGCTCACTAGCAGCAGTTGGAGCAGATGCGGGTGTCGCAGGCGCAGCGTCCTGACGGTGTTTTTGCGAAGACGGCATATTTTCAGAAGTATAGTTTGCAGCGAACCTGACATTATATCGCCCTTGTCGTGCAGGGGGAGCGACGGGAGCAGTTGTGTTATTATTGTTGTTACCATTGATATGGTCGTGGGGAGAAGATGGACGCATGGTCTTAGCCGCAGGTCTGATATCAACGACAGCAGTTTGATCTCCTGGATACTCGTGTGTCCTAGGGAAGGGCAAGGGATTCTGCGAAGTTGAAGACAGAGATGTGGAATGATTTCTTTGTGAATGATGTGGACCTGAGTGTGAGTTTGTCTGATGTGATTGAAGAATGACTGCAGTGAGAGTAGGAGAAGAGTGAGTGCTCGAATGGGAATGGGGCCGTGGACTAGGCTGACGATGAGCGCTCCTCGGGCTTCGAATGGAAGAAGAAAAAGTGAAATCTGGTGATGGAAGTACAGCTGAGTCTTGGCGTGGTGCGCTGATTGGTGTCTGCGTGTGTGCTGCATCCTGCATCAGACAAACTTCAGACGTCGACGCGGAGCCGCGAGGCATTGCGGCCTGAGGCGCCGAGTAACGCTGGAACTGGCGCCCTGGGGCCATTGCTGGTACGCTCAATTCGGGAAGGCTATGGACAGCGTGAGTATGCTTTTTCGCAGGCTGTCTCGCGTTCACATACTTGGGCTGGGTACTCGCGTGATTCTCAATCATCCAGAGCGGTCGCTCAGCAATTGCGGGGGCACTTGGAGCGGGCGCAGTAGAAGGCGTGTTACGCAGAATGGATTCAGAGTCGCCGATGCGTTCGTACGAGGGTATCGTGTCGATCGCCGCTGCCGAAGACGACGAGAACAGCTCCGAGAAGCGCGGTAGCGCGCGGTGAGGCCAATCGCTCCCCATGACAAGCATACGAGGCTAAGTGTTTGCACTTTGCATAAACCGAGCGGATGGCGATGATATGTAGGCGGGAGAGAGGTGAGCGTCGTTTCCCAGGCCCGCCAACTTGTCTCACAGCGATAATATGAAGACAGGAAGGGAGACTGAGGTTGGGGTTGTACAGAGGAAAGGCGAAGGGGTCTACGCACCCACAACTTGTGTCTCTCTCCACGCGGCGCAGAAGGATGAACCCAACCCAGTCACTAGGTTCGATGGGGCGGCATCTCATTCGTCAAGAGGGCTCGAGAGGCTCGAAGCCGTGCTAATTCGTGTCATGCATCAAAAGGCCTCGCGCGGAAGCGCTAAGTGCGCCGAGTGCCTCACACAAGGTCTTATGCGTCTAGCGAGGACATGCAGAAAAGACGCAAGCTATGCTGACTAAGCCCCGACCCTGCACAGGCCATCATCGCTCACCATTCGTCGATGGATGGTGTGACACAAATCCTGAAAGCAATAACATCCTCTCGGCTAAGCGTATTACTTGCATGCTGCAGCCAAGTGGAGAGGCGAGGGCATATAAGTTTGGCAGTACCGTCGTCAATCTTGCAAGGATTATTCATGCATTTCGCTGTAAGGAGCGAGAGAGTCGTTGTCCGAACAGGATCCTCACCTGCTTCCGGCGCTAGGTCGACAGATAGAGTAAGATCAATAAAAAGCGTTCACACCGCTTAGTATGTTACTGTGGCGACTTCTTGTTTGGGTAGGACTTTTGACGACGGCTATGATCCCGACGGCGAACCGGGATGCTGAAACGCAACGTTGAAAAGCGGCTCGCGGGAGGGGGCCCTATTCGATCCGGGAGCGAGGGCCAGTGCGCATGTCACTTCTGCCGGTGCGTCGACAACCTAAGCCGTAGTGCTCTGCAGGGCGAGCTGTGCGTGCAGAAGGTCGTTGCGGGGAAGAGGGGAGACAGGGATAATTGTGGCGAAGAGCAAACTTGCCTGCACGCTGTAATGCCGGTAATCGTGCGATAACTTCTGGTTAGCCCCCTTTGTCCTCTGTGTTGGCAATTCCACACCATTGCTGGACCCTTTAACAATAGTGCAGTGAGAAGACGGAGCGGAGTCCCGACTTTTGAGACGAGGAGATGTTGAGTGGAGTAACGAAAGCGACGTTACGATGGGTGTGCACTGACTAAGCCGACCGCCAACTAACGCCGGACTAATCAGCTGGGTAGCTGGTCAGGCTGATCAACTTTGACCACTGCTCCTCTCAAGAATGCTATGTGAAAACGCTCTTGCCAACATGTGCATGGTAAACTGAACGTAAAGGCTTGATTGGATATCAAGGTCATTTTCTCGTTAATTTACGGAGTCTATAGCTCGTTACCGTCGTGCAATACGCGCCTTGGTTTACGATATTTATTCGTAATGTGGCTTTGTATCATTCAAATCTGATATATCTGACCGAGTTTTATAGGCCTTGTCTCTTGTTCGTTCGTCATTAATCACCGTGTCGTTGAATGACAAATATCAAAATCTTCCGACTGTCAATCTCCATACGCTTATGTCGACTACATTTGTTCATTTATCTAATATCGTATGTCTTTTGCCCCCAGTACAAAATACACAGCAGTTGATTATCTTATTATAACCACAAAGGGGACGTCGGCTTGGAAACCTCTACTCGTAAAAGACAAGCTTTTACTTGAGAGTGTTACGCTCTTCGTCCAGTCCAGGCGTTATGCATTGGTGTGAAGTTACACTGCCATGCTAGCGGGAAGTGGTCCAGACTGTATCCTAGCGTTATAGCCGCGGATGTCTCCCTGTGCCACATACTTTGAGATGTTTGTGAGTCAGGTGTACATCACTGTTGTTTCTGCCTGCGGAAGGATCGATCCTGCCGGATTTTCTCGAGACGATATTCTAACGGCACGGGAACACCACGGCCTCTCTGACCAGAGCTCTTCTCGTAGCGTAGCACAGAAACGCTATTACGGTGCACAAACGCATTACTTCGAGATCCGACTGTCTATGGTATAGTTCGACAAGATTGCTTTAGTGGAAGCCATGTTCCCACATACGGCCCTTTCATGGCGCGACTATGTCGACTATTTTCGTCTTCTGCACCCCTGAAAGATTGTATGTGAAATTTCCTCTGATGCGAGTACGCATCTTCCCGGTCTCTTGTGGATCAGCATACCTCACGAGTCAGATAAGCTGGCGGTTGCTAGGATAATCCACATCAAAATGGATGGTTGTAACAACTAAACCCAGGATGATCGTCTCGTTCAACCCTGCAGTCGAAGAAGCACGCGATACCAGGGAAGCTGGAACAAGCCAGGTTCCAGGTTTATTCGTCAGTCTTGTCGCTTACTTATATCGTTGATGGCTGGATCAGGGCGAGTAGGGTAGTTCTTACTCATCCCCACCGACACGTCTTTCAAAGTTACAAACTCTAAAAGGGTAACTTAAACGATTTAGCTGTACGATGATAAGCAACGGTATTTAGTCCGTGGCCGAGGTTGTGTTGTGCAAAGAGTCCCCTTTGGAAATAACAGGTCATCGGTATCAGCTCATCTTTAACTTCACTCGTTGGTAGCCATTGATCATTCGTCCCTGTCTCGAGACCCAAACTCCGCCTGTTTCCACCATCATGTCATGCACTAGCTTCTCGGAGCTGCGTTTTCCCCAAAGCGTTGCTTTTCCCAATCTTGGTTCTTGCTACGACAGACGACCGGGCCTCGTACAGAGTGTTCTTTATCCATAATCGTACTGTAGTGATCATATCATAGACATGGAGTGTAAGATCCAGCTTGCAAGATCTTCGGCCTGGAAATCTTTGGCGCTGGGACCGTTGGTCCTGCCGATCTAACCACCATCATCGATGTGATATCCCCTTCGGTCGATGTGCTGCTAAATTATAGGGATACTCCATTTCTAAGCACGAATTCCATGTGCATAGACCATACGCACGGAGACATGTAGTCCAGTCTGGTAAGAGAAGCATGGACATGGATAATACGAGTGCATGTTTGACTGGGAAAGACCTGTCGAAGCTTATCGTTGTCCAAGCACGGCACCGTTTACTACTACCTGTTAACCAACCACTAGGTAGAAGCCTACTCGAGTTATCCTTCGCCTAACCCGGACCACAAACCTCTATTGATGGTTGGCCCACTGTCTCATCCCAGATCAGTGCATACACTATGCGCGCAGCGCATATCCGATCAAATATCACCGCATTTGTATTATCATACCTCTGCATCACCCTATTGGCTAGGGATGGACCTGTTTTGTATGATGTTGCTTTTCAACATATGGCTTGGAAATCGCTCACGGAATAGACCCAAGAAGCAAGGTTTGGAGTTTGTAGTAACTCAATGTTGACAGGTCACACAGCTCGATGGCAAAAGGTAACCCACGGTCCCTTGAATGAAAGAGTCAATGACCGGTAAGCATGCACGGAAGCTTCTAGCTCTTTGACAGATACAACGCTGCAGCACGGCTGTCCTGTAGACGAAGTAAGTCTGACGTCTCTGTTATAGACCATGCTTGTATCACCGTTATGCATGTATCTCAAAGCAGTCCGATCTGGACAGTTATGCAGCCTCATAAAAATGGTGACCTAACGTCACACGGATAGAACGGACCGACCATCCAAAAAAGGCCTCGAATGAGTAGAAATCGATTCCAAACATCTACCACGATGTGGTCTGTACAACAATCTTCTTGAGCGTTTCGAAACTATGTCTTCAATTTGGCGCTTGGCATGAGTACCCACAAGGCAAAAGGCATCGCGATTTGCACAGTGGAGCTTCATCTTAGATCCTAGAAACGTCCTCCACACACAGTCGGTTACGAGCCGAGACTTCCGGAACTGTCCAGGTGCATTGCCGTCGTGGTTGGCCTCTTGTTGCAACTGCACATGGCCTATCGAAGAAATCACGCACGCGGTCTGACTGCTAAAAGCAGGGTACATTGGCCCCTTCCGGTTCCTTCGAAAAAGGATTCAGAAAACAAGGACCGTGCTACGCACGGCCTTCCTACAAACCGGAAGGGGCCGAGTGGAGGCTGCGGGTTGATAGACTTGCGAGTCCGAGTACGACGAGCAGAGCGATGCAGCTTGAGGGGTGGCGCAGACTACTGGCGGACGTAATTTGGGGAAGCTATATGTTTGAATTGGAGATATAATAAGTCGCAGACGATCGTCGATCATTGATCTATTCGAACGACGTTCAGAGCTGTATCGATGCACAGTGTTGTTGCGAGCCTATACGTACCCAGTTTTCCTATACATGGGTTTACCATCTCACCAAACAATCCAAACCGATTCCAGTGATCGTCAAAAACCTGGATAGTGGCGTTTCCCACAGCGAGACCTATCTCCGTACCAACATCGGACGCAAACTGGGAATGAATCTGTCGTCAAATTAGTGTGTGCCCTCTGACCAATAAGTTATACCTATCGCGGTAGAAACATAAAGCCACCATACACCCGACTATCTCCATTACCCTTGGTGGCTTGCCAAATGCTTGTGTACCGTCCTGTTATGACGCCGATCTGCGTTCCATTGGTACTCTGCAAGATATTGATCACATCACTCCCGTTGTTCCATGCTTGGATTACCGCAGCAGCAGCGCCGCCAAAGCAGGCATATGTGGGCGTGTAGTCCTGATGATTGGGCGTCAGACTCAGGAGGGCGCCCATTTAGGATTCGACATATTGTGACCACTGGGAAGCCAACCGTCTGTCCGGCGGATGGCGGTCACGGGGCGCCATGAATTTCAATACGCTTTGGAGTCTCAGCTTGCAATTGCGGCATTTGCCATCGCATAGTTGAGTTGCAGGTAGAACTTTGCGGGCGTAAAAACGTCTTTCGACTAACGGTTACCAATAACGTTACGCGCGAAGCGGCGTCATTGTATGGGGGAAGATTCCCGCCAGAAGTAGGCTGTCTCGGTGTTGTAAGCCGAACGTACCGTTGACTTACGTTCGCCCTGAGTCTTGACGTAGTTGAGAATCTCCTCGTAGCCTGTAGAATTGACTGAGGGGGGGCCGAGGCTCGGAAGCGCGTCACATCACCGAGTCCACCAAAAGTGCGGAGATAACGAGCTTGTGCTGTATCTGGAGCGACGAAGGTTGAGCCAGGAGTTCGCTGATATACGCTTGAAGTGCCCGATTTGAAGACATAGTTGACAAGATTGTTTAGTCGATCGTCTTGTCTGACGGCTGTGACTTTGATGGCTGCCCTGCGCCCGATGGCTGCTGCGCGCCAACACTTGTCGTCTATCTCGTCGATGCCAATAAGGCTCACAATGTCCTGAGCCGACTTGAAGATGTTACCAAAGTTGCGTGTACTATGGAAGACCCCAGTCAAGCTATCGTGGGCGGCATGTGATACGGCCAGCTGCTGAGACGCAAGGAGCTCGTTCTTGCTTTCCGGAGCACTAACGTATACAGCCGCTTGAACGATGGCTTCAAACCATCCAGAGGGCGGGAATGGGAGGCCTCCAATCCGGGAGTTATTGGGGAGGAGACCGGATTAATTGACCCTGGCATGGTTAGCGCCGCAAACCGGTTACAAGTTGGATCGAGCTATACCAGTAGTGTACAATGTCGCCAGAATACTGGGGGTTTGCAGTAGTGGCGCTAAGCGCTAGCAGTAGTCCTGGTTCTTTCATTATGAAGATAAGACAACAACAGATCAAACACGAGCTGTGCAGGCCACCAAGAGGCTGGGCAGCTAGAAGTCTTTATACGCAAGAGTTAGCTCTGTATCACCTTTGGGGCTTGTGTATTCTTCGTGTCCGGACAGAGGTACATGCACGGTCACCAAGCCACTACATAGCGACATTTATCGATTTTGACGACGTTAGCGAGACTTGGGTGTTAGTCCTCTGTACCTTCCACTGAGGAAGCTGCTTGGCGAGCGCCGTCTGTATTCTATCTGCCAATCAGAACCTCGTTGTATGGGTATGCTCCGACGAATCATGCTCCATTTATGAGGTATGGACTATGACTTTATTATTGTCATGATAACAATATGCTGTATACCTGTCATGCTAAACTCTTGGGAATTAATGAACTGTTATAGACGAACCTAGCTCGGAGAAGAGAGGAAATCATTTGGAGAAGGATAAGGAAAAAGCAGATTGATCTGCACTTTTGAACATACATAACCGCGGCGTTTTGCTTACTGAGTTTATTTCTTATTTTCTCTCCTGGTTTCCTCTCTCTCATATACACTCTTCTATCCACACTTTCTTGCCTGCACTCTTTCATATACACTTTCTCTTATACACACTCTCTTATACACACTCTCTTATACACACTCTCTTATACACACTCTCTTATACACACTCTCTTATACACACTCTTACAATTTCTCTCCTTTTCTCTCTCACTTTCTGCCCAACGGGAAATGATAGAATGTGCAAGAGTAGCAAAGTACCATTCATGGACAAGTTAAGAATGGCATTGTACAACTTTTCCTAGTAACAAAATATCTATCCGTACCCAAACTCGCTAAAACAAACCCAAAACAACCAGACAAATAAAAGGAATACATGACTAGTATCCAAGTCTACTCGACAATCTCCAACTCAGCCACCCTATGCTTGGCAAACATATCCTTGTGGTCATTCCAGAGGCGCATCAACTCGGTGACGTACTTTTCATGGACCTCGTCCATGTATTCCATATCGGGATGTCTATTCTGGACGACTCTGATGGGTCGTCCAACAACAATGTTCATGGGCCTGCGATAGGGCATCATGCCGACATCGTAGTTAAAGATGCCTCTGGCGTGGAAGATGGGGATGGTGAAGCCCATGAATTTCTTGACGAGCATCTGGAACTTGTGGATGTAGGGGTGCGACTCGGTGTCGAGCTGGTCGTAGACGTCGTTTTCGCCGAATGCGAGGACGGGGACGAGGTCGGCGCCGGTGCGGATGGCCATCTTGACGAAGCCCTTGCGGCGGCGCAGGACGAGGCGGATCCTGCCGGGGCGTGCGTCGAGGGACTCGCGAGCGCCGCCGACGACAATGGTGATGGCGCGGCCCATGCCCTCGCCGTTGTGGCCGCCCTTGGACAGGATGTTCTCGCACGACTCGCGCGAGACCGAGGCCATGCCCAGGCGCAGGGCGTACTCGCGGTAGATGGGGTAGCGAAAGTTGGAGTCGAGCGTCAGCAGGGCGTTTGTGATGCCCGGGAAGAGCTGAGAGAAGCCCAGGGCCTCGGTGGCAAAGGCGGCAAAGGCGCCGTGGGAGATGATGCCGTGGGGGTGGTAGCCGAAGATGTACTTGCGCGTGGGCTCCAGCTCCTGCGAGCGGTGCAGGCGCGCGGGGAAGTACGAGGCGAAGAGCGACCACACGGGCAGGCGGCGGATGCGCTCGCTGCGGAACGACAGCTCGCCCGACTGCCCGGCGTTGGAGAAGAGGCAGTAGACGGTGTAGGGCAGCAGGATGGGCCACAGCAGCGGGATGCTGCACAGGAAGAAGAAGATGGCGAGGCCGCCGGCGATGCTGAGCGTGTGCATCAGCACGGCGAGCGTCTGCAGGCGGCGCTGGAGGGGCACGTTCATGGGCGCGAAGCGGATCCTGTGCGCGTCAGTGGGAGTTGGCGTGGCTGCATGGGCCGTCGACGTACTTGCTCGTGTGCCAGCCGGCGCCCGCCTGCCGCCCCGACTTGAGCTGCGAGTTGCGGCGCTGGACGCCGTCGATGCGCGCCACCTTCAGCACGTCGGCGGGCGGCGCCAGGCTCGTCAGCGCGTCGCCGTGGCCGTTGGTGTGGCGCTCGTACACGTCGCGGTCCAGCAGCGCGCCTTGCTTGCGGCCGACGGAGCCCACGGAGCTGCGCGACATCTTGCGGCGGTGGCCTCGACTGGGGCTCCTCGGCGAGGCGTCCAGGCCCATGCCCTCGAGCGACTCTCGGTCGTCCGTGTCCGACATGTAGTCGGCGCCATTGCTCCTGCTCTCGTTGAATTTGTGCTTGGTGCTGTCGTGCGCGCCGTCCGTGTGTTCGACATGTGACTCTGGCGCGAGCGCGTCTTCGGCCGCGTCGGCGTACGACTTGGGTGCCAGGTCGTGGGCAGCGCGCTCGTCCGGCGCAGACGGCTCTGGGTTCAGCGACATGGCTGGCGGCGGCGGGGCGGGGTCGGGGTCGAGGTAGGTAGAGGTCGGCGTGGTAGGAGGGGTCGGGGGCGGGCGTGTGCTATGGGGACATTGTGGGTTTCGACATTTGTTGAGAGAGACGAGCTGCCTGTCGCTCTTTCCCATGCGTCAATCTGCCAACGCGAACATGACATCACATTTTCGCCTGCCGCCCCATCCGGAGCGAGCCTCGGGTGTCATGGCACGTGAAGCAATCGAGCAACCGACACACGGTTGGATGTGAGACGCGTCGAGACACGGTCACGGCAGATGCTGCACATTGCACTGTCGCCGTGTCTGTTCTGTCCAGACGCGAGCAACTTCCCTTTCGTATTCCCGGATGCAGACTAGTGCCTGTGGCGTCTCACCCGCTTGCCTCTCCCCCATTCCGTACATCGAGAACATGCTCTGCGCCGTCGACATGGTGCACTTGGGAAGTCACTCTCTAACTTGGGAAGTCACTCTCTAGCTTGGGAAGTCACTCTCTGTCGCGTACTTCGAGTACCATAACTCCCCCATCATGTCCCTCCAAGCAACCCCAGCCCGTTCGTCACGCATCACAAAGACCCGCAGAACAAGTGCATCTGCAGCACTGGGACTGAAGCGAGCCCTCTCCTCGCCATCATCAGCACGCCCTCGAAAGAGGCTATCACTGCCCTCTGAAAAGTCTGTTCCATGCAATGACGACGACCAGCTAGACGACACAGGTGTGATAGCTTCTCTTGCCACCGATCTCAATTTCCGTGATGTGCCCCAGTACATGGAGTACATCCGCAACAATATGTTCAGCGACATGCCTGAGAAAGCAGGCATGAACTCGACGCGGATTGCACAAGTCCTGAACTACCAAAGACGTATGCCACCTTTCGTCACTATATCTCATGTCGATGCACTGAGCACGTCGTCTACCAAGGTTGAACGAGAGATTGCTGAGCTTGCGCAAGCCGGCATCGTGAGGAGAGTGACGATTCCCAATCGAGGTGTTGGTGCTGCAGCTGTAGGAGATGGTGTCGCCCTGGTCAGAGAATGGCAGAGCCTCGCGCATGCACACGGGGTACTTTCTGACCATCTCAAGAGTGGGTGCTTGTCGCAGTTAGTGCGGTGGTTGAGAATACGTTGATGACCATCACACAGACAAGTACATCGCCCTGATGGACACAAATCCAACCTCGTCAACAATCCCTGGCATAGCACTCACTCCACCTGAAATCTCCGCACTGAGTGCTGCGGGCTTCTTGACCTCTTCTCCTGCAACGAACAATCACTCATCCTTCTTCGCAGCCCCCGGAGCCAGTTCTCTTACTTCGATATCCACATCTGGCTCTCGCCATGCAGCAGGCTCCCTGAACGCGGTAGGTGGTATCTCAGGCACCCACCACATGCACGGAGGCACTTCCCTCTCCAGCCGTCCCATCACCTCCACAACGTCCTTCAACTTCTCCCTCCCAAACACCGGCACCTACACCAAGCTTCTGAGCGAGGCGCGCACTCACTTCTCAAACATACTGAAGAAGACAAAGTTCAAGGAAGCGCCGCTGGACATGTTACATGAACGATGGGACGGCGGAGCAGGGGCCACCGATAGAACGTCTGCCCGAGGCGACTTCAAAGGCGTGCTGCCAGGACGCACGAAAAAGTGGAAACAGTTCTATGGTATGCGGTTTGAGTGGATCCTCGAGGAGTGTGTAGGCGCGGGACTCGTGGAGCTTTTCGAGACGGGGAGTGTAGGGAGAGGTGTGCGGTTGACGACATAGCTGCCTCAACCGATTGGGATGATATGTGGGTATCGACATCTTTTGCACAACAAGGCTGTTACACACACCTGAACCCCGCATTCCTACATCTCTTTCTTCCAATTCAAGCTAGAGCTGTGTCTACCGCTGGAGTACGGCGTAGGACAGGTGCATGATTATCTCGACGCGCCGAGTTTGGCTGCGTTTATGATGTGGCACAGCCTTCAAGGGCCATGCTTCGGCCAGTGAAAACCCTTGCATGCAACCCGACATAAGCGCTCTGTTGGGCTTTGCATGCAGATACGCGTTAAGAGGCGTGTTGTGTTCTCGGCGCTAACTTGGAACGCGACACCCTCGATTTCACTTATGAACGACTTGTGCCAGTTATTTACTACCTTGAACTGCCTTCTTTCGTAACATACCTTCATTTCCCACCGCACTCACTATGCCGAAGCAACAACCCACAACCCAATACCACCATTATATCCCGCAGTTTCTATTGAGCCGCTTCTCCCATAGCGGGATCTTGGAGGAAAATGGGGACGGTCGAAAGAGATGGCCGGAGAAGATGCTGAGTGCTGCCAGCCTTGACGAAGATTCCCCCAAGATTGTTGAGGTGCGAGTAAGGAAAACATTTGGAGAGCAGGACATGTACAAAGACGAGTTCGCGTCAAAAGACCAGATGCGAATTGAAAAGGCGCTCGGCAGAATTGAAGCACGCGCCGGTCAGATCATTAAGAAAGCGGTTGACGCTTATGAAAATGGGCACGGAACAGTTGTGCTATTGCGGCTAGAGAAGGACATTCTTCGCAAATTCCAATTTGTTATGAAATATCGCAGCCCGATTTTCTTCAAGAGGTTCAATCACCAGACAGCCGATGGGTACAACTCCAATGACCGTACTCCATTCCTGGAGTACATGAAAAGCAAGAACTTCAAACGGCCGCTCGATGTCTGGTTCCATGATTTGATGGCCATCATCGATGAACCCATGGATCCTGCTGGGAACTGGATCACGAAGCTTGCAGACCGCATATTCCCCGGAGATGCCCTATGGATTTTCACCAACGTCCGATTAATGCATCTCGCTTTTGTCACGCCTTCAAACGAAAGTGAAGAATTCATACTCACTGGCAATGCCTTCGGCATTCACGAAGGACCGGTCAGTTGTTCAGCGAACCGTAGAACCGGGGAATTGACCATAACAATGTATACCGAGTTTCATATACTGAATGTCATCTCCCCGAAGCTGATGATGCTTCTGCGGTCGAACTTGATGCCCGAGCCATTTGAAGACAAGGATGAGAGTGTTCGGAAGCAGCGAGAGGCTGAACTCAACTTTCATGCCGCAATGCATCTTGACCCGGAACATGCCAGGTCGCTACTTGCAGATCTGCCCGTAGCAAAGGCTCGGAACTCCTACACTGTAGTGAAGAAAGGATGCATTCTTCTCGCGAAAGGTGCGGATGGTGTTCCACGTGCCCGCGATACATTTACCTTCTCTTTCTTTCGCCTTGAGAGTCGACATGCCCAAATGTTGAACGCAGTGATGCTAGATCAGGCTCACAATACCAAGCTTATCGTGTTCAACTCAAAATCCGCGCTCAGGAAAGCCCTCGAGTTTTACCTCAGTATGCCAACCCAGGCCAATGGGATGTTCAGTATGAAAACCATCAGCGAACTACCAGACGATCCAATGTTGATTTTGTTCCGAAAGCTGGAGCAAGTGGCACGCCTTCTGGGATCGGATGTGAAAGCGAAATATCATATTGATCCGCTTGTAGATGATGCCTATCTCGACAACCCCATAGCTGTGGTCCTGAAAACATATACGCCTGAGGGCCAGGATGTGCCAAACGAGATGGTAGCTACGCTCATGGTTATCCTGGTTAAGATATTGGAGAGACAAGAGCTCACTATCAGGATAAAAAACTTGCTCAACAATATTACGGGAAGAGATGGTAGTCCATGTTTCCCGGAGCTTGTCTTTGCTTTCGTTCAACAGGCGAACTCGTCTATTCTGAATCAACATACGAGAGATCTGCCACTGGTGCCCCTTCATATGTGGAGAACAGTATGGGCGTTGTTGGTTGAGATGGCCATACACTCATCGAATACGGACGTGACTGATGACATGCAGATGCTAAGGCACTTTTTTGCGGGAAGAGCTTCTCAAGCATCTGTGCGCCTTTCCACAGCCCTTTCGTCTGCAAAGGATACTTCTACGTCTACTTTGGAACGGGCCCATCCTAGAAACCAGGGTGACGTTGCGTCGCATGCTCAAGTGCTTTCAGAGAAAGTTCAAGACGACTGTACGTTTTCGAGAGAAGACACGAACACAGTACGTGAAGAGGTGGACAATCGAAGTAATGGAAAACAGACGGTCGATGGAGTGAACTCGAACGAAGAGGATCGAACTCAACACGCTAAGAGGCGGGATAGTTGTGTTTCGGGTGTTCCTTTATCGACGACAAATTACAGGGAAGCCAGGCCTACAGATGGACTGATGGATACTTATACGCAGGAAGCTTTAGGCTTACTTCTCCTTGTATTTGTTGCTTGGTTGCTAAGTAGTGGAAGTTGAAAGGATAGAATGTATTCAGGGTTCTGATATGGCGGGAAAAGAAATGTAAGAGGTATTCGTCCAGTCCGATAACATATTGCATGTAAACGTGATGGTTGTATCACACATGTGGGTGGAAATGAATTGGATTATGTGGTTCCTTGTTACTACCTCTGGGCACTATTCAATCGGGGCGATTACAATCGGACCGAAATAGATTGGTACGGTTCAGGAGACTGGACAAGAGGGGAACTAAAAGGGCTCCGTCTTGACCCCTGTCCATGTAAGACCTTTTAGGAAGTAAATCCTAGAAAGTGGATAATGGTATAGTAGCTCCACCATCCTGATACTCAACCATCACACAAAACCTACACTCTCCGACACGGAATCCCTGGACCAAAAGAGAATAGCGCCTTGGTGTCGGAGTTCAACCCCGATTTCCAACCTTGCAGTGTCGATCTTAGGTTCACCACTCCTCAACAACGGCTGCAGGCTTGCTTCTTCAGACTCAAGACCAGAGATTGCTTTGCGTTGGGAAATGCACCTTCGTCTTTAATCCTGACAGAAAGAAACCACTGGCATCTTCCAATGCTGGAAACTCGACGATGATGCAAACGTAAGTGTGTGGAGTATCATGCGGGGACATATGCGGGGAAATGGCAGCGCGTAATATATTCCCGTTCATAGTCAACGCCACAGCAGCAAATCAGAGTTGTATCCAACACCACGACACCAAGTCAGGCCCCGGCCCACATGATACCAGAGTTCTCCTGCAGCTCGTATCATCGATCACAGCGCCTCGGTTGCGATATATCTATATCCTTGCATCGACCAACGAATCGAATACAGGCGGATTCGCACGTTGCCGGTGATCGATGTTGCTTTGTGTGATCGGCTGTATTTATATAATGTATACCCACGTGTTCATGGTGGTATACAGTTGACTAACGTCAACAAGAAGGTCAAGATTCAACACCATCACGAGAGCCGGAGTCACGACTCGAATGAGCATTGACCCAGTAGCCTCCGATTCGCTCGGACGCGGTATATATTGCTGCTGTGAGGCTTTCACAAAAGAGGTCAACACCGGGAAGTGCTCGATAGTAATCATTGGACGAATGCTCCCGTAGAGTGAACCAATACAGGTGGGCCATTGTCTCATGAGTTAACAGTACTGCAGGATACGAAGGGCGTCGAAAGCAGTTTGTTGATGTAAATGAGTTAAGCGGCGAGGAGTTAGACGGGTCACCATGATCGAAAACATTGGCAGAAGATATAAAAGCAACTCAGTGCCCCCTCTTCATCATCACTCACTTTACAAATACGGAGCAAACAGTACTGGTAGCTTGCCATCAATAAATCAGGATGAAGACTTTCGTTTCATTCGCAGTCCTCTTGACCACGGCTCTCTCAGCACCAGCGCCAGCGCCAGTAACAGCAGCAGAAGGAGTCAGTTTTCCGATCACTGATCTTCTCGGCACCGATCTTACCATCAAAGAATACACCCAACAACTTGAAGACGCTCAAAGAGTCGAAGAGTTTACCTTGACCAAGCGACAATATGGCGGCGACACTTACAATCAGCTCACTGACGGAACCGCATGTCGCGCGGTGACAGTCATCTGGGCACGCGGCACTACTCAGGAAGGAAACGTCGGAACACCAGACTCAGAAGGCCCGACTTTCTTCAACAATCTGGCTAGCAGACTTGGAGGCACCAGCCGATTGGCAATCCAAGGCGTGACCTACCCAGCCAGCATCGCGGGATTCCTAGCGGGAGGCGATGCAGCTGGATCTACCACCATGTACAATCTGATTAACACCGTTAGTTATGCCGTACATGTATATCGTATTGATCCTGTAAAGCTAATGCATTGTCTAGGCGGCGTCAAAATGTCCGTCGACAAAGATCGTGGTCTCGGGATATAGTCAGGGTGCCCAGTTGGTGCATACCGCAACACAAAGGCTTTCGGCAGCGGTTGCCGCAAGGGTTAGCGCCGGTAGGTCATAGTCCACATCACTCGTTCAATATCTCAGCTGATCACTATATAGTTGTTACCTTTGGGGACGCAGATAGAGACGAGACTTTCGGAAGCGTCGCGGCATCCAAGATCCTCATCATCTGCCATGATGGCGATAATATCTGGTGAGCTGCCAGGCTACACATGAATAGACTAGAAGCTGACCGTAACCAGTGATAACGGTATCATCATCACTCCAGCACATAGAAATTATGAGATTGATGCACCTGCTGCCGCGGCGTTTGTGGCTACAAAAGTCTGAACAGCGGAGGATCGTTTTCGTTTGGTTGTTCTCGGTGGGTGAACGGAAAGATGTTCTCTCTGGCTTTGGTCCATGTCACCATTCTGAGGTGTTTCCAGTTGCGTCTTACGAATTGGATATTTGTGAGCCAGTTGAAACCGTCGCTGTAACATTTGCTACCTCATTACAGATGCTTCGACACATCAGGTGCGTTTTGTTAAGGCAGAATGCGAGCCGTGAGAATTTCCTGTCTAGACCTAGATATGGAATTCAGAAACGCTGGCATAAATTCCAGTGCTTGTATAGTGAGACTGGTATACCCTCGACATCCAGTCAACTGATATAAGCTGTGAGAAATGTCATTGAGTTGTTAGAGTGACGTCGAATAGACGACAAATACCTTCTACGCCACTCCTATACCCTCTATCAATGGTCGAAACATGTTTAAGTTTATAGTTGTAGTCTAAGGTCATAAAAAGGTGATCATGACCAGCAAAATCGAGCTTTTGTACCAGCAATTAACATTTGTCAACACTAGTACGATCTGGAGTGTTAGCATATGCATACAAATCTCGCACTAAGCTAGGAATATGAAACCTTCATATTGTCAGCCTCGGTCAAGGGCGTACGCAGTATTATACTTCAAAGTCATACATATGATATGTTGCTTGGATCCATATCGTTTCCATGTAACCAAGTCTAAAAGGACAAAACGTTGATGAGGGTGTTCCAGTAAACGACAACTAATAAGAACTTAGAATCTTACATTGAACTAAACACCTTGAAAGTGATGCGGGGACTGAAATTTATGGAGAGTTATTCTGCTGGCATTGTCATCCTTGGGAAATTCCTTCCGCCATCACCCCATGTCCTGTCAGTCAACGAAGAAAAGTTCGATCGACTAGTCAATAGCGATTCGAACTGAGATAGAGCCCTTCTTCGTTTGCAAGACAATGAGATCATGATCGTATGAGATGTCCTCTACAGTGGTATCGACAAGACGAGCCCTTGGGATAACTCGGAAAGCCACGAGAGCCGCCATGAGGTATAATTCGCAGTATGCCAAACTGGGAAGTTTGTCAGCGTTGCTTCTCACGTTGCGATCGGATCTCATTTCACTTACTTCTCCCCAATGCACGAACGACTCCCTTTGCCAAACGAAATGAGTTTCTTCTGCAGTTGGTAGTTCGGCTGCCCATCCACAAGCCATCTCTCTGGGAGAAAATCGTCAGGGGTTGGGAACAGATCTTTGTTCCAGTGATTGATCATAGATGTCATTCCAATAGGTGTTCCTCTTGGAATGATGAAGTCGACTTTATGCTCCAAACTTTTATAGTGTAGGTCTTCGTCTCGAGCGATGCGAGCCGATCTGTGAGAGACGCCGGGCATCATGCGCAGACATTCTTGGAAGATGGCCCAGAAGTAGGGTCGTTTCTCGAGTTCGACCCACTTCAGTTGCGAAGGGTCAACGCCGTCGAGATCTTTCATGAGACGGGCATAAATTTCAGGCTTAGCGAGGACCCAGTAGGTGAAGACGGTGAGGGTGGCCTGTGTTACTCTAGTCAGCTCTTTCGGTCATCAGATGGGAGAGATAACTCACAGCAGTTGTCTCAGTACCTGCCAGTAGGAAGTTGAAGCCCTCGCCAGAGAGATAGTACATGTTCTTCTCTTCTTCTCGTACCGATTTTGACTCCATTATCTCAGCAAAAACCCTGCCGTTCTCGGGATGCCTCAGGGCAGCTTTGATATAATTCGGAATCACAACGTTCATCTGCCTCATGACAGCTTTGATGTCCTCACCCATGTAGTCGGCCAACAACGGTATGACCTGCGCCATTTTCCTACCCAAGGCGTTGTGCCTCATCATGTATGCACTCTGGAAGAAAGACTTGACCCAAGTCGCGAAGTTAGGCTCCCAGCCCTCTTGCGCAATGAAGCCCATAGGTTCACCAAACGCATATTGCGATATGACATCCGCAGTGAAGCAGTTGAATGCCTCCTTGACATCAAAAGCGCCCTTGCCAGCCGATTTCATCATCTTGGTTACAGTCAGATGGGCGAAATCATGCACTTCGCCCTCCAATTTCAGCATTTGCTGGCGCGAGAAGAACTTGGAAAAGGCGCCTCTTTTCAAGCGGTGCTGATCATGGTCGACAGTTGAGAAACCAGTGACTGAGACAGGGCCCGCACCACCTGTATTCAATTGATGGTACCATTTGTCGCGAACTCTTCCTGGGCCAGCGTAGATCTCGTCTGTAAACGCAGGGTCTGAGCAGTGGAGTTCGTCGGGGTTGATTCTGACGATCGGACCTTAGTATCGAGTCAGCTTGATTTGGGGCATGGGTTTGTTGACCAAATGTACCATATTGTTCATGCATACGAGCTATGACCTTGCCGTAACGTCCATGGAGCCACCAGTCGTGGTAAGCCTCATACAGGTACGAGCAAGCTGCAATCTTTGGACCAGGAAAGCGGGAAAGCGGATGGAAGGACGAGATATTGTACAACGCGATTGAGATGCGGTAGCCAACCCACAAAGCAACGATATATACAACATTCGACAACGACAGCGCAGCCATGAGGCTGTTCACAAGGGCCGATTTGGACTCCATGTTGAGCACAGTGTAAAGTCTGACACAGCACGAACTGCGCAAAGGCAAGAGAACTTGTGAGATGGTTTAGCGAGCCGCAGACACACAGGTGACGCGGACTCTAGAACTGTTCACAGAAGAATGGACAACGTGATCTATTCTGCCGGATTTGATAGCGTGTTGATGCGGCAGTGGACTTTTAGTGGAGCACAACCTCGGCCATATCTTCCCAGAGCAATTAGACAAGTTCGTATTGGTAGGCGGAGTCATCCTGGTTCACAACGGCTCACTGATCGGCATATGCCGCTATCAATATCTCACGCGGGAGATACTTCGATAAGGCATATTGACGTGTAGACCAGATACATTTTCTTGATCTTAACGGAGTCGCAATGTTACGCCTTACGGCCCGAGCCCGTACCTAATATGCTGTCAGTTATGTTCCGAGCTCACGCAGAGGCGGTGTGTAGCCCCACTCATCCGTGAGATTGGGTTGCATCTACTCGTGGCGAGTCATGACTGAAACCAAGGCGTACCATGTCCCGGTCGCACGACCGACTTGAAGCCGCAAGCTGGCAGGGGTATGTGAGATGTCACAGCAGGACTAACTTCAGCAAGCTTAACCAGTCTACAACCGGAGTTAAGGCCTCATTTTGTCAGTGTTGCCCACATTTAATGCTGAGTATTGCTACTAAACAACCACGAATAGCATGAATGGTATGGTTTCATGAGATTGACGTCTGAGAGTATTGGGGGTGGGCGAACCACCTAGAAGCACCGAACAGAGGAGCCTCCAGCGACGGTGGCACAATAAAGCCTTCCAAGAAAAACGTGGGGAGCAATGCTAAGATGCTCATTGGGTGACCAAAACGCCGAAAATCCCGACGGCAAGGTCGGCCGGGTCGTTGGTCCCCGCCCAAGCGAACCACGCGATTGACGGATGAATTTGAAATCCCCCACGCACTGCAACTGATGCTTTCGTAAGGTAGAGTTTTCAATCACATGAAGATTAGTGTTGCCAAATCTGCCAGACTTGATGTGTCGATCGAGGAAAAGCACCTCCCGTCACGTCACTGTACTCACATCTGATCTTGGCGTATGCACGTTCGATGCGATCCCCTGCGCAGCAGCCCCCTCCCGTTCTGTCGGAAAGAACGGAAGTAAGACTGTTCTCCACATCCTCATCCACCAATAGAACGCATCGATATAGATGTTCCTCAAAGTCAACTTGAATGGCTAGTCTACAGGAGCTTAAGTACCAACTATCTACCAAGATGTCTGCAAGATATCGCGGTAGTCTAGTGTTGTTGAGCTCATCCTAGAATCTGCGCTACTTCGGTGTTATGTGACATACCCAGAACTCATGACTTTCCGCATCCATCGAGATATGACCTGACTAGTTCGGCCCGTCCGATGCAACGTGTGGAGAGGGGGTAACACTCTCGGTTCGATGCATCCACAATGTCGAAACCTCACACTTGACCTGAAGATGAACCGTGTGAAGCTCATCAACTCCTCGATGCAATACGTTGACCACTCATCAAGTCGTCACAGAAGCGGCTCGGGAGAAAGAGTACAACAGTGTCGATCGCGTTTCCAACAAGACTGAGTACCTGCCAGGGCCGGATTCAAGCCTCTTCTTTCGGGTAGTGGTCCCCCTATTTCTAAAAACATCTTATATCCGCCCGCCGTGCGATCCATTTCGCTATAGTTTTTTTGGTTGTTTGTTCACGTCTATGTTTGCTATGGAATTACGCCCTCTGCCTATGACCGACGGCGCACGGAAGACGCTCATAGCAATTTCCGCATTATGGGTTGTCTTTGCGGTTGTGGTGATATTGCGAGTTCTCGGTCGATTTCGAGGAGTTGGTATGGGCGCAGATGATGTGTTGTCTATGGTAGCTCTGGTCTTGTCCGGTAGCACAATCGGACTCAACGTTGCAGGTCAGTACTTGCCATAATCGGAGCAACAGCAAGATGGCCTTACTGATGGTTTATCGAAGTCTTCAGCAATGGCGTTGGCTATAATTTCGATCCCGCTTCCGACATGTTTTCCAAGTGTAAGTCAACCCTGATACTATTGTTGGACATGCCGGCCAGATGTAACCAAACTAACTTGTGATACAGTGACAAATAATTTACCGTTCATCATGCAGGTATGTTTGGCACTTTGTGCAGAGCTCAGGGCCTCGCTGATCCAATACGCATTCCAGATCACCTTCGCCTTCACCCTGATTTATATCTGGTGCCTTGCAGCCCTTAAGATGAGTCAGCTCGCACTTTACATGCGAGTGTTTTCATTGCAGTTGCGCAACTGGGTATATGGCATCGGGGCTATAGTCCTCACCTGGGCTATATGTTTCAATTTTGTCTTCATCTTCCTGTGCGATCCAATACCGCAGCAGTGGACGATGGATCGCATTGGAAAATGCGTGGACCAGATCCTGGTGCTCAAGTGCCTCATCATCACGAATCTCGTCACTGATCTTATGATCTTCCTCTTACCTATTCGTGCTGTTTGGCAGTTGCAGATGCGCAAGACGGAGAAGTTCGCTGTTCTGGCTTGCTTTGGACTTGGCCTTGCGTGCTGCGTCATTTCCCTCGCTAGATTCAGTACGTTCAGCCTCTGCGATACCTGACATCTTAACTGACTTAACTACAGTCCAGATATACACAATCGGTAGGCTATACAACAGAACCTCAATATCTCTGAATTGAAAAAACTTACACTCTCTAGATCTCATTGGAAACCTAACCGGTACATCGCTTACGACATTCATGCTCTGTACTGTGGAGCTCATGTTAGCTGGTCTTTGCATCAACATTCCTCTGCTCCGTCCATTCTACAAGCGCTGGAGAGCAAAGTACAAGTCCTCTTCTGATGGTTCTGGAGGACACGAGTCTGGAAAAGTGTCGTTGAGGAAAGGGCACTTGGTGCCCCCGCAGGCTAGACAAGACAACTACATGGCCTGGATCGAATTGGTAAGCTCGTTCCCAGTCTTCGCGTGCCGAGATAGCACTGACATATTGCAGGACGACAAAGAACGCACGATGATTACACAACATGACGCAGGCTCTGAAACCAAGCTCACCTCTGAAGCACCCGACGTTGCGATTCACGTATCTAGAGATTGGGCGATCACTCGTGTTTGATAAATTTGATATATTATGGTCTTCAACCATATGCGTATTCTCAGAACCCATTTGATACCTATCATTCCGAACACCACACTGTTCAGGATGTGATTGGTGATCGAACAGCTGTGATGGGCTGTGCTGAAATCAGATGCTTGTGATAGAATTGAAAGAGAATTCTCAAACGAAGCAAACATATATATCGGAAAGCTCTGTCGAGTTGACCTGACTTATCCGGTTGTCGAATATGTCCAGTCTCAGATCCAACCTAAGCCTACATTTGTTGTGGAAGTCCTGTCTGAGATATGGTCCTACGCACCCGTCAGCGCACATATTGCGTCAAATATGCTAACTCTTCACCCCTAGCCAGCATTGCATTCGACATGACATCTCAGGAAAGCCAAATTTGACTGCCTAAGTCGCAGTGTCACATTCTAAATGAAATGTGGCAAATCGAAGGAGGTATATAGACTACTATATAGGGCAGTGTGGTCATTCCGAGCATGGTTGATAATCGTTTCGTACACTATGAGGAAGGGAACAGATCGATCGTGACTAGGGCCAGCCGTCTCAACACAATAGGGCATCTCGAAAGCAGATTTTGATGACATTTGAATATTGTTAGAGAACTATCTTCACCATCGTCTCATATTGTCATCGCCTAGAGAGCGACCCCAATATATCAAACTTACACAAAGGCAGCTTCAAAGGCTCGTCTGTCCAGCTTACTCCGTCCGGAACTTGATTCTCAGGAACCCTAATCCATGACACAGCTATCTCCGCCGGTCTAAGAAGCCCGCTGTAATTTGGTCCTCTTGATTCCGAAAGAAATAAGCAATCCCACTGCACCTACTACAGTGTATACAATCCAGGTTCCTCTCAATGCACCAACAAATCCCTCTCTCACAGCCACCCTTTGATGGGGAGGAAGTCCTGCAACGACTTGGGCTTGCGCGATTGCTTCACCCCCCGCCAATTGAACCGCAAGCTCGTGTGCCACACCATCGTTAACAAGGTCACCCTGATACGAAATCATGAGAAGCTGGAAGACAACTTGTCCAACCACAACACCGATAGCACCAGACATCATTCGCACAAACCCAAATGCCGCTGTACCGGTTGCGATATCGGCCTCTGAGACGCGGGTTTGCAGCGCAATGAGGGGGGTGCTAAAGTTCGGACCGAAACCAAGACCTAGGAGGACGAGGAAGCCTATGATCTTGGCGAGGTCAAACGATGAGTCCAACGATATAAGGAGGCCAACACCGAGGGTCATAAGGAGTAAACCTGCTTGTAAAACTTCGAGGAAACGACCAGTTCGCTCAATGATGTAGCCAGACGAGAAAGACACGAGAGCTAGAGGGATGGCCATGGCGAGCATGTATATACCGGATGTTGAAGGGCTCTTGTCGAGCACGATCTGGAAGTAAAGAGGTAGAAAGTAGGCGACCGAGTTGAATACCAGAGCGTCGCAAGCACAGACTCCTAGTGCGCTCAAATTGCTCACGTCCTTGAATATACGCAATGGCATGATCGGGCTACCGCGTCGTTTGCCTTCCCACCATTGGGTGAAAGGGAAGACGATGTATGCGAGAGAGCCGAGAACAAGAAGCGATATGACCAACGGAGTCTTGTAAGAAGTGGTTCCACCACACTGTAGACCGACAAGAAGGAAGATGGTTGCGGCGAGTATGGCCAGCGTACCCAGCCAGTCCATGGATGCGAGTCCAGTCAAAATTTGAGTCCGAGGGTTGTGCAGATGGAGAGTAGCATACAGAATCACTGTTGAGACGGAAACGATAAGAACTACCAACAGTCAGTGAACTTACACTATGGTAAAGAAGCATGAATGCTAAGTGATGAAAAGAACCAAAGCAGGAGCAACGTACGGTTGATGTAGAAGCACCATCGCCAATTCAGCTTCTCGGCGAAAATTCCACCCAGTACTGGACCTAAAGCAGATGCCACAGCCCATACGGCGCCTAGTATGCCCATGTAGAAAGATCGATCACTGTATCGATGTTAGTGAAGTTAAGAGATGTGTCCTCCAACTCTGTACTCCTATATCTATAATGGCTGGAGCCAAGGGCAGTGGTTAGCAAGAGCGAGTGTACCTCACTTACCGAATGCAAAACAAATCGCTGACACAAACATGCACCAATACCACAACGCCACCTCCACCTAGGCCTTGCACCGCTCGTCCTGCAACCAGCATTGTTGCGCTACGGCTAACAGCGCATATGACGCTGCCAACCAAGAAGATCGTATTCGCAACCAGGATCACAGGCTTTCGTCCAAACACGTCCGAAAGCTTACCCCAGAAGGGCACAGACGCCGCGTTGGCGAGAAGGTATGCGGAACCAGTCCAGGCGTAGAGCACGTCTGGTATATGGAAGGACCTAGAGATTGTAGGAAGCGCAGTTGGTAGTAAGACAGTGTCGAGGGCTACTAGAAAGATGGAGAGACTCAGCGCAATGAACGCCAACAGGGAGGGTGTTGAAGATCGAGAAATCTCAACTGGGCTTGCATTCTTGACAGAGGTGTCACTTGAAGCTTCTGAGATTTCTAAGTGTAATCGTGGGTTGGATGTTGTGATATTTGTGCCCGATGGCAGGGTGGGCGCATGCAATCTCGGGTCTTCGTTTGCCGCACGTGGTTGCTCATGGTGTTCTTGGAATTCAAACTCTTCAAAGTGGTTAGGACTGGTGATCAAGAACTCGAAGGTTTGGAACTGACGACTCTGCTGCTTGGTTGAAGGAAAGTCGGCCATGATGTGTGTCGGCAATGGAGAACTATCGAGCGTCGAAATCCCGTATCAGGTATTGTTCTCGAGAGTGGATCACCTGTGAATGACCTTTTTTCGAGCGGTGAATCCGAGACGCCGAGGAAAACAAGGACGTTCTGGAGTGAAAGTGAGTTTGCCGCACTTTCGGATACCAGTGACGTGATCCCGCACAGGTTTGGAAACTACTTCTTCAATTCTGATGCACCGCTTAAACAATCTGCAAACGCTGTAATCTCTAGTGAAGATTAGAGTAAAGATGCCTCTTGTGGTGGTCGAGTTCCGGGTTTAGGTGCTGCGAGCGCGTATCGAACGTGTTCAAGCGTCTGTACCTATAGCTAAGTGAAAATATTGGGTGTAGATTACAAGTACAAAGTTGGGCGCCAAATTCGAGATTTGATGCATGCAATGAGCGATAATCTCGACGATACCGGCGCGAACTGGTAGCTCTAGAAATGAACCAGCTGCATCATTTCTTGAAGCCAGGATGGGGCCTTTTCGGTGCTGCTTGAGTTCGAAGCTAAGGCAACTTGCACCGCAGGAAGTGAGTCGCTGTTATACAACTACAGCTGAGCTATAAATGTTGTGATACCGTAAATGTTTATGCTGTGGAATCCATGCATTAAGGTCAGCCCACGGAACAGATTCCGTACACGGTTGCCACAACGTCGATGATGTTGTGGAATTCATAATTCTTTCATGACTTGCCCTTTGTTGTTCAACCCATGTGACATGTTCGTGGTTATTACCGAGCTTCGAGTCTTTAACAACACTTGACATTTTTGGAGGACATTCCCCAATGCTTCGGGATCAACATTTCTGCGTGTGTGCATAGAGAAGAGTATGCTAAAAGAGAATGACAATAGTACCCACAGTAACTTACATGGACTCGTGCTTGCGGTAGAATTCGAGTAAACGGTCAGCTAGAGAGTGATTTCCGAGTTTACATGCGTCACGTGCGGCTGCCATCCTCGTCATTCGTAGAGCTCCAACATTTCGTCATGCGAGATCCCACCCTACGCGACAGACTCCTTCAATCACGTTCCACGAAACACGAGCAACGGGATGCAGGGATTGCAATTACATGGGCAATGTCGTGGCTCACGCGGGATACGGAGCTAGGGACTACTCCCCTGCTGTAATATGCTGTGCAGTTGAGACCGTTGCAGCAGAATAAACAATGGGCTTGACTGCACGGTACATCTGAGACACAGAAATTGTTGGTAAATAGGGCGAAGGATGTCAAATTTGAAGCGTTATGATATGACGGTCAGCTTACCAGTTGCTGAAGATCCTTGTGGTAGATTCTTCTCGATAAGGGATTTTCAGAAATGTACATGCGAACACATCTGGAGCGTACGACAAGAAATGAGCGGCGATGATGCATGACCTGCTGAGGCCCAGGGTCTGTAATCCATGCTTCAGGTTACCGCAGACCATGCGATCGACGACCCTCTTATGTTGCAGGGTCAATGCAGTATCACATCGAGAATACGGACGAAGAACTCTGGAAGATTTTTCTCTTTCTTGGAAAAGCATCCAATACGCCTCAAGTATCGATTTCATCAAGTATATCGCACGCTCGAGGATACAGTCTATCGGTTCGGCATTTGTTGTAGGAGAGAGCCTTGTGAACACAAAACAGGCTCACGCTAGATTTGGAAACTTTTGTTCCAATCGAACGGAAAGGCGACGCGGCTTCCCTCATGTTATTTAGGACGAAGCTAGTTGTCCACAATGGTCGCTGGAATCCCTATCTTCTGTTGTTCTCAAGTGCTCCGTCCACCAGGTCAAAAAAACCAGACAGTTTTCCTTCTCTGTACTGCTGACACATGATGAAACTGTCCAGTTTTTTCTGACCAGGTGGTGCTCATATCAATTTTTGCACAGTGCTAACCGGATTGGGGCATGAGTACAAACGGTAGCGTTGAAAACCAATTCTCCTGCCCTTCACCTGAGTTCTGAGATCATCTTGAGTGTTCAGACTTATTCGTCGGACAACTCGGCTAAACAGCATGCCTTTCCACTTTCTGGAACTCAGTGCAGGTATAAAGCTCTATGTTCATGCCTTTCTCCCAAACGTCAATAACCTCGAGCAGAGTTGCGAAACCGTATCTATCACTTCGCTGCGATCTCCGACAGGCCTATTCTTGTCAGTTGTACCAGAAACAATGAAGCTACCAACGAGTCCGCTGGAGGAACCTTCGCCGGCCTCACACGTGTTTGTCACCAAATTCGCCACGAATACCGCCCTATTCAACGTCAGGAGGCCAGAATTGGAGTTGACTTGGAGGAGGTGAACACTTATTTGGAGACCTTCCACGACGATCCTAGAGATCTTACTTCTGAGCCTCAGCATCTCCTCATCACACTGAAACCCATGCTGGTGAGATTGGAAGATGTTGGAAGTGCCGGTATTGATCTACTCCCTCTTCTAAGGTTTCTTGGAGGTTGGTTACAAACAAGATGCAACTCCATGGTCAGGTCGTGGCATTCTCCCATTTGTTTGCCGCATGGAGTGAATTGGGATCACGTCGTTGAGGGTGCATGCGACGAGTGCGGGGACTTGAATCGGCTACTTGACAACGACAACTCCACCTGGCTCAGGCATATACAGGATGGAAGATTTGACAGGATCACTGTTCGACGACAGAGCCACTTCGGTCTATCTATCGTGATTGCCTGTAACCTGAACAAAATACCGGACGACATTTTCGAGATGCTTATGACAGGGCCAAAGTGGATAGCGTACAACGATTATCTAACTCGACTCGGGATCTACGAGCGATTTTCGGATATCTCAATGCGGCTTGAAGACGACGACTTCCCGCAGTGGTTTACCAATCATTGAGAGTGGCAGGCATGCTTGTAGAGACTTTGTGGCTCAGACGTATGACACTCTCTTCCACAGCTCAAGGGGAGGATATGTCCGAGACTGGATGCAGTATCGACGCACACGGGGTGGAGAAGTCCGGAGAGAACGTTTATGTGCTGTCCGTGAAAGACTGGATATTTTAAAGTCTCAGCGCAAACGCCAGGTAGATTCAACAGCACCTAGGGCTGCAAATGTTAGACTGGTTTTCATCCGAAGAGGTGTTGCCTGATCCACAATGTAGCAACCACACATTTCAGATAGAACCGAGCCCTAAAAGTTCGAGCGCCTGTTCTTCCCACCCTACACAGTGACTCCTCAAGTGTGTGATCCTGAATTCGACACTCTCATTTTGGTCTTTCAGCAACATGATGCCTCAAACCAGCTTTCTCGGCGTCGTTCTTCCTGTGTGGAGCAAGGAGATCGCGGAGACATATCTCTACTTGTTGGTGTTAAAGCTTAAGAAGCTCGTCTCTGATACGTATCGGTTGTGCCACCAAATTCACTTGTATTCCGCGTGGCAAAGACTACGTAAAAGTAGCTGAATAACCCAACTATCATTTTCGATGTATTCTCTGACGTGAAGAATTGCTCTGCATATAGTGCTGGATTTAGATCTCAAGATTTCTTTGCACCATCCCGAGGCGGACCGCGAGTGTATAAGAGTTCGTGTTGAAGAGTATGCGATGCATTCTTTAGGATCATTCATAACATATCTGTAGGAACATTTCTGTGTAGATCTCCATATCGAAGCTGGTCAACGGCATCTGTTGATGTGATATGTGTGGGCACTAGAGTTGGCACAATATAGTGGGTTGTGTAAGATGGGGGCATTGATTTGATATCCTACCATCGATATATAGACTTTTCGTACTATGAGTATCGGAACGCGCTTTTGTAGTTGCCGTTGCAAGTTAAGCACTGTATATACACTTCATAAAGAACTGCGAAGTCTTCCCTCGGAAGACGTAGGAACTGTCTAGTGATCGGCAGACTCTGAAGCAAGACATCCAGTCGGACTGTGAGTTGATCAGGCTCTACAATACGATCATGCATCTATCCGCCTTGCAGAGCGAGATCACGGATAGCTGCGTATCTATTTGCTTGGCTCCTTCTACTGTCACGATACCTGTTCCACGTGCTCACCGCTCATACACAGCAGGTCAATCAGCGGTGTCGGGTCGGAGTTGTGCAGGTAAGTACATGCCCAACAAGTCGGTATGTGTTGCTACTCTCGAGACAATCTTCTCATTTAGAGGGCGCATTGCCTTCGCAGGCTACCAGAGCGTGGTGTTGTACACGCTGCATACTTGCTCCGTTTATATAGCTTCGGGATTATCTCCTGCGAGTCCCCACCAGTGCACAAGACGATGCTCAAGCAACACCACAAACCTGCAACGCTCTCAGTCTCAATACCAGCTTTGTATCGTCTTCCGCAACAGCGGCACGTCTCTGACTGCGCCACTGCAACTCTAGCTCTTTCTCTCCGCGATATCGGCAGCTTTTCATAACTCCCACTACACTACACTGTCGCAGTGACCTCGGATTTCAGCCCTCAAGCCCCGGTAGCATTGCGGGGCTCCACACTGATCATAGTCAGTGTATCACCTTCACCATGAGTTCTGCCAGCCTCACCATTTATAAAGCGGCCCCACCCTCTATCTCTTGCTCTCTCATTTCCTCAAGCCTCTCAGTTTAGCTATTTTTATCGGGAAGCTCTCTAATATCCGCCAGCGATGATGACGTGAGTTTCAACTTCATTTCTACTGTGACACGCAACTGGCGCTAACTGCACGAACAGCGACAACCGACCCTCAACACCTCCTCCTTTCGAAGGCTCGGGTTATCCTTCACTCGTACCTCCTACACCTCGCACGCCAGGACCATCATGGCTCATCAACGACGGCAATCTAATCACAGGCTCACAACATGCTCTGGTACCTCCTTCTCCAGGCGGCGTGCTAGGCGCTGGATTCGGCGATCTGGCATCCCCCAAGGCTTCTAATGGGGAACTCCCACCTTCAAAGACCAAAAGCAAGAATCGCAGTGTGACGGGTCCACGTGCTGGATCTGGCATCACCAAGAACGTCAAGGACAAGGGCAAGAGTGACGGTGCGAAGCTTCTCGATGCTGCTGTTAGTGAGAAGACGAAGTTGAGTGGCAAGGTGCTTGAGAAGCCGTTTCGCTTCATGGAGCTGCCTGGCGGTACAAACGTCTCCTAGTTCTGCTCGTCTTGATGGCAATACTGACATAAAACAGAAATTCGGAACATAATCTATCATCATACCTACTCGAATCCGAAGCAAGCTCTTCTTGTGCATCGACCACGTCTCGCCTCTCTACGCTCCAGCACCCGTATGGATCGTACGCGCCCTCTTGAATCAGATATCGCGGGCCAAGCGCATGACTACGAGCTCTCGACCAGGAACACCAAGATCACCAAGAGCAAGACGCCTAGCAAAAGCAAGCTTTTACCTCGCGAATCGAACCGCCCCTTTCATGTCCTCACGCAGATCAGCCGCCAAATTCGCGCCGAGTACCGCCCTATCTACCTTCAGAAGCAGGAGATTGGCATGGATCTCACTGAGATTGTCGCGTATCTACAAACGTTCTACTCGGATGCTCCGAACTTGGTCGCTGCACTCGGCACGACTGGTGACAGGAAGTTGGACATGCCGTTTACAGGCAATTTGACTATCGCTGTTGGTGACAACGCCAAAGGCCTGGAGCTAGACAATCTGGGTGTCGATGTCTGGCCGTTGCTAGACATCTGGGCGAATAGTTGGAAGATTGAGGCTGGATTTGGACGTTACATGAAGGCGGGGTACCTGCCTGAGCGTGACGGCGAAGCCAAAGATCTGTAAGTGTTTTTACTTGTTCGTTGCTACATGCGTTAGATTAGTTTACTAAACTCAACAGGTACCGCCTTTTCGGCCGTCGTGTTCTTCGTAACCGTTCATGCTCCATCATGAACAACCTTTGGCGCACTATTCTTCGCACACGCTCGTTGGCTTCAGTTCGCCTTCTTCGCAAGCCTGCTACTCCAGTCACTCCAACATTCACTCCGGCTCCGACTCCTCCAGTCCCCATCATTGGTCTCCGCCCCATGATTCGCGAGCCCCGGCCTTACATCCATATCCTCTTCCGCAAGGAGTGCGCAGAATCCTGGATGACAGCTCTGGAGTCCAAGGCTCCTACCATGTGGCTGTCTGACCGTGGGTTTGGTGGTATGGAGCACTTCGATGTCAAAGTTGGTGTGCTTGTAGACGAGTAAGTCTGCAAGGGAGTGGACCAGAGTTTATGACTATAGATTGGAACAGCACTGGCGGTACATCCACCACCTTCGACCTCGACGATTTGGCAATGAATCGCGATCTGAAGATTTAGCTGACGACATTCTTTGGCAACTTGAATATGGGACTTGCCACGACCTTGTAAACGATTGACGACTTGGATCTCGTAGTATCTGTGCTTGCTCGACGGTTGATATACATACTCCACTTGGATGTTGATCGATCGATAGTGGCTGGGTTGGCGCTTGGTACATTGAGTTGAACTCTGAGGTCGCCATTTGGGATCGACACTTTTGTCTTGGGAGAGACTTCATACCATAAATTTCCCATGATCAGCCACCATTTAGGTGTATTCATTTAGCGGTATTCCACAATTGGCAGTAGATGACTTTAGTCTTTCCGTAGGCAGCGTTTAATATCAATGATGCCTCGCTATATCTATTGGCATGAACATTATCGTGAATATAAACAACTTTTGTGCGACGTATCCGTTTTTATTAATCGACTTTATGGGGATTTTCGATGAAGAGAGAAGGGTATTTGTCGCCACAGCGTGACATCGGAACAACACGCGCATAAACGCTTAACACAGCGACAAAACAGGAACTCAATCGACAGTCATATGAGAAAGTGATCACAAACATAAAATGTAGTTGAAGGAGAGTGGGTCTGGACGCATAACCAATCTGCTCTGCCTAAAGATAGGGTCGATGAACTGTCTTTTGTTTTGATATGTCGATAGGTTTTGGAGATGCTGAAGACTCAACAACTCTCGCAATTGTCTAACCCCATCGTTCAAATGGTTATTACACCAAGCGCGAGGACAACACGTTCGCACGTGTTATGACGTCATACATCTCCGCGGTTCCAGCACATCCACACCCAACAAATAACACTTTCTCTAATGCAAAGCTAGAGCATGCCCAATCCAACTCGACAACAAATTACGAGAGTTCGCCACCTTTAACCATAACACGCCAATTCGCAATCCCTGCAAACGCCCCTGAGCCCCGCGCCGTTTGACATGCACGATCGCGTGTCCGCGCGACTGGCAAAAAGCTAACGCAACGTCTTCTGCACGACCATGCAACGACCCACATGCTTGGACATGGCAAGAAAACAACCTCGAGTATGGCGGCGCCACGTCTCGCCTCGATGGTAATGGGCGCCTGGTGGAGTTGACGATCCTGGCGGTGTCTGAGGTCATCGACCAGGATGTTGACCAGTTGTCGACGCGCACATTGCTCCCCGGGATATGATGGCGCAGTGCAGACACCCTCCTTCGTCTGTTCTCTAACACCCTCTAGTACACTTGCTTTTTGCTCCTCCAGTGTGTTGTCTTTCTAGTTCTGTTTGTTCCGCTGTCACTCCACTGCCAACACACAAAAGCATAAATGTCTCGTCCCCAGTCCCTGCCCGATTTCTCCGATCTGATGGACCCGTCAATGCCGCTCTTTGAACCCAATCGTCAACCGCGACGTCAGACATCGCCAGAACGCGCAACGTTGATGGGCAGGGCCGCAGGCAGGAGAAAGCAACCTAGCATGTCGCTCGCAGCAGGCTTGATCATGAACAGCGAAGGACCAAACGGACCGCTCAAGTCGCCGCGGAAGAAGACAACGGAGAATGGGTCGCCGAAGATGGAGAGGAGTGTCAAGGAAGAGGAGACTGAGGGCGGAGGCACTTTGTTCTATGCATATGCGCTCAAGGTATGTCTTTGTATACTCAACGACGACTTGAGATGGAGCTAATGTGACATAACAGAGCGACTACGCTAACTCTCCGCCCTCCATACTGACCTTCGCCTCGGCTGCCATCTGCACAAAATGGTGGAACCTTGTGCAACGCGAGTACTCCTCCGCTTCACGACCCAGCCCACAGCTTTTTGTGCTGAAGAGTGAAGATCTATCCAACATTGACGACGATTCGAAGTTTGCCAATCTACGAAACTTGTGGTTCTGTACCGCGCAGGACAATACAGATGGACCAACATCTATAATTCCCCTCCAGTCTATAGATGGGACCCCCGTCGGGTCAGCTTTCGCATCACAAGTCAGCGCTGAAAAGTCTGCTGCTTCAAATGACGCCATCGACGCGTTGACAGCTAAACTTGACAAGCTTGCCACTATCGTAGTGGACAACGCAGAACATATCAACGCCCTCTCCGTCGCGCAATCCGCGGGTCTCCAACGTATGCAACAATTCAACGAATCGACCTCCACGCAGATCAAATCTTTGGCCGACACACAGGCCAAGCTCCAGCAACTCGTCGATAAGAATGCCTCACACTATATCGCGTTGAGCAACTCCACGTTCCGTAATCAAGATCAGATCAAAGATACGTTTACCTCTGCCACCACTCAGATCAAGAACCTGGTCGGGAACCAATCACAGATGGTCAAGACTTGCGGAGAGATGATGCGCAGTATCGAGTCGTTGAGCACATCCGTCACACATCTTGACACCTCCGTCCAGCGCAATCAATCCTGCGAATTTATTTCAGAGGACATGTTCAGCGCCATGGCGAAGCGCATCGCGCCTCCGCCGAGGAAGCTCAACAAAAGAATCAAGGGCGTGTGGTACGAATACGATCCTGAATTTACGACTGTGAGAAGGGAGATAGAGACACCAGCTGTGCCGAGCACGCCGAAGACCCCGAAGAAGTTGAACGCCTCACTTACGGATACGCCGGCGAAGAGGCCTGGCACGCCGAGGAAATTGACGGGCGCTGATACACCGGTCAAGACGCCGAAGAAGGCGTAAGGTGGGCATAAGAGGTTGCTCATGGGTGATAGGAGCGGAAGTTGGCGCCGTGCGCATCGACAGCTAAATTGAGTCAATGTATAGGAACATGTATGATAACGAGATAATGGCTATGGGGATTGGGAGTTCAATGGAGTTTGATAGCGACCATTTGGTAGATCATATCACGTCTAGATTTTTTGGTAGTTCTACTTCGCTGCGATTCCGTTCTGTGGCAGAGTTTTAGACCTCACCGACATGCGACTCTGAGTTCGAATATGGAGGTTCCATCTACGAACCATGGCGTCCTATGTGCATATCCCGCTGTTTTCGGCGTCGTTCTCGGCAGTATGAAAAGCTAACTAAGAATAGGTTCAGCTTGGAACAACTGATGCGCCTCAAACTCTTCATTTTTCATAAACTTCATGTTGGAACCGCGATGAGAAGGAGGGTTTCTGGGGAGACAGATGTTCTGTGCTCCTCATGATTCAACAAGAATGTCGCAAACTCGTTTTGCAAGCGAGATAAGTCCTCCTGCAACATTTCAACCTTGATCAGAGGAAAGTCGTATATAAGTCTGCCACTCCAGTCGATGGTAACGGTTTTGACACTACCGTTTACCAAACAATCTCGTGTATCCGCTTTACAAAATTCCATGAATGCCTTCATCGCGTAACAGGTTTGTGACCCAATCCAGTCGTACCCGATTTTGCAAGGATTAAGTTTGAACTCCGGATTCCTACAGATCATTTGAAGAGCCGATGTGAAGTCGAATTCCCAAAAGCTTTGGACATCTGAAGCGTGTGATTCTTCGTCCAAGTAAAAATCGATGTATCCAGGGCATCCCTGAAGCTTTTCTTGCTCGTCGTAGAAAGTCTCAATGTATTCGCTCAGCTCAGTCGCGCAGATCTTCACCGTTTCACGTCGCCAGCGTCCCATGAACATGGGTTTGAACTCGCTACGGATCTGACGACAGACCTGCATCAGAGCCATGTTATATCTCAGTCTCCCTGGCTCGGTTTCGCAGCACTCCCAGAGGAGACTGATGGGCGCATTGCGTGTAAGTATCGTACATTATGACCATGAATTCGCGTGCACCGCGAACTCGTAGATGCGGTTACGTAGCTCTGTTTGTTCGTCAGGGTTGATACGGTCATTTTTGTGTCGGCTCGATCGTGCGAATTACCTGCAGGAAGCTCGAGGAAACGGGAAGGCCCTGGCTTGGGGCTGTTCGTGTTTGCCATGGCAGTACAAAAGTGTTCAGATCGATTTGCCTAATACGCAATGACATCAGTGTCTTTCGCTTAATATCAAAGAGTTACGCTTGCGCTATATTGAGGATACGTTTCGTGATGAATGTCTTGGTGCGTTACAGCAGCCAGTAGCGTAGTATGCTTGGTGATATGGTGATATGCTCAAGATGCACGCCAAGCCGCATCCGGAATAGGTTGCATTACTGTTTCCAACAAGAGCTTATATCCTCACAAGAACATTTAGAATATACTTGTTGGTATGGAACAGACACAAAAGAGACGCAAGTGATAGCTCCGAATCGAAAATGTAGAAGTGAAGACAATCATTGCGGAACAATAGAGATATTGAGCTACTAGTATCCGAAGTGGATGATCTAGGGACTTGATCCCAAACAAGAAGCTCATGAGTTTAGAGGTGGGAGGTTGAGTAGATATGCGGTTGCAACTGCCTGACCATATTCGACTCTATTGATTGATTCCGGGGCGTCGCTGGAGTAATGACGGATTCTGAGGCGAACGACCGTCAGTCAGAAAGGGTAAAAAGAGACTTGGGTTGAGAATTCGACTGCAGAGTACTGCGGAAGGTGAGTCTCTTCATGTTTGCAATGTTAATGAACCTCGTGCGCCTTCTATCAGAGTTGGGACGGATTTTGCTCGATCACACGACAGAATGCGAGGGGTTCGATGCAGATTAGCTTCGCGAAGAAGGATAGCGATGACGTCACATTAATCAGATGAGTATGCATTCAGGAACAATGCAGGTACGTCGACCGAGATCATAACACTCAAAATATAGCGGATACCTTTCCCGAACTGCAACGGGATTAATATACGCCCAAGCTCACGCAAGAACGGACAAGCTCATACCCCGGCGCCACCCCGCAGATCGACAACGCTGCATGCCGTATACCGCAACGGTTGAGGAGTCGCGTTGACGTGACATATCCGAGGTCTTCCCAGACACCGATATTGGTGGAACAGTCCGCGTTGATCTAGCAATGCTAGGGTAACAGCGACTAGTAAGGGTTACTGCAATATAGCACATCTCGGAAGCACGGAAGAGAAGATGGGGAACGAATTGGAGTTCGGAGGACATTGGCGCGAGGACGGTAAACGTGCTGTCATATGTAGACACGATCGGGGTCGGCTAAGTCTCCAGCAGTGGTGAGAAACCTGAGCTTGGGTATACAAAGGCCTCGCACACCCGGGTCTCTTTGATAATCCATCTGACTTTTGCTACTTTTTGTCAGGATGAAAACGTCTCTCAAGCTTGGAGGCGCAATTGCACTTTCATTGTTTGCTGTTGAGTCTGCTGCTAGGGCAGTGGGATTTGCACCTAATCAATGGATTACCCCATACAAAAGAGAAGCATTGCAGGACATCGTGAGTGAGGAATAGTTGAGATGGCGTTACCTCCGATCGCTACTGATATCATATGCAGGTTACATGGGACGCAGATTCGATATTTGTGCATGGGCAGAGAATATTTCTATACTCTGGAGAAGTGCATCCATATCGGTATGTTCGAGCTTTTTGTTCGCCGTAATCTATCTGCAGGCAACGAACAAGAGGACTGCCGACAAAGCATAACCCAAACCATAAAGAAATTGAGCTTGCTAACTCCCGCCAGACTTCCAGTACCCGATCTATATCTCGACATCTTCCAAAAGATCAAAGCTCTTGGCTACAATGGCGTCTCCTTTTACGTTGACTGGGCATTGCTCGAGGGTAAACCTGGGGTATACCGCGAGGAGGGCGTATTCGACCTCCAACCCTTCTTCGATGCCGCCTCTGAAGCTGGTATCTACTTGATTGCTAGACCTGGACCATATATCAATGCTGAGGTATCCGGCGGCGGATTTCCCGGATGGATTCAACGAATCAATGGCACCCTAAGGACGAGATCACCAGACTTCCTCAAAGCGACAAACAAGTGCGTGTGAAAACGTTGTAACCACATTTGACACTGACGTAAATTAGCTACATGAAGAACGTCGGAGCAAAGATAGCTGCAGCCCAGATCACGAACGGCGGACCGATCATTCTGGTGCAGCCCGAGAACGAATATACGCAAGCGACATCAGCGATCACACCCTTCCCAGATCCGGTCTACATGGATTATGTCATAGATCAGTTGCGTGACGTGGGTATCGTTGTGCCTCTTATCAGCAACGACGCTTCGGCTAAAGGAAACAACGCGCCCGGTCAGCCTGCAGCTGTTGACATTTACGGCCATGATGGATACCCACTAGGCTTCGATTGCTCGAACCCAAATATATGGCCGGATGGGAATCTCCCAACGAATTGGCGACAATTGCATGAACAGCAAAGCCCTAATACTCCCTACTCTATCGTTGAGTTTCAAGCTGGCAGCTTCGATCCTGTAAGACACCTTCTCGCGTCAAGACGACTATATGACTCACATACACTAGTGGGGGGGACCAGGCTTTGACCAGTGCAGTGTCCTCGTCAATGCTGAGTTCGAGCGAGTGTTCTATAAGAACCTCTATAGCTTTGGAGTCACGATTTTGAATATGTACATGACGTTTGGCGGCACTAACTGGGGCAACCTGGGACATCCGGGCGGTTACACATCATACGACTACGCAGCGGTCATCCGTGAGGATCGACGCGTCGATCGGGAAAAGTATTCTGAACAGAAGCTGCAAGCCAATTTCTTCAAAGTTAGCCCAGAGTATTTGACTGCTACCAGAGGAAATGCTTCAACTACTGCTTGGACCACAAGCACCGCTTTGACAGTTACTCCGGCCTTTGGCGATAACACCAAGTTCTACTTTGTTCGACATGCCAGATACAACTCTCTCGACTCGACAAGCTACAAGATCAACATCGCTACGTCTGCATTTGGGAATATCACAATCCCACAAGTCAACGGTACCTCCCTCATGCTCAACGGACGCGACTCCAAGATTCACGTCAGTGACTACGATGTTGGGGGCGCCACGCTCGTCTACTCGACTGCTGAGATCCTCACCTGGCACAAGTATGATGACAAGACTGTCCTAATTGTATACGGCGGACCTGGAGAGACCCATGAGCTAGCTCTTGCAATGGGTGGACTGCAAATTCTTGAGGGCAGTGTCCAGAGTATTACCACAGGAAATGCCACGGTCTTGAACTTCAAAGCAGATGGCGAAAGGAAGGTCGCTAGATTCGGCTTGAAGAGCAACTTCGTATACGTCTATATGGTTGGTGAGTGCTCGAGCAGATGCATGTTACACTCCTCAACTCCTCGAAGGTGCTGATAAATGTCATCCAGACCGAAACGAGGCCTACAACTACTGGATTATCGATCAGGCTCCTCACGACGCGTCAGGCGCTGTGATCTTGAAGGCAGGTTATTTGACGCGGACCGCCAATATTACTGGCGATACTCTGGCTATCACGGGAGACTTGAATGCTACAACACCTATCGAGGTGCTCGGCGCCCCATCTTCGGTCTCTAAGCTGACGTTCAACGGCGAGGAGGTCAAGGCTGATGTCTCAACAGAGGGTGTAGTGAGCGGCACAGTCGATTATCTCAAACCCGAACTTAACATTCCAGCCCTGAACGATCTCGAATGGAAGTACATTGACACGCTCCCTGAAATCCAGTCAGGTTACGACGACAGCCAATGGGTGAAAGCAGATTTGAAGACCACACACAACTCACTGCGTCCCCTAAATACCCCTATGTCGCTGTACAGCTCCGATTACGGATTCCATACAGGTACGCTGCTCTTCCGCGGAACCTTCACCGCCACAGGCAACGAGTCAAGTTTCTACGTCTTCACGCAAGGTGGATCCGCTTTCGGATCTACTGTATGGATTGGAGACCAGTTCCTAGGCTCGTGGCGTGGCTATGACGCTGCTACCAACGGTAATGGCACTTACACACTGCCTAACCTCATCGCTGGCAGGCAATACACCATCACAGTGGTGATCGACAACCAGGGACTTGATGAAAACTGGACGATTGGCACAGAGACGGCAAAGAATCCGCGCGGTATCTTGGACTACAAGCTCTCCGGTCACGCCCAATCCGATGTCTCCTGGAAACTCACTGGCAACCTCGGTGGCGAAGATTATCTCGATATATCGCGTGGTCCTCTCAATGAAGGTGGCTTATTCGCTGAACGTAACGGTCTTCACTTACCCGGTGCTCTTTCTAGTGATGGATGGACAGCCAGCAGTGGTCCCGTTGCAGACGGTATCCCAGCTCCTGGCATCGGGTTTTTCGCTACGGAGTTTGATCTCAACCTACCCACCGGCTACGACATTCCTCTCAGCTTTACTTTCTCCAACAGCACCAACGGTAGTATTGGTTCAAGCGTTCCGGCATACAGAGTGCAGCTTTACGTCAACGGGTGGCAGTATGGCAAGTATGTCAGCAATGTGGGCCCGCAGACGAATTTCCCTGTCCCGGAAGGTATCTTAGACTACCGCGGAACCAATTATCTGGCGATATCGCTGTGGGGGCTGGATATGGGCGCAACGAAGGTTGCCGGTTTGGAGCTCACGGTTGATGGAGAGGTTTGGGGTGGGGTCGGGGAGGTCAGTGTGGTGGAGGGTCAGACGTATGCGGAGAGGGAAGGGACTTATTGAGATGCGGAAAGAACGGCGCACTACGCCGAGCAGCTTGGTGGCTGAAGTCGCCCGATAGTAGTCTTGGCTGTCCTGAAAAAAATACCTTACTCGTATACGCGTATGAGCTGACTATCTTGGGCTAACCCAAAAACGATGAAACCGATGATCTGAGTGTGATCAAGAGTAACAAGCTCCTATCTGTGGCGAAACATCTGGTTTATAGATTGGTACTTTGGACATCCAAGCTCGGACGCTCTTCAGAACTCATATACATGATTTCTAATCCCGACTGTGAACGTATGATGAGCATGGCAAAGTTGAATCCTGAGCTATGTTCGAGTTTGGTCATATTGGCTTCGCACAAAACGTCTTTCTGTGTATCTCGTGTCTAGGCTGTGTTCGCATCCCTGAAACGCAGAACAAATCCCAATCTAGAACCTGTTATTTTGCGCACCCCTGCTTTGAAACACGCCAAGTCAGTGAACGAATCAGGACAGACCCGAGTACCGGTATTCATATTGCTCCGAAAACTGCGAGTCTCGAGACTTATCTGTACGCACCAAAGTCAAATTGTTTGATTGGAAGGCTGGGTTGTTGCGCCCGTGTTGCGCGCCTCCATCTCTACATTGCCTCTATGCAGACATAAACTGACTCTTATCAAACTATACTTGACTGACTCGAAGTTAGATAGAGAAATGCCACAAGATAGTTTAGAGCCTAGATCAAGATCCAATTCGTCGGAGAAGAGGCAGTTTTGGGAAGGTACACTTCAGTCTAGCACTATTGTGGCCGCATATTGTTAAACGAGCGCTCGAGATCTCGCCATCGTACCTTACAATGTTTCACAGTATAGCAAATATGAACCCTCTGTGAGGACTGGGGGTTTGAAGAGCGAGATGATGGATAAGAAGACGAGACTCTCCTGCTTTTGATCATCTCCCATCCAGTGCGATCGAATCTTCTATTGTCACTCTTTTGTCTCTCGTTCTAGTCGTTTCTGACACCACGTTCATTCATCATGAAGCTCCTTGTAGCTCTCTCCACACTCCTTATCTTGCCCGTGACTGTCTCTGCAGGTTGGGGATGGACCGATGACGGCAAAGACTATGTCATCGATACGAACGCGAACCTCATCGTTAAGGTCAGCAAAACTAACGGCGACATGACATCGATTCAGTATCGCGGCGTCGAGTACAACGGCCAGTCCGGCAGGAACTCGCACATTGAGTCTGGCCTTGGTGCTTCTACCGTCACTATCAAACAGTACACCAGCCCAGCGAACATCATCAAAGTCAACGTCAAGTTCGGCACGTTGAAACATGATCTAGTCTTCCGCTACTCCAATCCCAATGTTTACATCTTCATGAACAAGGTGGACACTAGCGTCACTGTCTCGCGGTACATCCTTCGCATTCCGGCCGGCGTATTCGGTAACAACGAGAACACGGATACAGACTGGATTCCCAATAATGCACCAGCGATTGAAGCAGGCGACATCAATGCCGTCAACAAGAAGAGCTGGTCTAAACACTACTCCGGACTCAAGTATGGTAGGATCATGGATCATGACTACGTCGGACTTACGAACAAGAATGTCGGGATGTACATGATTAGGTCTAACCACGAGAAGGCCTCTGGTGGACCGTTTTTCAGGAGCTTGGTCAGACGTGGTGGATCGGGCGGTGTTGATCTCTACGACATCTATCATTACAACATGGGTGAGTGAATGCGTTTGTCTGCCGGGAAGATTTTCGACTGACGTATCACAGGCCATACTGACGTTATGCGCTTCGGTCTCCAAGGTCCCAGCGTTTTGCATTTCACTGACGGTGGTGCCGCGCCGAATGCAAACTTGTTCGCCCGCAGAGCGGACTGGAGCTGGATGGACACTTTGGGTATCGAAGGCTGGGTTCCCACTAGCAAACGTGGCGCCGTTGTTGGTGTCGGTATTAACAACATGAAAGACGGTTACCAATACGTTGTGGGGCTGAAGAATGCTCAAGGTCAGTATTGGGCCACAGCAACTGGGGCTTGGAGGATCGAAAACGTGCTACCTGGAACGTATACTTTGAATGTGTACAAGGGTGTAAGTTCATGCTGCCTTTACATAAGTTTACGAAAGGCACTTACTGACTCAATCAGGAACTTGAAGTTCATACTAGCACCGTGACCATCACTGCTGGCGGCACTGTTACAAAGAATACCATCACCTGCGCTGATCCCGCTGACACTACCGCTATTTGGCGCATTGGTGAATGGGACGGCACACCCAAAGGCTTCTTGAATTTCCAAGACTCACCCATGAAGCCAACATACATGCACCCCTCTGATTCGCGTCTCGCTAGCTGGGACGCCGGCAACTACATCGTTGGCACGTCCAATGCGGGCAACTTTCCCGGTTACATCTGGAAGGAAATCAACGACGAGCATCTTGTGTACTTCCGCTTGACCGACGCACAGCTTGCTCAGTCCCTCAAGGTCCGAGTCGGTGTGACTGAGGGTCTTGCAGGAGGCCGGCCCAATATTGCCGTGAACACTTGGACAGCAACGCTGCAGTCGGACAAGGGACAGGGTGATACTCGCTCTTTGACAGTTGGGACGTACCGTGGAAATAACCACATCTACGAGTTCACCGTGCCGGCTAGTGCTTGGATCAAGAGTTCCAGAGAGTACCAGATCTTGAAGATCAGCATAGTTTCTGGCAAAACAGGAGCAGGATTTTTGAGCCCCGGTATCAGTGTCGATGCTATTGACATGATCATTGCTTAGACGAGGAGTGGTTTCGAACTTTTCATGAACTGTGCTACTTCGCGACTTCATTGTATATATTTCCAGCCCGGGGAATACTTTAATTGGCTTGCACCTTTTAGCAGAGTCACAATCTTAGTTGGTAAAGCAATGACAATACTAAGGTACAGAAGGTTCAGTTTTCTTGGAGATATGTACAATAAACTAAACAGATTGAGCATGTATTAATCAGTGTAGCAATGTTTCCTTATCACCAAGATACGAATAACATAGAACAAAAGTTACGCGACAAGATCAAATGGCACGTATTTTCGCAGAACAACCATCTCAAAACTCGTTAGACACCCCCAAACGCCCTTGCCATAAACTTTTCGTCTGATCTCTTGATAACCTCTTTTGCGCCAGTAGGGACCCGTCATACTTTCAACTGACATGACCCATAGCGTCAATACACCAGTCGACTCTTTCGTTTTGATTGCCTTCTCTGCAGGCGTCCAGTCCAATGGCTGTCGCCTCATTTGCTCGATCAGGTGGTTTTCTAGAGATGCCAACAATTGCAGTGCGAGCCCTTGACGCAAATATTTTACATCCCCATCGACGCAAACTGTTTTGATCTCCCAACCCTCTTCAACTCCTGCTCCTTCCTTCATCCACCCGCCTTTCCAAGAAACGGCGGCGGCGCATACAACAATTTTTCTGTTCCTTATCACTTCGCTTTCCTCATTCTTGTCACCAGAATCGCTGCTCTCAAATATGACCGCCATTACGCTCTCAGGACTGAGCATTTCGTGAAGGGATTCGATGTTCGCAAACCGGGTCGATGGGAGAATCCATTCTCCGGGATCAATGGCATGCGAGCGTGTGAAAGCCTTGTTCACTAGTTCCACAATCTGCTTGGCAAGGCTCGGATTGGACTGCAGCTCCGATGGCGTGAACAGTGTAGGTGTGGAAAGGCGTGACGTTGTCATTGTGAAGGAGGGGTAATCTCGGAGATAATAAGACCAATGGTAGTAAGGATGACGGAATGTATATAGACACTCCAGTGAGTCATATCATATGACCCGCAATCTGACACGTCGATTGGAAAGGCGTAGGGCGTGGTACATAAGCTGCAGGATTAGGGCGCGACATTGGCGAGGACCTACCGTTCATGAACTAGTCGGACAGTTTCCTTTCTTGAACTGATCGGCAGTTTCTCATCATGCTGCTTGGAGACCTTTTTGTCAAGTTTGATCAAGAATTGAACAAAGAGTCGTTCGATTTGATAAATGGCCAGTAGAAGGTCTTTGGAACGGCGGCAAAAGTGATCGTGCATAAACTTGGACGAAAACGACTTAGTGTAACGCTACATTGGCGTCAACACGAGATGACGACGACAACGATAGCATCACAACTTCATCTTAGATGATGCTCTCGGACGCCAGCAGCACCTCATATATGGTTCTCTAGGTTGTCTGTGGAGCTGTCGACGCCTGATAACTCCTTAGCAGCAGCAGCGAAGCCTATACCTGCCTTCCAGAGAGATGTGGACGTACAGAGTCTCAGAATAGCGTTGCATACCTCTACCACAATAGCAAGGCGAACCATCTGCAGCTTATACAACTTTTGGAATGTTCATGGAATTTTATGTCCTTAGCCAAATCGCTGGAAGTACATGGATTGTTGAGCTACCTGTCAAAGCAATTACACATTGGCTAACGGAACAAATCTTAGCAGTTTATCTTCATTCATGAGCACGACTTATGCATATCGCATACGCAGTTTCTCTCCAGCTTGCTCATTCTGTACACCTCATCCAGTCATCTCGTCATGATACTTGCTCTCAGTAACTCCTTACTCGATCTGTACCTTCTACGATGCACCAGGAAATTGGTTGAAGAGTGTGTCATCGAAAGTGGCCAGCTGTGGGCAACCGAGAGAAGAGCTAATGGGCCCGAGCTGTTGCGTTGCCCAGTTGAGAATCGAGCCGACAGTGCCCAACAGAGGGAGAGTTGCGGATGGGAGGCCTGCGAGACTGGCTTGGAGCAGGAAGCATGCGCCATTGTTACCTTGACCAAGAGTCGCAAGATTGAACGCACCGCCTGTGAGATCGCCAAGATCTACACCGGCAAACGAGTTGACGGTACCGGTGTTACCGCCGATGCGAATGCTGCCTGGATACATCTAAAAACCAGTCGTTAATAACCAAAACACTGTGAGAAAAACAATGCGAAAGACTTACAGCATTATTGACCAAAAGATCTTGAAGAACGTTGACAAGGTTGTATGCGTTGGCCGCTGGTCTCTTGTACTAAATCTGTGGGTCAATATCTGTGTAGAATTGAAAGCCTATGTGATGCGTACCCAGTTGTCAGGAATACGTTCCTGTCCTCGGTTATGGACGAAACTGCCAGGCGCATCTCCAGTGACTGCGAAGAACGATTTGAGGGTCTCACGCGTCAAGGTACCACCAGGCTTCTCTGCGCTGTGATTGGACATGAAGTTCTGGAAGAGTCAGTGGGATATCATGAGGATTCATATTCATACAACTCACAATGACAAAGTCGTGCGCAGCAGGCGCGACAAGGCCGGAGAATGGCCCAGAAAAGTAGTATGGGTTGTTGAGCACACTCCATCGAGTCACGTAGTCGGACTGCTTAGCAATGTCGTCCAGTGTGTACTCTTCGGCTAGTTGGTACAGATGCTCCCATGAACGCATTTGGAAGACACCAACGTTGCCACCATTGAGATAAGCGTCGCCCTGGATTCAATGTCAGCACTTGACCAACTCACGATGAGAGAGGCAAACTTACTCTAACGATCGACGCGTCGTTTTCATATTTGTTGTGCGTGCTGACAATACCGCCAGCAGGAAAGATCGGTACAGTTGGAGAGTACGCTCCACCAATGGACCATGTGCCACCAATAGGGTCACCACTCAATGCTGTAGCAATCACGGCGAGGACGGTCGCCAGATCGGGTGACATGTTGTACGCATCGCCGAGACCTTTCACGGCTAGTCAAAGAGTGTTAGTACATACCCGTCTGAAGTGATGATGGTTCAATTCACTCACTCTGCGCAGTCGATAGGATACCGCTATGAGGAATGAAACCATGGTTGGCAGCAGCATTGAGCCCAGGACATTGACCTCGAAGATCGCCTGACGTGGGCGCTACAAACTCGCGACCACTGCCTCTTGTAACGTTCACAAACTGTGCTCTAACATCAAATCCTACGGACGGATTTCCAGTGTTTGGGCGGCCGGATAGGAAGACGGGGTCGCGTGATGGAGGTTCTTCGCGCTTTTGGAGTTGTTCGTTCAACTCCATGGCCCATGGATAGGCTGCCACAAAGGGCAGGGCCGTGAGAAGCGCGGTCGTTTTGAAAAATACCATGTCTGTGAGAAACGGTCTTTGACTAGTGAGTATATGCTAACAGACGAAGACAACGAGGACTGATTGTGATAGACAGTGCCATGCTATATACCTTCGACTCGCGGTAACAGTCTCTAAATTGCTCTTTCTATCCCCGGTTTGCGCGAGTCGAGCATGTTCACAGCGATCGTCGAGTACTATTCCTTCTACGTCACATCTCAAACCCGTTTTGGCTGAGAGACAGACTGTTTCTAGCCTGGATAGCCAACGAAGGGTTGTGGGGAAAACACGCGAGCGACAGCCCAGAACTGGCACTATGTAGATCGTATCGAAACCCTGGATTATAAGTTGCCATATGTGACGATAACCAGGTCCGCTGTTCACTAGCGGCAGGAATTCGGTCCGGAGCTTATCACGATGTAGCTCCCGCACGAAAGTCTAATTTGATTTTGTCGATCAACTACCAACAATGGTCTACATCCCCCGTTACGGTTGCGTAGCGCCAAAAAGATGTTCAAGCGTGGAGGAGAATGTCTTACGGGACATATTTTTGCAAGGAAGGCGCGCTACCCTACCGTGCTCGTGCTCTAGCGCCAACGTGAACGCCGGAAGATTCGTGTTCAGACAAACAATAGCACATCCACGCAGTTCAAGAAGACGGTGGTAAGCCTACAAGGTGTCGGTCTTTTCACACCTTCAAGACGTTTTACACAGCTGCAATGTTCTGCCGGCATCATATTAGACAAGCTACGTCTCACAATGTCACATCTTCCAATTCTCAGCTTGACACCAGAGTGGGGCTTGATTAGCATCATCGCAACCTCTTCCCAGCCATGGTAAAACTTCATGAGCAATCCGGCTTTTGTTACTGGCTACCATAGAGACCATGATACGAATAGGAGGTGGCGTGCGGGAGATCGGCGTCAACTTTACCTAGCTTGTAATCCCCGCTTCAAGCTACGCAATCCTTTGCCTTAAGAAGAAGGCCGTATTTGCTAATGGGGCAGGACCCTTGGCAAGGGATTTCTTTACAGCTTTTACGGTAAGGCAGCATGGGAAGGCGAAAGTCTTGTTCAAGGGTGTCCTTGCATAGTACAGTCTGACCGAACATTTGAATCTCATGTCTCTGTAGCTACTACCCTGCCTTGGAGAGATTGAATCTAGTTGCTTGTACAGAACCATCCCTGTGATACAGAGCCTCCTTTTCCAAGAACTTGAACTTCAGGGATATCAATCCCGAAAAATGTTCCACTGCATTACCCAGAAACCATAACTACAAGTTACATAAGAGCAACCTCAACCCCAAGGAGTTCAAATCCATCGAAAATACCAAGCTCCGAAGTCTTCCTCGTGACCAACCACTTTCTACCTCTAGGCCTTCGTATCAATGCCTGAACAGGCAATTCAAACAAACCCGCCGTCTCAAGCCTGACAGGTCCTAGCCTACCGTAGAATCCTCACTGAGCGTGGAGTAAGTTCCGGTGTGCCAAGTCCCTCGCTCCAGAAAACCAGTCACGTTCGCTGGTTTGGTTGCGCAACTTCGAACATTCCTCGGCCCGAAGTGCAGATCTCGAATCGGGGTGACCACGCGGACCTTGTCCCTAGTGGTTGCCAAGCTTGATCTGCACGTCAGCTTCAAGATAGCCGGTGTCAATGTAGCGAAGTGCACTCAATTCATAGTGCTCAACGTCACTTGCCGGTGTGCCCAAGACACGCTCATTTTGTGCGTGGCCTGTTGATATGAGGTTTGATATAGCCGAATTGCATTAGGCCATGTAGCCAGATTGTTACACTGCTATTTTTGCGGAGGTGCTTTCCAGGACTTTTCCCAACGACTCAACCTTCCTTCACAACTGGTACCTCCCAATTCTGTTACGGAGCACCTGTGAGAAATATATTCCATTATCCGGACCATAGTGAATAGCAATATTGAGGCCTGGAGGTATACCCACTGGCGAAGTGATACCATTATCTGGCATATCGATGATTACCGCCTCGTTGTTCTTGTCGAGGTACTGAATTGTATTGCGAGTAGCTGTCGAATACCAGTAGCGTCCCTGCGAATCAACTGTATTCTCGGTAGGAAAAGACGCAGGCAACGGGTCGGTAAAGACGTCAATCTTCTTCGTCTGCGTGTCGAAGCGGACGTTGGAATTCAACACGAACCCAGTGAACCATATGTAACGGTTCTCTGTCTCGGCTCGGACCACTACGATACCGAGGCCTTCAAGCGGGAGAGGGTAGCGAGTAAACCTTTTGGTTGTTGGATTGAATTTGGTGATTGCTTGGCCCAGCATCTCGGCAAGCCAGACGTTGCCGTCAATTTTGGAAACGAAAACACCGACGACGCCGTTCAGTGGGGTGGGTAGAGGGTAGACGCCATCGAACTCCTCTGTTGCGTAGTTGAAGTGGTACAGTGTTCCGGCTGTTGTGAGCGTGTACCACATCTGCGGCGTGTCAAATTCTAGGCTTTCTACGAAACACTTTGTCACTTACGCCTGTTTCGCCGTCCCAAAGGTCGTTGAAAGGCTGGACATCTCCAAGAAGCGGAACATTTGGCAATGGAGGTGTGAATACTTTGATAGAGCCAGTAGCGGGGTTGATCTTCAAGAATTGCGAGCGAATTCCTGTAGCAGCATACAAGTTCCCATCACGGCCAGGCTGTATAGCACATGCAAAAGCCACACGACCTGTCAACGGGAGACTGCCATTGTACAGTTGATTGGGGCTGTAAGGAACTGGGTAGTTTGTGATTTTACCGCTGCCAATCTCGATCTTCGAGATACTGTTGTCAAAGAAGTTTTGCGTCCAGATCTTGCCGTCAGGTCCTGTGGTGATGTCGCATGGTCCCTGTAGAGAGTCTGGGTTTTCGTAATACCTGAAACGTGCTGGGTCTGAGTCTCCCTTCGAATAACCTGGTGTCAGGTCTATCAGTTGAGGGGTCGGTACAGCTGTAACTGCAACCGCGAGGAAAAGAGTAGACCGCATAGTGGAAAGTACAGATATGTATCGATTCAGGTTACCAGATGATAACTGGAAACAGGGCCCAAGTATTCCTGGTATACGGGAATAACAATAAAATTTACTCTGTGTCTACGGTGGGGTGGCTAATGTGCTCGATTAGCGCCTATAGATCTACATCAGCTACATCTGATGGAGGGGAGACAGGTCGATCACGAGTGGTGTTGACTAGAGTTGACAGTAGCTGTTGAGCTAGTCGTTGCCTGCAGACAGCAGCGTGGCGATCCAGACTAGTCACCCACCTATTCAGATCACTTCGGGAGCTGAGAGGCGATGAAGCATCCGACAAACGTAGGTTAGAACGTTCGGGAAGAATTAGATTAGTGTTGTACCCCACGACGTAATCGTCTTGGAAGCCTCACTTGGCGGAGACAGAATGACATATCTTGCAACTAAACCTGAAAAGGCAGGGCGTAGACAAGAGCGCCCTTAGCCTCTCGGCAATTCAAACACGGGCTCTCACCACATATACGGACTTCCTGTTTGGCAATTCTTTTGCTTTCTCTACCTCAGGGAATGTTGAAGGAAGTACATGGATATACTCTAGACTCTGACTAAGAAATACGAAGACGTGCTAAGAGTCTGGAATTGAGGTTGATTTAGGTGGGATTTATGGACCGTAATTACGCCGGTGTACTTCTTGTTTTGAAAGACGTTGTTTAGGGTGCTTGCTGTCAGACTGGGTGGGATAAGTACTGACAGCATGAATTCGAATTATATGCAAGCGGTATGATGCACTACCGCACGCCTGCAGGATGAGTTTCGTCGTCAACACAGCTGGCGCTGCTGGTTGTCGTATTATGATCGCCTCAAGACTCGGTACCTTTTGTTGCCCGTCAAAGTATCCCAAGCTCTCTACTGGGACCTGACCTCCGACGTTCTAGCCATGCATCTACCCAATCTTGCACGGGCTCAACGAGAACCTTTGTATAATCGCTCTCATCAGAGTCTTGTGTTACTCAGCCATCGACACAATGCTCCATTCATCTCCTTGGCTAAGATCGTTAATCTGATTTATAATCTCCCGCAGGCTCTCCTGGTGAGCCCTACTCGCCTCCCCACCGATACAGAATTGCCAACGCCGTATGTCCTCATCATTTACGTCCATGCACGGCCGGCCCTCGACCTTCCTGGAGATGATAGTAAGCTCAGGACGGCCAGTTCTCGTCCACGTCCTGCCCCGGATTACAACTGTTGGTTCCAGACATACACCCAAGGTCCCGATCGAAGCCAACCTTGAGATTATGAAAGGCGCAGCATCGGCAGACGTCAGGTAGTTCAGAATCTTGACCCTTGATGCAAGCCGTGCATTAACGTAAGACATAAACCATTGGAAAACGAAGGAGACCCTCGGCGCATACGTGCGCAGGCGCACCAATGGGAAGACGTCAAATCTCCGAATTGGCTCCGCAGGAACAATAGCTATGAAGTTGCCGATGTAGGTCTGCATGGTCTTGTTCGTGGCTTCAGGAAAGAAGGTGGCGAGGTAACTGGGAAGTTCCTCGAGGGTGACATATACCAGGTTGTTTTTCATATACAACGGAAGAAACTCGTTGCGAAGTTGCTTGCTGGCTTGCGTAAGGCTTTTGTAATGGGGTTGCGGTTGTACTTGAGGTTGCTGGGGTGTTGACATGGCGCGTGTGAGACATAGCCGGTCGCGGGGCAGACAATTCATGCAAAAGCCATAGATGATGTTGCGAATGTCTTGGAACTGAGTGGTCAGTTGCTAATTTAGGAGCAAACATGCTAGCGGCGACATGTACTTACCTCCCGGGAGTTCCAGTAGCGACATCATCTCGGATTGAGGTTGTGGAGTCTCGACTTAGGGAGATGTCTTTTGCGACATTGCTGGACTTGCGAGTACAAATCTTCACTCTGAATTGGTATGATTAGGGTTGGATGTAGAGCTTCCAAGCGGTAAATTGGAGAAGGCGCGATGGGTCGTGAGCAATGGAAGGTACGCATTGATGTAGGGAGATACGCATGCTGACTAAGCGTACCAGATAACTACGCGAGACAACGCAGTCTTGCTTGGAACTTCGTGACTAGCCAGAAGTGGATGAGAGTAGATCTGTTCAGGGTATCAAACGCTTTTCTGAAGAAAGACAAGTGTACTGAACGGATGTTACAAGAACTCGTGATAAGATATGAAGGCAATCTGATTTTGTAGCAAGAGTTACCAGTAAACACGACAGTGATGATGAAGCGCGGCTGAGGAAACGTGTGGTGACACTTGATGAAAAACCAAGATAAATGAGAAGTGGTTTAACATAGGGAACGCAAGCTCATGCGTGATTTGCGCAATGCAAGAGAACCCACGAGGAAATACACAATTCAAAGATCAGTAAACAGAGAAAAAGGTGAAATGATCTTGCATACATGCAAGACTGAATACAGCGCCGTGGCATCTACTCATCGAGAAGGTCCTTAGTTAGCCTTCCCCTCACGCGCATTACTCCATGCATGCTCAAACTGCTGCCATCCACCCTCGGGCTCCTCGCACATTTTGACTTCGCTAACAATCATGTCGTAGTATCCGTCCTTGGGAAGCTTCCCCTGGCATACGTTACCACCCATGGCAATATTGATCAGCAGGCGATAATCCTCCATCCTGCGCGTTCCCACGGGGATATTCGCCTTCATCACCGGCTGACCGTCAATGTACCAGACCATCCTGCCCCGCCAATCTGGGATGCCGTCTTCTTCTATCCACGCGAAGCCAAATGTGTGGGGTTCCCTGGCCATGTTAGGTAGATGTGTTTCAGCCACACGGTGCTTGTCGTGATCCTCGCCGTTGAAGTGTCCCCAGTGCAAGCAGGAGTGGTTCATACAATCCCCGTTCCAGCTCTCGAATATATCCACCTCGCCGTCCTTGGGCCACACAAACGGATCCGCTGGCAACATCCAATACGCAGGCCAGATGCCCTCGGCAACGGGCGGCAGAATGGTCGCGGTCAAGTACCCTCTCGGACGCGAGAGTGTCTGGAAGGACGTCAAACGTGCAGAAGTGTAGCTTCCGTTTTGCACCAGCGCGCGCACAATAAGGCGATTGTCGTGGTGGAACGAGTTGGTGGCCTGGTCTGTGTACATTTGCTTCTCGTTGTTGCCCCAACCATGGTCACCGGTTTCGTGGCGAAAGTTTTGAGATACGGGGGTCGAAGCGGCAAAGGAAGGCTTCCAGTACACTTTCTCGCCCTGTGATGGGGCCAGGTTCTGCGGCGGCGGGGGCTGTGAGGACATAGGGCGGTTCTGGGGGACGGGCCGCGATTGTGGTTTACTGGACTGTGGGATGGGCGGTGCAAATGCGTTGTTTTGTTGGGGAGGCGCACCCCATTGCTGTTGCTGCTGCTGACCTGCAGGATGCCATTGATTGTGCGAGTACTGGTGTGGAGTGATACCGCCGCTTTGTTGCTGAGGCGGCTGCTGGTATTGATTTGGCGGTGCGTATTGCTGCGGCGGGTGCTGGTTGCCCGGGTATGGTGCTTGGTTCTGGGGTGGGTATGATTGTTGTCCGGGGTAGTTCTGGGGAGGTTGGCCTTGCTGTTGACCCGACTGTCGCTGTTCGTACTGTTTCTGAAGCTCTTTGGCCTTTTGCTTGCCTTTTGCGAATAGCTTGTCGAAGGTGGACATGATTGCGACGGTGTGCGACGAGGTTGGTGGTGGGACGAAACCCGCGATGAGCTGCCCCACCAAACGCCAAACAGCCCTACGCGTTAGTACGCGCAAACAACCGTTGATCCACTTCTCCGCCAACTCTCCGACACAACGCACTTACCGTGAGCCGCTATGAGGTCTTCACATAGGGTAATTTTGATCCCAATTCCTCATGATCACCACCGGTTCCCTCTTTCTACGTTCATAGTCATCTCCAGATAACTGTCGCATGTTTGCGTGAAAGTCAAGACAAATGACGTCAGAGTCTCACACCAGGCGGCACACTGCTTTGTCCACCCAACCAGTTCCTTCCAAGTCAGCCAAACTCGTCCATCCATGTTTCCTTGTATGTGAAACATGTCGAGACGAGACAACACAAGCGAGACCTGCGTAGCAGTCGCGTCATCTGTGCGCAAACAGGAAACTGCGATGAATTGACCTTGCGACCATAACACAAAGACAATTCAAGTCGTCAACTCACCACCATTGTTCAACCCACCACTCCTCACTTCCTCCCCCCATCTTGCCTGTCTATACATCTTCTCTTTCACGTTGAATTTCAAGAATAATCTCCTTGAACAACAAGATGTCGTCTATCATCGCCGCCATCAAAGACCTCGTCGCCTCGCTCCTCAACCTCGTCTATTCCTTCTTTACTACCGCCGGCGCCCTCGTACAAAAGACGTTGAGCTTTGGCCTTTCTATGCTCTCCAGCATTGTTGATCTTATCGTCAATTTCTTCCATGGCCTAGTTGATCTCGCGGGCGGACTGGTGTCTTTCTTCTTAGGTGAGTTCAAGTTCGAGGGTTGAGCAATGCAAGTGAGGGACAGAACTGACAAGTATGTGACAGGGAATCTACTTATGCTTGCCGTACTCGGCGCCGCAGTCTTTGGGTTCTTGCAGTACCAGCGCAGTCAGGGCCGGACGGTGAAGGTTGGAGATAAGAAGCTGAATTAGCGAGTTCCTTTTCTCTATGTAGAACGTTATGGTGCGGAGTCTTTACCTGAGCTACTCAAGCAACCACCTAGTAATGGAGATCCATATCTAGTAATCCCTTTCCCTTAGTCCTTCAACATGACTTATCCTCACCCCGCCTCCCCCTCCCGCACGTATTTCACACATGAGCTGTCCCGAACAGGGCTTCCCCGTTCAAGCGCTGAATAGCCTCACCACACGCACCATTCCACAAAACCACCCACTACGACACCACTCCATATCCTCCCCGCACAAAGCCCACTCCGTCCTCACCTTCCATACAAACCATGTTCCCCAAATCCCTCTCCTGGAAACGCCCGACAATACCCTACCGCGACGACACCGAACCATCCTCCTCACTCCTCCCCAAAGAAGAAGAAGAAGATTACTCATATCCACGCCCCCACAGATCAACCTGCCGCACCGCATGCGCATACCTCACCCTCGCAATATCAAGTCTCATCATCGGCCTCATCGCAGGACAATTCATCAGAGCAGAGTACGAAGTCGATGGATTCGTAGGTGCGATGAGCCCGCCCACTCCACTTCCCAGATTTGCACATCCAACTTCATTCCTCGCTTGTTCTTTCGCCCAGCTAACACACATGTTCAAAGCGCCATTCGCCTCCCCCCACCGCAACACGCACAACATCGTCTGGCAGGAAAACGCCACTTTTGCCAGCGACCCCAGCGCCGAGAACGACGCTGCGTGGATCAGTCTGATACCCGTGGGCATGGGGTTCGTCGAGCATCCCGTGTTGGCGCCGCGGGGCACGCCGAGGGCGCTCAGCGTGTATCATGAGATACACTGTTTGGTGAGTTTGCCTGCATTTCCAATTTGGGTTTGAGGTTTGGGAAGAGTCGGGAGATATGCAGTGAGGATATGAGAGGTATATAAGATGGGACTGATGACCACTTCGCAGCACGGCCTACGCACCTCTTTCTTCACAACGCACTACCGCCTTGCTCAACTCGCGTCGCTACATCCTACGTCTTCTCCGTCCACACCGGCGTATCCCGCTTACACGCCCAATGCCTACCTTGACGAACTCGTCACGTCCGACGACGGCTTCGATCTCATCCACATCAAGCACTGCTTCGACTACCTACGCCAGGCACTCATGTGCGCCGTGGACACCAATCTGGAGGACGTGAAGTTCACGCCGGGCGGCGAGCACGGGAACGCCGAGGGGTGGGGCACGCGGCGGACGTGTCGGGATTATGCGGGGGTCAAGGAGTGGGCGGAGCGGTGGAGGGTTACGGGGCAGACGGGAATTGGGGGGAATTGACTGGATTGAGTGGATGGGATTGAGATATGAAAGATGGATGGAGGCCGAACAAGTTTAGGTGTAGAAAGTATTAAATAGTTCTTTGTGTGGTGATACGTGTATGGTACATGGAACAACAATTCTATACATACCGCTGTGGTGTACACTCAATCAGCTTTTGGTCTAAACTGCGTCTCGCTTTGCTGCAGCCCTTCAAATTATGGCCCTCTGCGGCGTTTTGCCTAGGTCCTTCTATGTTCTTCTTGTCCCGGATGTTCGGCAGGCGTCCTCATGCGCCAAGTCTTCCCAACAAACTCGGTGATACAAGCCTTGTCTACTTCCCCTAAATTTTCGATGACCCAACCTTGGATGCGAGGCGTTACGCGCTGTCATGGGTGCTGACAGCCGTGTACGAGCTCAAGCGGGCAGACGAGGCTTTCCAGATGAGTACGCGTCTCAGCAAGAAACTGTCACGTATAAGTCTTGATTCATGTTGCAACACCATCCGCAAGGCTCGACCTCCATGCTCGTTACAACCCCAGTTAAACATCGTCTCCAGTGTGAATGAACTTACTATAACGCCAAGACGACCACCGCCGCGATGAAGACATTTCCAACCGGATGTGCGATTCCCTTCTTCAGCATGCCTCCTGCCCCGCTCGCGCTGTCGTTCTTGGCCTTTTCGTTGGCCTTCCGCGCTAGCGCAATGACCCACTGCGCCGCCTCGTCGGTGTACCGGTCGAAGTAGTTGAGATGATTCGCCATGTTCGGGTTCTTCGTGTGTGATGCGCAGATGGGATCGCCCGTCTGGCAGTATTCGCGCAGAACGCCAGCATCGGCGTAAGGTTGCAGGCCTGCGAGCTGCGAGGCGGTGCGAGGCGCGGCGCCGTCTGAGACATTGCCACCGCCGACGGTCCAGGTTTGGTTTGCAGAGCGGCGCGTAGGGCCCCAGGCAAGTGCTGCTGCAACTGTAGGGGTTGTCATCAGTACGCCTCGCTTTCCAACTTGTAAATGGACATACCCCTCGACCCCGGTGCACTTCCGATCTCCATTCCTGTGTTGTTCTTCTGCGTGCATTTCCAAAGTGGCCCTCCTCCCCCACCAAGTATGTCCAGCGCCACGCTCCCTCCCTGACTAAATCCCATGACGATGAGATGACTCTCAGGACATCTCGATGTGTAGTTGCGCATCTGTGCTGCGCCGTTGATTGCGCCCTCGTGTGCGCTCAGACACCACTTCTCCCCGCCGTTTAGCGCCGCATACTCGATGTCTTCGTAGCCGCAGGCGCTGGGATTCTCGGGCGTGTTGAGCGCGGAGCACACTTTGGCTACTGTCTCGATGACGTGGCCGGGATACGGGGACATGCTGCCACGGAGGAGAAAATGATGATACATCTGGCAGTCGGACGTCCTGAGGACTTCATTCTGCGGACAGTTGGAGAGCTTTGTGCAGACGGCGGACGCAGACGAAGCGCAGAGCAGCGCAAGGGCGGCGGCTTGGAGGATCATGGTGGAATATCGACGGACGGTGAAGGAGAATAGTTCGAAAGGAAGGAGCGTCGGGTTATCTGTCGGTTAAGGAAGGTGTGGTGGTGGCGCTTGACTCGAGCTCCAGGCTCAGAATTGTCTATTCCACAGGAGAAAGATAAGGTCGCGGGTGTTGAAAAGATGGTAATGTAATGAGGCGAAATGGAGAGCCGCAACAACGGTGAAACACTCTCACCCCATCCCCACATGAAGACGCGTCCCCATCTGCCAAGATGAGCATCCTGTCTGCTCCACGCCCGGCGGTTTGACGTGCTGGACAATTGGCGATGATTGTCGTACGCCAAGCGACAAGACCCGGGTAAACGGCTCCTAATATAAGCGCCACTTACACCGCCACTTTTCACCTCGAGTACGGGACTGGGGAGATTGCTTGTGCTCCACGACACGCGTTCGTTCGCTGCAACTCCTGATCGACGCAGCAAAGTAATATAACTCAAGCTGGATCTGGTAATCGATTACGATCGCTGAAGGGCATCTGTTTCAGTTTCCCGAGTAGTTACATGTTTGTTGGTGCCCAGTTCCAGCGACTGGTGAGCACGCAGGCGAGCCCAATTAACGTTACTCTTCTCAACATCACGGACGATCTTGCAGTATACTGAATCTCGTTTCTGGCGGCACACAAGGGACTGCCATGATTTCACGACTTGGCTTCTCAAAAATTCCAGCTGTTTGACTAATCACGTCTCCTCTCCTCGATTGTCTCATGTCTCCTCAACACTGGAAAGAAGACATGGCAGTGGTCCAAGCCGTGTGGGTCGAATAGATCAAGGCGATAGGGATGTGTTAATAACAAGTCACTCTTCGTGCACTATGATTCACAAACTAATTGAACGCGCCTCAATAGTTACTGAGCTTCTTCGTCATACCAGTTGCTTTTGCCGCCCACAGCAGTATATACAACATCGTACACTAGTCACATTCATCGGTTAAATTGGCTGCTGATGGATCGCGCGGCAGAGTCTGAAAACTGGTCGAGAACTTACCGAACGAGGTACAATGAGACACCATGACAGAGTTTCCTTTAGTCTCCTTCGATCCGCCGCCTGTGCCGTTAACGTTGAGTAACAATTCCTTGGTCTCCACGAGTAGGTAGGTTTGACTGACCCACTACCACGGATTGTTCCACATCTCGTTTGCCTCTTCGGGCGTGGCATTGGATATGGTATCATTGTCGAACCGGTCGACATTGATCTCGCCCACGAAAGAGCCCTCCTCAGACAAGTGCTTGTCAAAGTTCAACGAACTCATGGTAACGGTTGAGGTAGCCAGTTGACCTGAGAGATTCATCGGGGAGCCGAGCGCTCTGCTGCAGTTCCACGAGTTGATTCCAAACCCATCATCGGGAGCGATGTGGTTCATTTGACATGCCGGCATTTCAATGCCGGCATGTCGTAGACAATGCAGAGAACAAGTTCCAATCTGCTCCCAGCTCGGCATTCGCAGGCCCTATGATCGCGTGTTGCTGGCCATCAAAGTCTGTAGTTCAACACACATACTGATCAAGCCATCAATGGTGACCTCGAAAAACTTCAATCACTTGGCTCTATAAACGCGATCAGTTGGCACGTCAAATTTAACCGCACAACCCCAGAAATCGATGTCGGCAAGGGTTCCAGCTATTGTCTCTGTATCGAAACACCAAGGACCAATCTCCTTGCTGTACTGGTATGTGTCTGTTGGTTGTGAGACGATCTGAACCAGCTCAACTGCTTTTGTAGAGATGTGCAGGTAGCCATCTGCTGCCTGTGTGGCAACACTAGATAGGTTGGATGAGTGCAGAAGGCCAAGCCATTGCCAACCATACATACCTTTCACATATACCAAAACAAAACACCGTAGTTGACGTACGCAAGGTCCTTTGTTTCGCCGGTGCAGTTTTCAGATCTCTCACTACCGTTACTTGGCAAGAAGAGCACTGTGAGAAATATCCCCAAATTGACAAATGATCCGAGTTCAAAACTCTCAAGAGCAGACTAGTCTGATAAGAACTGAGAAGGCTATCCGCAGGACAGTTTACTAGAGAACAGCGAGGACTACATTGTGCGTATATTCTCCGTCAACAGCAAACGTCAACCTTATACCAGTAGAAGCAGAGTGTCATGCAACCATGTGGCGGTTGACACTAAGACACTTTTATATCTGAAACTGCAGAGCGCAACATAACTAGGTGGCGTTTTCGTTGAAGGTTGCATATGCAGAGTACCAGCAGTTAGGCTGTAGCTATTTCTGGCCTGTAAGGCTGCTTTAGGATATATCAGCATTGGCAGCATAAGGATGTGTGGATGGAAGAGTTCACCGAAGATAGAAAGAATCAATGGCGTATACTAGCGTCTTGACATCCCCTGTGACCCTCGATTATTTGCCCTCAATAATGCCTTTAGAACTCTGCAGCCAGTACCTGGCCGTGTACAATGAATTTCAAGGTAATCCTTTCATCTAATCATTTGGGTGTCAGTATATCCAGATTACCGATCGACATCTTTGTCAAAACATAAAATTTTGCCTACAATCGAACGCAAGGACAAGGAATGGTGTACGAACGATCTTCTTGGGTTTTCTGACTTGTTCAGCTGGCCTATTGCCTTCGCCATATCAACATGCCTTGGTCGAATTTCTAGAACTCATCATCGCATGCGCGTAGTTCCAAGCCTCCAGTTCACGCTACAAGGAAGTGGTGTAATTGGCTTTTATATTGGTCTGACTATATATACACGAATCAGAGTGGCGGTTCAGATTATACATTCCCATATGTCTGTACACACGATGATAAATTGTCTCATGGGCAACCGGTCTGGTTGAACATGGAAATAGCAGAAGCTTCTGACCCAAACGCAATAGCACGATCAATCCAAGTCTGTATGCATGTTAGTACAACGCTCGATTCGCGCTCGATGGAAACTCACATTGATCTTAGCGGAAGCGGGCTGTCGTTTCCGGCTCAAAATGTACAGAGTGTTCCAGTTTTGTGTCTGTACGATGGCCCAATCAACGGCGTAATCTGCGACGTTTGTTAATGTTCGACTTCTTAACCACCTCCCACTCCAAGTTGCATACCCTGAACGATATAGTTTGGCCCTGGACATTCCGGAGAAGATGTGCCCGGAAAGCTGACTATAAAAGCTCCTCCAGCGCCGTACGCCGAATCTACAGGCGCCGCATTGCCGGTGATGTCGATCGTCCGTCCGCCTACTGTTGCCGTGTTTACGACTTTGACAGTTCCATTGGCCTGATGTGACTGTTAATGAGCTGTCGTCTGGGCTATGAGCGTATGTTACGTACGTTTAGGGCGTAGTTAGCTGTTACGCAGCGTGCTCCGGCCGTAGGACCGAAAGGTGTGCCTGCAACCTGGTACCATGTCCCTAGGTACGCTTCTAGGTCAAACTTGGAATCCGGTACGGGGTAAAAGCATGATCTGCTGGATGTAAGCCGATGATGTTGTGGCATGTGGAAAAAAGGTACCCATCATATTGTGACCCGACGACATTTGGGGTAATTCCAATCTCATTTGAGGATTGTTGACGAGGAACCAACAGGCCCGAGGCGACGGAGATCAGCGTAACGAAAATACTTGTGACGCGCATGTTGAGGTTTGAATCGATTTGAGAGAAGACAATGGGATCGAAAAATTTAGACAAGACTCTTGTGATTGATAGTTCCGATCGGCGGACTAAAGTTTCTACAAAGTACCTTGCCCAGACACTTGACCATCACTTCTAGGAGGCCGTGCAACTTCCCCAGCCTAACGTCATGCTCCATACAATCCACTCCGCCTTTGAGCCAAGACATTGTAACCGACATCGTGAACTGTACCTTGCCGGTCTCCTGGCCGAGCCAATCGCTATCGGGAGTGGAAGCCTGTGCAAGGAACAAACGTTCGCGGGGGATGGCGGAGTTTTGTCCTACACGGGTATCTGGTAGCGGAGCTGGCCTAGTTGGGATTGTGGGGGTTTTCGTAACGCATGTCGACCGCCGTTGTTGAGGAACGGTGTTGTTGGTTATATAAGGCTGGGCACGATCGAGGAGTTGAATGATGACGTAGTTGCCGGCTTGGCGTAGGATCTGTCTCTCCTTCCCCACATTCCGCAGTTCGACTCTTCAAATGTACCTGTCAGGATAATTCATCCTACAGACACTGCTTAGTTGGGAATCATACATATATCTGAGTTGTGTGTCTCGCAACTCAGGTTACCAGCTGTCCAGGCCTGATTGTCTTGAACAAACAATGTATCATAATTACTAGATTGCGTTGTCCTCCCCGTTCTGCCAATTCGTATATTATACGCGCCGGCTCTTTTACTCATAATGATAATGCTGCAAACGACAGAAAAAATGGCAGGTAAATCGGAAGATAACCCGTATAGTAGAGGTGACAAAGACTGTGCAGATGGAGAAGGTAAAGACAGGGCCAGAGAGAGGCAGAAGAACATTGTACCAAGTCAGCAGTCTGTAGAGAAGCTACTTGAAGCAATATTTACCCTAGTTGTTACAGCACATTAGAACTCTTCTTACTGCTTGTTATCACTTGTTATTGCTTGTTACTGCATGTTTAGAACTTTTCCTCTGCCTATTGCTACTCTTATTACTGCTTGTTATGCCTTGTTATACCTTGTTATGTGCTTAATGTACTTTGTCATTACTTTTGTTTAGCTGTGTCAAGCTGTGTTATTCCTTATTATGCCTTGTTAGGCTACCTAAACCTGTGTTACGATGTTGAAATCTTTGTTGCTGCCTTTAGCTAATTGTATCACTGCCTGTTCCGCTGCTATAAATCTTTTTACTTCTTACTTCAGCAATTCTTACGCTGTCACAGCCCTTGTAACTGCTTATCACGCAATACCACTCCAAGGGGGTAAGAGATACAGATGCAAACATGGACTACTAAATACACTTCTCGAATGCAGTTATATGGCTCTGTATGTGAAAAAAACGATAACACCGACTCAAAGTACGCCATGATTTCCAGGAGGCGTAGTGGGAAGGTGTTACACGAAAAACAGCGAAAGCAAAACCAGAGTAGAGAAAACAGTTTGTTGCTCACAATTTAATCCATCCGTGACATCTTTGTCGCAGCCTAGCACAGTACTGCTTGAACTCCTCCAGGACCTCCGGTGTTTGTGCATGGGGAGGTAGCAGTCTCCTCATTTAATATACTTATTCTTTTTCACTTAAGACGGAGAACATCAACAGCAGAGTACCGCCCTCTGATCATCTCGAACGGCTAAATCAACCTAAGTGCATTATCTGGAGTCCTTGAGGTGATACAATGATCCCATGACAATGACGCCTACGTAGTGTCTGCCTGTCTTCCACATTACATTGGTCAAGCCTTCGCAAAACAACTACGATCATGAATTATTAATTACCCAAGATCTACGATTATGCACCAACATACAATCATGCAAGCATATAGCGATGTTGTGATGATCATAGGATTCGACGCTATACATAGCACAAATCTAAGAAGAAGATGTCTCGATGGCATTTTCAGGGTGATTAGTCTACGCGTATAAGTTATCTTCGCGATGACGAGTATGCCTTATCAGGTCAAGTAAGTACAGACTCAAACACCCGCAAGTCGACAGCCTATCAAAACTTCAATCCCTGCTCTGCAACGATTGAGACGTCAAATACTGTTCCATTCAAAGAGGTCTCGCCGCCAACACTAAAATTCACCACGCCAAAGCCTTCCTCACAATGACATTTTTCAGGCGCCCAAATCTCAAGCAGGCAAGCAAAATATCCATCAGTCTTGGACTGTCCAGAACACGCCATCAGAGCCGACATTTGCATTTTGCTGCGTTCGAATGACGAAAACTGTGACAAGCGATCAATTCTTGTGCACGACCTCAACAAGAAGCTGGATACTTGAATTGTACATCCCAACCGCTGATATTGTTTCCTGTAAGAGTCTCAACATTGGCGGACTACGTGCTGTTCTTTGGGTCATCCAGCTACCAGTCTATGGTCTGAACGCAAAAAGTGTCGTTGGGTAAGTGATTTTGGTAGGCGCAAGGAAGCATCATGGCGGCACAAGCGTCGTTTAAAACGGTCTCTAACTGAGGACCAACGTAGAAGCCTATGATCTTATCGGAGTCGGTATTGCATGTGATCTGGACATCTACTGCAGACTGCAAGATAGAGCCGCTATCGTTGAACTATTGCTGTTTTGGGTCGAGTAGTGCCGCAAGAGTCACCGATAAAAGCGTGGTGAGCAGAGCAAACATATACATGCTGTGTTTCCTTGACTCTGAAAGCAGGCGTTTTGGGTGCTGTATGTCTCAGTTTGACGCGTGGGTTTGGATACTATTGGGAAAAGGCAGTGAGGTTGTGGAGAATGCCAGTTTGAGTAATGATTTATGTTGATTACATACATGTCATTCTGAATGAGATACTCGGGTTACTGATACGTAGGAGACAACAAAACGAAAGACAAATTTTGATTAGCTACGCAATGCGAAGGAGAAATATAGATCATCATCAAATTGTGGAACAAACTTTGGAAATTGATATCCTCAACTTATTCATTCGCCCGGCATGTCCAGCGAGTTCTACGTCAGAAAGTCAGTTCTTGCAAAGTGGAACTAAATCCGTGACTTGGAAACTCTCACCGCAACGCTGAAAGGAGTGAAACAAAAAGCACTGGAGCTGCCTCGGGTAGACAAATCGTCTTGTCCAACAATGGGGAGATGTGTTGACGAAGACCTACCAGTTTTGTCACGATATTCTGACAGGCAAAAAGGTCTCAGGTGAAGCATAGCATGAAACAGAAATGTTTATTCTCCAACTATTGTGCTCAACCTAAGCCTGCAAGTATATAGATGAAGTTAAGAGGCCTAGAACGTGCAGTGGTTGGTCTATCGAAAGTATACTTCGATGATCAGCAAGCGATCCGTCCCATCCACGATCCAGGATACGTGATGACTTCGTCGTCTCGTCATAGGTACGACTTCTCACTTTGCAGCCACGAATATGAACATACTATCGAACTGTACAGGAGCTGTGGCTCAACATCTGCAGCAAATAAGTTTGTCGGCATCAGTGTTGCCATAGTATTCTCTCGTGGAAGCGAGTCAAAGTCAACGACGATAGATACGAAAAACAGGTCTCAGCATGAGCCTGTCTTTCCGTACTACAAAACGGCATCGTCGATGAGCTTACTAACTGCATGCGGAGTGCGGCTCACAAGTCAATCCACCTCGACGCAGTCAGCTTACACACAGCCCCCGAGGTAACCCAGTTTAACACATCTAACCACTTCCTATTTCAATGTCATAAAGCATGCGTTCGTAACTCGCCATATTCTCATCCCCAGCAAAGCAGACATTGTCTTCCTCGTTGCCGTCCATCTCATCCTCGCGAATCATTACGTCTTCAAAAACATGACTGAAAAGCCATGGGCTGATAAACCCTTCTCTCTAATTCCTATTCCCGGCACACCTGGCGCTCGATCAAGTGCCAATGCGGGTATCCTCGCCGTCGCCATTGAAATGGCAAACGTTCACTGCGTGCTTGTCAGGGGGCTCAATTCCATCTACGTCCAGGCACCCCATGTCATACAATCGACCGATATCGCAGATTTCATGCTCTACATCAAAGCTTGGGGAGACAGTGTGCATCACCATCATTCGTGCGAGGAAACGATGTTCTTCCCGCTAGTTGAAGCACTGGCTCGAGAAGCAGGGGTAGTAGGAGCTATGGACACGAACCTTGAGCAACATCATCTCTTCGACCAAAAGTTACAGGATACGATAGCATACGTAGAAGAGGTTCACTTAGGAAGAAGTGAATACTCCAGTGCAGGATTGCTTGCGTTAATCGACAGCTTTGCACCCGCCCTGACACAGCATCTGCATGATGAGATCGACTCCTTGCTCAATCTGGAAGATTGTGACGGCGAGAAAATGAAGAAGGCCATGGTAGAGACAGCTGAGGTGGCTCTCAAAGATGCTGATTCTGTGAGTTGATCACCTCAGTTCGGCATTGTATGCGGCTGAAGACTAATCTTGTGTTTACAGAACCTCGTAGTACCCTTATTCCTCGGTTGCATCGACAAAACGTACCCTGGCGGGGAGAACTTCCCTCCTGTACCGTTCTTCGTGCCGTACTTGAATGCATACTGGTTTTCGCGGAAGCATCAACGGATCTGGCGGTTTAATCCTAGCGATCATTGGGGAAATCCAAGGGCACTACAGTTTCTTTTATGAACTCGATATCTTGTCATGCGAGGTTCTCTTGGAAATGGGTTCATACTACTTGTATCACACCTCTTAGAGCACTAGACAATCATTTGACGTTTTCGAGATTGAAGGCTCTTTCACCACGCATTGTCAACTAATGCCCATCTCCCCCACGACTTACCCATACAACTTCAATATATTCGTCCACAATGTCACTACATCCTTTGCGCAGAATGCCTCTATACACAACAACAATCACTCACATCTTCCTCAACTCTTCACTCCTAATCTCGAGTCTGCAAGGTATAACCAATTCGCCCCTTTCTACCCACTGCTTCTGCACAACCTGCAAACCACACACTCGCGCACAGATATAGACAATCGTACTACAGGACAAGGCTCACACCGTTACATAATGACGTATCAACCCACTCAAGACCAAACGACCACAAACATAATACCCCAGGGCAGTGCGCGCAGCCATCGCATCATGCAAGAAGTAACCTCCACAATTGACGACTACTTAAAGTGGATAGAAGATGGACATGGATCGCGACCAGCCTCTTCAGGGACAGTTTTTGTCGACTGGGATGGATATGGGAAGCCTGTTGTTTCGTCGCGCAATGCCGCGCGGCGTGTACAACGACACCAGCCGCAACAATTCCAACATGTATATCCGCAAAATACACAACATGAACATCTGCAGCCTGGCCGTCCACGTCCATGTCAACGAATTCAGCCAAATCAGCCACAACCTCGGTCACAATATCAAAAGGCACGTATACGCACACCTATTCCTCAAAACTCTGTTACTCGAGATCTCACAGCAGAAAAGAAAGCAGTCTTAAAATCCCACAGACAAGCGACTATCCACGTGCAAAGCGTGGACTCATTTCAAGATCGGAACGACTCTGCAATCTCTCAAGACTTACGTCTCGAGACGACTCCAACCACAAAACCTTCATGCCCGTTTCCCCCTCCAGAGAATCTCGACCACTACGGCAAAAAGCCACTCCCCCGCCTACCGCCGCCAAAACATCAGGAACGTTACACTCAAAAACCGCTCCCTGCCCTCCCTATCTATCCTCAGAAACATACACAAGAGTATCACTGTGCACCGCTCAGAATCAACAAACCACTCCCACGTACTCCTTCCCCGCCCCCCGCTCCCCCAAAAGATCCAATATGGAAAGCCCTTCCTCCAGCACCCCCAGGCGTTACAGCTGCTCCGCGTTCCATACTACGCGAGGGACAAACCTCGTGGACGCGCCTCCCGTCCATTCGCCCTCACTCGCCATTGTTTCCTCCGGATGCACCCCTATTCTCCAACTTGGGAACACAAAGAGAGAAAAGACTAGAAGAAACAAAAGAGAAAGAAGAAGTACGGAAGCTGGAGCCAGGAGATCTGCACATCTCGTACCACGCGGCCCCGCACCATTCCATGGCCAGCTACGTCGCCGGCCACGATTCCAGCAAGACAATGTCTTTCACGTACGACGGCTCGATTATACAGGTTCAGCGGGCAGAGAGCTTGTACGCTGAGTCTTATGACATAGATGTCGAGACCTATGATGTGCGGCAGCCATTGCTCTGCCGTGACGTGAAGGGTGAGGCTCAGCATGTGACAGAAGGGCGCAAGTCCGACACACGGAAAAGGGATCGCATATTGCGGTTTGTGGAGAGAGTTATGGCGACACTGTGCTCGAGGGGAATCGTTGAGCGGTTAAGGGGGGAGAGGAGACGGGCCGCCCTTAGAACATAAGAAAAGCCGGTATGAAAATTTCCCTGAAAGTCAGATCTGAAACGAACTATGCAGCGTTACAATCTTGTTATAGACTTATGAAATCTGACCTGCGTGACCTATAACCGCTAATTAATTTGACTGAGTATTGCCCAGAATCAGCCGTCTCAACAGGTTGCGCAGACTGACCTATCTAGCCTCAAATATAGTCGTACCTGGTTCAAGACTTAGTGCAATCCCAAACATTGTTGGAACACATTATATATATTACATGCGCATTTACCATTAGGTTTATATAAGCATATAATCCAGAGTGTACCATGAGGGTGTGATACACTACAAAATTAAAGTTTGAGGACATATATCACATTCAAACATTCATGTTACTAGCAATCAAACGAATCTCACCTAGATAAACCTTCTTCTTAGTTAAGTAAAGATCCTTCCTAACATATTTAGCTTTTGATAGTGATGTATCCACAGTTATTGAACCTAGTACTTAGGCTGTGCTGACATACGTCTTCTGGTCACAGAATATTCACTGGCTTTAGCAAAAGCTAAAAAACACATAGTATGAACTGCTAAAATTGTTTATTTAAAAGAGGTAATTACACGGAAGAGCTATAACCTGTGCTCTAACAGCAAATACTTCGAACGACACAGATAAGCGCAACCCGTAATTCCCCTCAAAATCTACGCTGATGATGGCCGATCAATACGGACAGTCATTCACACGCATGCACAAATCCTAGTCTCGTATTGCTCGCTTGCCGAAACGACCCCACTTATATCTATCGAACGTCAACCTCCTTGCCTCAACTACCGCTGAGGCCAAGTTGGTAACCCGCCGTTCTTCTCATGGATCGATTACCATGAAAGGTATCTACAGATCTGTCCTGAGCGGCCACGTATCGGCCTCTTTATCTGGTCGTTCTTATTTGTCAACATCAACAAGTGTCCTAAACAGATTCACTGTACAACTGATACCCAATGGACGACATTGGAGTTCACAAGCTGATGCAACTGTGAGAGGTAAGGACATCAAATTGTCGATGTTGCGAACCCAAACATTCTAACCAGCCTTTTTTAGATCTAAGGCATGATCTAGATGCCCTCAATCAATTCACTTCAGGGCGATGGCTTTGGGGGGAACGAGAACAGCTTGCGGCGCGTTACATCAAATTCGACTTACAGAAGCTCTGCCAACTTGCCACCAGTTCAGTTGGCTCGGATTCTTGTGCGAAAGTCATGAAGATTTCTGAGGGTCAATACAATAAAGTTTTATCGTTGACCACGGATGACGGGATAGAGGTTATCGCGAAACTGCCAAACCCTAACGCCGGGCGACCCCACTTCACCACGGCGAGTGAGGTGGCCACCATGAACTTCGTATGGGATCAAATTCCCATCAACCTGCGTCTCTTCACTAACATTGCTAGCTGAGAAGTGCTGATCTCCCGATTCCTAAGATCTATGCGTGGAACTCTAGACTAGTAGACAATCCTGTTGGAGCCGAATACATCATCATGGAAAAGCAACCTGGTATCATGTTGGACGATGTGTGGGATGGTATGGAGGGTTCTCAAAAGGCACAAACTCTGAAGCAGGTCATTGAGATCGAGAAAAAGCTTGCTTCGATCAAATTCACCAAAATTGGGAGTTTGTATTATAAGCAAGACCTGCCTCAATCTGACAGCACTACCCCGCTGTACATTGATGGAGACGGTAACACAGTACACAGCGCCGAATTCGAGATTGGACCGACCAACCATCGATCCTTCTTTGATTTTGGAAAAGGTGTATTAGATATCGATCGTGGACCCTGTAAGTTCCCATTCTAACTTTCCAAGTCCATGCGATATTGATCTAATGGCTTAGGGTCTACACTCGAGGAGTACGTCGCCGCGGTTGCGTATAGAGAGATCGCCTGTGCTGAGAAAGGACTCAAATACCCTAGAATGCCCGAAGGACTCTTTTACGGACCAAGACAATACCAACCTCGTACGTCGACAAAGATGTCCGCTCTGACCAACTATTTGAAGGTAGCTGCAGATGTCCTACCAGAGGAAGAAGTAACCCATGCCGCTGTTCTTTGGCATGGCGATTTGCATGCGCAGAATATCTTTGTCGACCCAGAAAACCCGGCTCGAATCATTGGAATCATTGACTGGCAAACCACCAGCGCATCCCCGCTTTTCTTGCAAGTTACCCGCCCTGGCTTTCTGGATTTCAATGGCCCAATCCCAGGGGATCTGGGCAAGGTCAGCCTCCCCGAAAACTTCGATACATTGCCTCCGGATGAACAACACAAAGCAAAGGCATTGCAACAAGCTCAGACACTCCACAATCTCTACATGGCCCTATGTTATCAACAAAACCCTCAAGTGTTCCTGGCCATGCAACAGAAAGACAGTCTACGTCACCAGGTTACCGTTGTGCCAGGCACGGTTCTAATGGACTACGAGCCGTACCTCAATCACCTCTTGAGGGATGTCGAGAAAGAATGGCCAAAGATCGTGGGTGAAGGATCCGACGGGCATCCCTTGAAGCCGTGCCCACTCCACTTTTCGGCCGCCGAGGTTGAGCAGCAGGAAAAGGATGAGGAGCTGTGGGCTCAAGGGGTCGAGCTGATGGACGACTTTATCGCTAACGTAGGAGGGTTCAAACACTGGGATGGCAGGGTCAGTAATGAGGATTATGAGACTATAAGAGAACAATTGGCTAGTGGCATTGAGCAATTTTTGGATCGCGAAGCTAGAAGTGCGGAAGAGCGGGATGCATGGCTGAAGGCATTGCCGTTCGTCGATCACGAGTAAGTAGATTGTAAACTGTAAGCTATGGTCATGTAAGATTGTAACCATTTCACGATGGTCAGTATACCTACTAGACGGCATAGACGGGCTCTGAGCGATCCAGAGTCGTGTTATTAAGCTGCAATTCACTATAACGTCCATGCTGATAATGGCCGATCGACGTAGAAAGTCATTCACCCGTCACTAATGTTCTGCCAAAGCCTGCAAGGTGCGCAGCTAAACTACGCTATTCGTCCAATAGCCCTTCACATCTGCTACATCAAAGCGTCGACACACGACTCAAAAGCGTATCTGGAATGTAAAGTACCCTGGTATGGAATCGATGACCCGCCCACGAGACATCCGAGGATGGCAAACTGAGCATCTCCAAGCCACAAGACCACCATACAGAACCTTCTCACCCGTGTGACCAACATTGAGAGCTTGATAAGTGAGCTGGACAATATGAAAACGCGCGCAGTTTCCAGCCGGCTCGACCTTCCTGTTCATTGCACCAATGCCAACCGTTCCAATCTGGATATATGTGCCAGTCACTGCCTTGAATAATACACACGACCAGGGGACGCTGATAGTGAAATTTCTTGTCTAATTTTCAATGAAAAGTATCCAATTCGGATACATTTACGGCGCGTGAATCCATCGAACGATTATCCGTCGTCTGCCCCGGGTTCAGCCACATCTGGCTCCAGAGACAAAACTCTAGCCTCTGTAGTGTATACACGCACGAGTATCCCGACACTTCGTCGTTGTTTCGGAATATGAAGTGCTCGTGGCAGCTGGTAGTGTTGGTTATCTCTGGAAGCCCCTGGATGTCGAAGTTTGGTCTCCCTGGCTGCTCCGAATGTGCCTGGAGTTCCTGATCTTCTATATAGCAACACCGCGCATCTCTTCCGTGACTAGCATCTCCGTAATGGAACGCAAGCGTACCAGAAAATTTGTGTAGACTTATGGTGGAAGTTGGAAGGGTTTAAGAGGTCAATAATAGCTCTGTTTCTAGTTGCCTCTTATGATATCATAGTTCATGCTAGGTAAAAGAATCTGCTGATAGAGCACTAAACACAAAGCCACAAGCTACTTGTGACATCAGGTATGCGAACTTAACAACTAGTTTTGTAGTGTACTTTTCTTTCTGCTCACACATTATTTGAGATCCAGCACTAGTTTAGACGAACTACTTACCCAAATGATATCCACCTCGTTCTGTAGTCGCCGTAGTACAGAACAGAATGCAAGCCATTGTAACAGGATCCCCTTTGCCCAGATTCTAAGCCGTTTCCACGGGACTCAGGTGCTTGTCTTCTTCCTTTATGTCGCGAACTAAGTTCTGTCGTCCTTCAGTCCACTCCAGTTTTTCTGCACCTTCACTCGCCACGTGGTACAGACCAAGTACTCCGATTTCCTGGGTTATATTCCGAAACTCGTTAAGTAGTGTTTCTGGTGGTGTTTTCGTACGCCGGCTCGTAAATTCGTAGGGAACTCCAGACGGAAGCCAGCATTCAGCATACTAAGTTCCAGTTTCTGAGACGCCCACTGGCTGCGAGATATCGTCTTTGTCCAGCATGATTTCGCCTTCTACTAATGTGCAGTGTGTATGGACGAGACAAACGCCGAAAGCGTTGCCATGTTTTGATAGTAGCCTTGTTAGATTGGAGAACACCTGTTCCCGGTTCATAAAACGATCTTTTGCTTCTAAAAGTGTGGGCAAAGAATTGTAGGATTTCCAAATGTTGTCCATTCTTTTTGGACTAGTGCGGGGTCGCGGACCTCTGAAGCTTGAGACCTCACCCAAATGCATGAATAATGGCCTTGCGCCAATTAGACCAATGCTGGCTATCGATAGCAGGTATGATCTAGGAAGTGCGGCAACATTTTGATTCGTCACACCGTAAAACTCCTACTCTTTAGATTGTCGCTAGCAGGGGAGATGTGAGGCTCAGCACGGGTACTAAGCCTATGAAGGTATGATGGCCGACTGTTGAGGTAGCAACTTCTGAACTATTGGGCGCAAGCGTGTCTTGTCGTCGACGATCATCAGGCCTGTTACCGACGTCAATTCATCACATGTGTAGTGGAAGCGCTGGCCCTACACCACTTGTGCTGAGTCTGTCCCACCCAAGATAGACCGTGTATGATCCACGCCTTCTCTACATTACGTGCATTACATCTAGCATGGGTTCTAAAGAGGTCCAAACGTATGCTGGAGACATGGATTTCCGTATCTCAGAAAACTCACTTCCGCCGACCTGGGACTTCGACAAAAATGATTCTTTCATCTACTCGCGTACAGATAGTTGCCGTGTTTATCATAGTGGTCTCCGGATCTATGACGATGGCCGAGAATGTCGTCCTGATGGGACCACACAATTTCCACCAGAGGGCTGCCGAATTCGGTATTATGCTACAGAAGAAGATGTCCCATATACGAAGTCTGCCTTGGAGAACGAATTAGGACAGGGTGCGTATGGTAAAGTCGACGTCGTGGAGGCGACCCATGGGCAGAAGTCACAAGATAGTCGCAAATTTGCTCGCAAAGAGTTTCACCATAGAGGCACGTTCGATTCATCCAGCAAGTCCGCAGCACAACAAAATCTGGAAAGAGAGATCGATATATACAACAAATTGGAAAAAGAACAACCGACGCAGCACAGGGTCAAGATTGTTGATGCGTACACAGTTGGCATGAAGCGCTTCTTCTTGATTATGCACCCCGTTGCGGAAGGCAGAACGCTCCAGAATAAGCTTTACGACTTTGCGTTCGACAGAGAAAATAGAACTGCGGATGAAATTGCAATGCTTCGTCGCGCGATTGGCTGTCTCACTGTGGCCATCGCGAGGTTACACGATAAGGGATTCCGCCATCGGGATCTACATCCTGGGAACATACTATTACACGGGGGCGAAATTCTAGTATGTGACTTCGGAGCCTCTTTACATACACAATATAAACAACGAAGCACGACCTCAACCGATTTTCCACCGAAAATGGAGCGATATGCAGCACCGGAGGTGATATCTTCGCTAGGAAAGCGAAACAAGATGGCAGACGTGTTCTCCCTGGGTGCAATTCTGTTCGAGATTGTGTTTGCTATATGGGGCCGTGAGGAACTCGATGAGAGCTTCAGAGATGGTGGTTACCGGTATGAGGCTCGGATAGATGAAGTTGAAAAAATGTGCGATCCCAGCTCTGGTGGCTCGGGCATGTTATGGGACATAGCGCAGATGTTACAACGCAATCAGCAGAATCGCCCTCTGGCGAAAACTGTGGCCTCTCGGATTTTAAATAGACTGGAGTCTGATAAAGATCCGTTGATGTGTTCTGATTGCGAAGGATGGCTCAGGGAAAGCGGTGAGCCACAAAAGTTACGTGACGAAGTCCAGGAAATAATGGAAAGAGTCAGAAAACAAACAGAACTTCAGGAAAGAAGGGAAAAGCGTCAAGCCCTCAAGAATCTTTCTGTGAAAAGAACTCGGTCCTTTGGAAATTGATCTCTACGTTCTCCTCTCTAAGACTTTCCTGAGGCGATTCTAGCAAGGCCTATTTGAGCTATGAACTGAGCGCGGGCGTAAACGAAAACAGTCGCTGCACTGACACGATAGTTAAATCAGAATTCATGCCATGTTCAATATATCGAAAGCTCTTCCCACTTCGCTTCTGCAAATAGTGCAGCCTCATAAACGCAAGCTATCCCGACCCTCTCATATCTAGAACCGCAGTGAGTTTGAAGTATCATGAAGATGTCTCGTCGGGCATTTGTCTGGCTATGAACCCTGGATCGTAACAAGAGACAATGATATCGACCTGACGCTACGCTACCGCGATCAAATTGCCCGGTACAGGAAATCTGTTTATCGGAGTATGTGAGCCTAAAAGATGGTGGGTTGGACTGCTCTGAAATATCGTCGATATCGATAGCAGCCTCGACAGTTGGCCCGTAAAGAATGATGTAGGCTGGTTTCACAGCCGACACGAAAGGAAGTCCAGTCCATTTCACTGAAAAGTCCATCAGCTTGCAAAAGTCTTGCACGCGTACGTAACGGTCGGTCTGACGAGCCCTCCTAGTGAGTTGCCAAATATCAAATTCGATATGAGAGGGACACGAGAGCCAGGACCACGATGGAAGACTAGCTGATCCGATCTCAGGAGCAGACTCCAGTGAGATCTGACCCGTTCTGATCCACAGCAGATCCTGGATAATGGAGCGCTTCCAGAGTCCCAGAATCGAGACATCTCCAGTGATCTCTTCGTACTTTCCGACAATTCCAGACAGTGCAGGTAAACGGTCCTTCCAATAGCTGAACTTCCGTTCGGAGAAGTTTACCATCCAACTTCTCCACATGCCGTCTTGTTCGAGCGTCGCCGGAGATTGGTACATTCTCGGAACACCACGAGTGTCAGACACATGACTACCAAAATGAACCCCAGTCTCTGTTCTATAAGCTTCACTGCACTCCCAGTGCATTTCATCACTCATACACGAGATGATACGGTGGGGCAGGAGTTGTTCTTGAAGTACCCAGCCTCGGGAGCTTAGGACCGTATGCTTGGTGAAATGTCGAGTATCTCCGGGTTGTATCCTTACAAGAAGCTCGGGACCTTCCTCCACTTGAGCCAAGTGAAAGGTCTGGACGAAGGAACTCTTGACTGGAAAACAACCACTTTCGCTTCCAGGTGAGTCAGACGCTGCGATGTTGAGAATGCTTCCTGAATATATATCCTTGATCTTTGCAGCTTCCTGTTCCCATTCCTTTGCATCGTCTTGAACAATGCATAAGGCATCTATCCATATGAAGCGAACGCCTAATGCTTGCGTGATGAGAATGGCATCATCAAATGTACGGGGAATGATCTGAGGAGGAATTTGGTCGCTGAATGACTGTAAATTTGACAGAAGCGTACGTATAGATACATTAGTACCCCAGCAATGGCTAAGAGTAGTGTATTGTTGATTTTGGCCCGAGAGCTGCTTGCCGAGAACGAGTCTAGGAGGACTACCATTTCCCCCAACTTCGATCAAGCGATGTGGAGTTTGCTTGGCCTGAGGCGTACATTGATTGCCATGGTTCGAAGTGCAGTGATCTGACCATTTTTTGATGGCTGTCATCTTATCTTCCATAGAGGCTGAAGAGGCCCACGGAGCACGTCGGCCTGTTGCTGCTGCCTTGGATATTAACTCAGTCGAGATTTTGCATCTTGCGATCACCTACAATTGGACGCACACGTTGTAATGGAGAAGGTATGGACACTCGTGACCTCTCCCGCAGCAACTGACTGACGAACCGATAACTCGAGAAGCGCCCATCTTACTTCTTCCGTAGAGTCATTCGGCTCTTTGAGCCTTACACTGAGTGCAGCATTGTTTAGGGAATGAGGCTCAAGCTCCTCCGCGTCCAGGTGGGATTGAACGTATGTACAGAGAGAACAGCGTTCGAGCTGTTGCCTGAAGGATGATACGGTCGCGTAGAATGGTCGCGTAGTGTGCCCTTCATGATTGATAGGGACAATTTTCGAGCAATATTGGCATAAAGTCGCTTCTTCTGATATCATTATTATCTTGAATCTTGTACAATCAGAGAAAGAGAGAGTGTACATTTGCTTTAGTCAACGAAAAGACTAGCTAATGCTAGTTGTGCCTTCAACTTGACCGGAATATTGACTGGTCGTGTCTAAAAATAAAAGCATATGTAGACCGGTCGAAGAGACTTCATGTCACCCAATCGTTTCGCATCTTAGGTCTGTTAGTTTCTTGATGGTACCCAGTAGAGGTGAGAGGGCTAAATAAAGGGTTTGCGCCTGATGATCATGTCTCGAATACCGTTAAACTCCCGCCCTTTGGATTATCGCTAGCAGGGGGGTGCAACGGCTGAAGATTGTGAAAACTCCATTGATTCGCTGCAGTCGCTTTTGACTGGAAAAGTGGAATTTGTTGGGGCACCCCTCCCCGGCTGGAGCGGAGTGAGTCCGCTCAGCCTCAGTTGGTACAGCCGCATCTTTTAATATGTGCAAGACGGCTGACCATTTAACATTCTTTTCCCCAAATGTGGCTACAAATGAAAGCAGGCCGAAATTCCCATGGAGAGTAATTAGCTGCCATTGTTTGCATCATACAATTCATATATAATAGTTACCCACGGAAAAGAAAAATACATACGACCATAGGACGTTGAAAACAAGGCTTCCCGTTCGCTCAGCCCTATTTAAGCAACGTACCGGCGGACTAGTAGTTAGGTGGGTGACCACTAGCGAATCCCCGCTGTTGTATGTATCCCTTTTTGCAATTTTTGTCGTTCTCGCAATGTGTTTTTTTGCTGGACACGCTATGATGCATATAGACTAGCGTGGTAAAGGTGGGGCCTTGCCGAGTGGGGATCAATGGGGACGACGAGCGTAGGGGCGTTGTGTATTCTGTGGGTGCTGATGATTTTTGTTTGTATATTGTTCTGTGTTCTCGATAGGAAAACTTCTGAAGGTGATTGTTTGGGTCTACTTGACCAACAGAAAGAGTAAAGTAGAGATTGTGATTTACTATGCTTGATCCTGTTTGGTTGATTAGTGGTAGTTCTGACCCTGATACTTTTAGGGTAACCATAAGAGATGTAGAGGAGCAATGTTGATTGCGAAAAGGACTACTAGCATAGTAAACAAAGTAGGCAGAGCACCGAGGATCTTTGTTTGGATTTTATAGTCGGCTGCCCGTATCAGATGCTCAATGGTAGTTGGATATTGTCTAAAACGCCAATGAGTATGCAGGGATAGAGCCAAGTCTCACCGTGCCAGGTTATGATAGGTTGGAGTCAAAACTCTTGCAGACATGCCAAGAACGTGTGGAGAGTATGTGGCTGCCTGGAGGTGGGTCGCGCTTATGAGCTGATATCTGTGAGATCAGGTGTCACGAATGTGTAAGTAGGGGGCAGCTATGTCTAAAAGCCCATCTCCAGCCTATCTCTTTGATGAAAGCTAACACAAAATGTCATCCGTGCTCAACCACAGATTCATATCCGAGAGTAGTTTTACTTCCACAGAGTCGAAAGAACTCCAGCTTGACATCCTGGGCTTCCTAAATTTTATCCACAAATTAGGGGTTGATATCGTCCCGATTACATGGCAATCAGCACGACAACCGATCGGGTGGGGTGCAACAAGTCAAATCAATGAGGCGCATATCAGCATCACAACCAGTTTTGCATTCAAATGCGCTTCCGACGCACAAAAACAACGAGGTCTGTCGAAAGTCTTGGAAGCCTTGATGAACGAAATTGGAGTTCTTGCTCAACCTTCAATCAGGAATCATCCCAATGTTGTGGATTTGCAAGGCATTTGCTGGGATGTCGAATCTGAACACGAGATTTGGCCAGTCTTGATCTTGGGAAAATCCGAGTTTGGAAATCTGCATGACTTTGTGTCTTTACCAAACGGAAGGGCGCTGTCTACGGAGCAACGCCTAGAACTATGTGTTGATATTGGCACTGCAATACAGGATATGCACAATACCAGTAAGTGGATCGCTTGGCGGCCAGACGTTTGCTAAGACTGAAATAGACATTGTGCATGGTGACATCAAGCCCGAGAATGTTCTCATTTTCAGAGACCCAAGTGAACTTGGAGAATACATTGCGAAGGTTTCCGATTTCGGGTATTCAGCTAGGCTTCTGAGCGCCGACGACACATGCTTAATGTCTCGATCACTACCATGGCATGCTCCTGAACACAGCTTTGATCTGGTCGGTCTCGTTCAAGCACAAAAGATGGACGTGTTCTCGTTTGCGTTACTTTGTTTCTGGGTATTGTTTGAAAAGTATCTTGCTGTAGAAGCGATGTTTCCAGTGGAAGCACAGTGGGCAGAAGAGTATTTCCCTGCATACAAGGACGAACACCTCAGCAAAAGGTTTCTCGAGAATCTCAAAAACTCGAATATGACTTCAGCCTTGGCCCGGGAACTGGTTGCCGCTGATGAATTTCTCGATGCTGGAACTAAGCAGGCCTTGATACATTTTTTCACAGTTGGTTTAGCGCCTGAACCAAACTCACGATCACAAGACCTTGGAGGACTCTTGAATGACCTTGTTTCGAGGTGAGTTCCAGTTATCACTCCTCATCTTATGTGTCTAAACACCTTGTAGGAGATCAGCGCGGCACAAGAGTACCGATGCAACGACGCTACATACGCCGGAATACGACTACGAGTTGGCGGTAGAACTAGTCGATAACATGTCGTCGTTGTATGCCTCTGACTACCGGGTCAGAAAATATCTCAGACACTGCTTGCAAGAACGGATGGAACGAAACAGTGGTTCTACGGAAAGACAGAAACTTGCGTTCCAACTTGCTGTTTGTAACGAGATTGGATTTGGGGCACTGAGAGATGTTCTATTGGCTGAGAAACTATTACAGCAAAGTGGCAGAACGCGTGATGAGCTTCAAAAAACACTGATACGGGTTATGACTAGTAGTGATAGTCGGACTGGCAGTTCGAACTGGAGTATCCTGCGAAAATTAGGCCACGTCAAGATGATCAACTTTGCGGATCAATTTCATCAGATCGATGAACTGAGACTGGCCGAAGAGGAGTACAAGAGAGAGATGGCGGATATTGAACAGTCTCTAGGCAAATCCAACGGCTTATGGATGTTCCATTCGCAGACACTGACGCTAATTTATAATAAACTTGGGCAGTGGCAAAACGCAGCAAGAATATTGGAAGAAGCACTCAAGTCGGCAACTTCATCTGGAGATGATGAGATCTCTATCCTCCAGATGAATCTGGCACAAATGTATCGACACGAAAGTCGACTTACAGAAGCGGAACGCCTATTAGCGGACACCTTGAGTCTGCTGTCGGAAAGTTACGCAGAGAACGATCTGCGGGTTCTCGAATGCAAAATCAATCTGGCTTTGGTGTTGAAAGATCAAAATCGACTACAGGATGCGGTTGATCTGCTTCTGAAAGCTCTGCCAGTCATCCAGGGGATGTTGGGTAGAGAGAATCCTACCGCTCTTTCAACCCTTTCGAATCTTGGATCAATATATTTCCTACAATCGCGGTGGTCACAAGCTGAGATAATACACATGGAGACCAAAGATACTTGTGAAAGAGTACTTGGAGCATATCATCCATTCACCATCTTGAGCGTCAAAAACCTTGCTAACTTATACGCCCGCGGAGGACGATTCAATGAAGCAGAAGAAATGCTTTGTGCCTGTCTATCAAGAGGAAAAAGGGCGTTGGGCGAACAAAACCCCATAGTTCTCGACACCTTCGAGGAACTTGCTAATACATACATTAGCCAAGACCGGCTCGGAGAGGCTGAGGCAATGTTAAGTCGAATTGTAAAAGTTCGAAGAGACGTACTTGGACCCGAACACCCAGATACAATCATCGGTATGCATAGACTGGGCGTGTGCTACCAGCGATCAGGGAGATGGCGTGAAGCTAAAGAAATGTACATCCAAGCTTTGGAACTTTCCATCAGCCATTTTGGACCCAAACACCGTTCTACCTTACACAAATGTTTGGATCTAGCCTCGTTATACATGGAACGTGGATATGCGACTAAGGCAGAACATTTGATGCTAGAAGTAATGAGAGGGGAGGAAGAGTTACACGACCGAGATGAATCCCTTCGTATCGACACTCTCGCAAAACTAGTGACAGTCTATCGGCAACAAGAGCGGTTGGATGAAGCAGAGCAAGCAGCAGTTCAGGCCATTGGTGCTCAATCACGTCTACATGGATACCATCACTCATTAGCACTGGAAAGCAAGAACAACTTGGGTGCGATACTAAGGGATCAGAGGAAATATACGGAAGCCAAAACTGTGTTCCTCGAAGTTATCGGAATCAAGGAACTGCATGGCGTTCGAGATGCAGCATACTTGGTGAGTAAATACTGTCTGGTTACAGTATACATAGCAGAGGAACTTTGGGATGACGCGTTCAACTTGGGAATGGAAGTTTTGGGTGTGACTGAAGTAAAATTTGGAACCCATCATCGCCTCTGGCTTCTGACTATGGAAGAGGTCATCATAGCGTGTACGAGCTTGGAGAGGTGGACTGACATCGCAGAACTCGAACAGCAGGTACTGAAGATCGACGATCATGTATGGACCGAAGATTACACAAATATCCTCAGGGTGACCAAGAGCATTATTTCAGCTTTAGTTGTCCAAGAAAAGTGGACACATGCCGCCAGGGTTAGCGAGCAGGTAGTATGCAATTTGCAAAGAGTTCTAGGGACGGAGGATACCGACACGCTTGAATATATGCGTTTATTGTCGTGGATATACACAAAAGATGGAAGGTGGTCAGAAGCCGAGATAGTTATGCTGGAGGTGGTTGCAAAGTGGAAGCTGTTGATGGGGGAAGAGCATGAAAAGACATTGAGCCATATGGCAGATCTCGCTAGCATATATTCTGGGCAAGGTCGCAACGACGAGGTGAAGTTACTTGTTGACCACATAGCAGGCATGCGTCAAAAGTTCATCGGCGGAGCATCTTGAGGATGTTTGTGAATAAGAATCTCTAGCAACCGGTGGAAATCTGGTGTTCAGACATTACATTATTGAAACTTACTGGGGAGTCTTACTTATGTCCCTCAGAAACGAAAATTCACATCAACATCAAATTCGTAACTGTGACAACTCTTCTAAAGGATTGACCACTTTCTCAATATACTCCCCGAAAACACTTGACTCCAGATCATCTGAGGCCACTTTGTCTGAACGAAGAACTAAGGAACCATCCAAACAAGCACTAACAGCTTTACTGTACACAGTCCCAACAGTCGCCTCTAGCCTTGGGACATACTTTTCAAGTAAAACTTTCCGAAACTCGCGTGTGCCAAGAGTTCGATGTCCTCTCTTTTGCGAGAATTTTTGCAAAGGAATCCAAGACCCAATTTCAAGGAGCACCAATCCGAGACTGTAAACGTCGTACTCCAGCAAGAATCGACCTCCTTCGCGGTACTCTGGATGTTCGTATTCACTAAAATCTGTCTCATCTGGCGGTCCTTCAGTAGCCCAGGATTCTCCATCGGGTCTACTCTTTTGGAAACCCACGACATAGGGCTGACTCCATGTGTTCGTCGAGGCGAACATTTCCAATGAAGTGTGGGCAAAGATTACGTTCTTCGAACTGAAGGTTTCGTGCACACAGCCAACCGTGTAAAATTTCTCGAAGAACAAAGCCAGCGAGTGAGCGAGTAGGAACTTTCCACGTAGGGGAGCTTGGCTTTCTGAACCCAATTGTCGGTCCATTCCCAACGAGAGTAGCTGTTTCAAAGTCACTGGTGGTACAAAACAGTATCCTTCAACTTGTTCTGGAAGTTTGTAGAGGAAGCCGTATCCGTGTCTGCGACCCTGATTCCCAGCTTCTTCTACAAAACCAAGACATTTCAACATTCGTAATCCCGTTGGTTCTGGGTCGATACTGAAGCCCCTCGCTTTTAGTTCCATAACCATGAGTCTCTGAACTTCTGGGATCGATTCCCACTGCGGACGATAATACATCCACTCGACTAAGACTCTACCCCCACGAAATTTACCGTATGTGTGGCCGTTGGATAACTGGAGATCACTAAGGTCCTCCCGAGGACGCAAGAGCTGTGCGGTGCCGGAGGTCGTGTCATTTTCCAGTTGCAGTCGCAAGGCCTTCATCTTAGCTATTGCACCCATATCCCTCATATCCTGTCTTCGGTGCGCTTGAAGCGAAGCATCTATATTGTTGAGTCGCTCAATATCATCCTCTTGCATTGATTGGATCCAAATCTGTTGTATCTTCCGAAAACAGGCTGAGGGTAAAAAGTCCCACAAGTCTTGGACAAGGCATTGAATGCGTTCTTCGAAGGACTTGCGTATCTCGATAAAACTCTCTACCGATTGGGAACCCTTCGCGTCGTGAAGTCCGAGTTCGGCGTTGATAGTGCAGAATAGACTTTGTAGTTTCTTATAACATGCTTGGATGGTGTCTTCTTCAGTAAAGACTGAGTTCTGTTCACTCGCTTGCGAGAGTAAGAGCCGGCCAAAGACGCGAACGCGCTCGAGCTCGAACCACATCGAGGCTTGTTGAGTACATTCTGTGTCCTGCCCGGCGCTGGAACAACCTAGAAACTGGTCGAATGAATTGCATACTGCCGAGACAAGCGCCCGGAAACCTCGAATATCTAGGGCAAAACGGATCTGGTGCATAGAGGGGCGTGACTCTACAGCTGGTTCTAGGGCTAAAAAGGCGACCTGCACCAGGTCTTGAGTCAGGGTTGATGATGTATTCCCAAGTTCCTGGAGCCATTCACGTACTGAAGGCTTGAGTTGACCACTAGAACTGTAGAAGTATGTTGATATCCATCCTGGACGCAGTTCGCCTTCTCGAGCGACTCGGAACTGTTCCACACCTTTGGGACCCCGGTGGATATACGTCGCCAGTTCGGCAAGCAGACAGCCAAATGCCCAGACATCAATTGATCTGCCAACCAGCTGATTGGCGAAAGTTGCAGCGTCCCTACTTTCGGGAGCGAGGTAGTCTCCAGTACCCATCTTCCATGGCGTGGTTGATTTCATCCCTTCGTCCTTCATTCCCCCTAAGCCAAAGTCGGCCAGAATGTAAGTATTCCCGCGGACTAATATGTTCGCTGGCCGAAGGTCATGATGATAACCTGTAGCGTCAAGGTTTAACCCGTTCTGTTCCAGCTCTAAATGAAGGTCGTGGGTATGTTCTAGAGCTGAGGCCAATCCACGGAGTGCTAGTGGGAATGTGAAATCCCAACGAAAGTCGCCGAATCGTGTATCCAGTTGGAGGAAGTGGGCAAGATCCATTGGAAAGTACGGAAAGAGGAAATTGTGCTCTTGCTGGTGGGTGTAAGATCCCAGCAGGGGTATGATATTTGGATGTTTTAATCGATGCAGTAGGCGGAGAGATTTCATTTCTTTTAAGAAGAGTTGATCATATCTGTCTTTCGTGTACCTCTTCCGATACACAACAGATTTGCGCACAACCGCTACAGTACCGACCTATTGCAAAAGTCAGATATCCCACTTTTTGAGCGTATTTGTACTTACAGTTTCCCGGTAAAATCCTTGGAGACTGGCCGGGATCTCAAGTTTTGTGACTTTTCCAAAACCACCCTCGCCAATATCTTCTACTTGTCCAACAAACGGGAATACCATTCCGGCATCGTGAATATGACGGTGATAATCGCACATGTCGCTTTGGAAAAAGTAAGGAAGAAACTGCCATTGGACCTCGCGGGCGAAGGAAATGCCAAATTCGGGTGCAATTTCTCGAGCTTTGGTTTCGTCTAACGGGAGTTTTCTGTCAAGACATTCGAAGTCGCGAAACCGCACTATAGCACTGGTCCTTCTCATCCATATAAGGATAGCAAATGTAACCAAACCATCTTCGACAAGCTTTCTTGAGAGACCAATCCGCTCGTGGGCTTCGCAATTAATTTCTTGAACTGCGAGGTCGACTTGCGCAGGCGTGAGTATATCTCGCAGCTTCAATGGAAGGATGAAGTACACGCCAGAAGTGGACTTTACACGACTTTCTTCGAGCTGCTGATACAGTAGTTCCGTATTCATCGTGTATTTCTTGATCAATATGCCTCTCAACTTGCTGACTGGCCTTGAGTATAATGTATTTGATACGTAGTTTGCGTTATGTTAGATTCATCATTCTGAATCAGTAACGGAATCGATCTCCGGCTACCCTCAAAATGTTAGTAAGACTAGTATGAAGACATTCCGGGAAGTAAAACCTGAGTCAACCCACGCGGCGCTACAATTTCGATGTAGTCTTGAGAGATCTAGCAATGTCAGTGGATGAATCTGGTTCGTCTTACCCAAGCCTGCTGACTACCTTGACTGAGTATCGCCCGGGAAATTGCCGCGCTAGAAAATTATGCAGGCTGCTTAAGATAATGTATCGAGTCTCTAGTGTAGTCGTGACGGCCATGGATGAAAACCTATGCAAGGATTCCTGATGAACAATTGTGCGTAACTACGAGGGGCAAAGACGAAATGAAATGCACTACTGGAGGAAAGGCAGACTTAGGGCAAACCTCGATGCGTTGGCAGAATATATGGATTGTAGACCGGTCAACAGCTGGCACATGCAATGCTCCAAGGCTTCGCCCACCTGATAGCGAGCGGGGGTAGTGCATGCATCACGCTAGACTTGTCTCAGCCACACTGAGCTCTATGATGAAGTCGTACTCATAAGCCCTAGTTCAGGTTTCAATCTGATCGCAAAATACTTTGTAGCACGTCGGATATCTTGCGGCGCATGGGGCATCGACTTCATATCAGTTTATATCCAGAATGCACGATCAGAGTGTGGCAAATAGTGTGGACTATTACCTCTACAGTCAGGACCTCCAGCGATTATCGTCAAGTCTCTTTGTCCAAAAAGAAGTAGACTGCAAAGTTGAAGTCTGGCACAATATCCCACATGCTACTAAGTCGCAAGGTATTCTGTACGATTCTATGGGAACACACCTGAAGCTCACATGTCACTAGTGATAAACCAAGTCTTACCTGGGCAACATCTGGTCTCGGTTCACAATCTCGAAGAGCTAGAGGCTCGTTGGAATGTATGCACCAGCAATAGAGCGTCCATGACTATCTTGTGTGAAATCCAATCCTAACAGTATATCACGAACGAACAAAAAATAACCGTACATAAGCATGATCCACCGAAAAAACTCATGGAGCCGCATGAAGATTTTGCCCGACATGTTCGACTTCTTGTTCTCGTCCGTAGCAATGCATCCGCAGTTTCTGAACCTGGTGTTCGGGCTGGGTCGACAGACGTCTTCTGGCAACGACACATTCACCAGCTCCTACAGAAGCCAGACAACGCACGGTATGAGCTGTTGAACACGTTCAGATGCTGTAAGTAACCGTGTGGAAAGGTTTTGACATTTGCTACAACATCAGATTCTTTGAACCACACGGACGGGCCCTGAGCGATCCATGGTCGTGTCGTCAAACCGCGATCCACCACAAATTTCGAGCTGAAGATGGCCAGTCCATATGGACAGTCATTCACCCGCCACTGTTATTCAGCCAAAGGCTGGAACATGCGCAGTCAAACCAGGCCGTTCATCCAATAGCTCTTCACATCTGTTACATCAAGGCTTCGACACACAATCTGAAAGCGTACCTAGAATGCAAAGCATGCGAGCTGACATCCCTGGTGAGTACAATCTCCTCATATGTACATGACTGGCGAGACAGTCCGCTCACATTGCATCCTAGGACGGCAAGTTGAGCGTTTCAAAGCCCTTTAGCGACTTCGACACTGACTTTTCCACCACACAACACCTACACTCCTTGAAAAAGAAGCTCAACCTCGCGCTAGTGATTACACAAGGCGTCTCGCACGTCTTGTCAACCCTCTCTACTCATGTTACAGATAACACCTCGCTGATGAGGCTCACGCCCGACATGGACCGCGACATCCACATCGAAATCGCACAACTCGCAAACGACATGAAGAGCCATGAAGCCACCATACAAAACCTTCTCACTCTCGTAACAAATATCGACACTTTGGTAAGTAAGCTACACAACACCAGAAGGGTCCCACTATTCATTATGACCAAGTCTTGGTTCGATATCGCGATGCCTACTATCAAAATCTAGTTGACTGTCCACCAAAACACCCCACACTCACAGCGCTAACCCCACCACCTCAAACCAGAACACCAACATCCTCGCCTTCAAAAACCAAGATCTGCTACTCCGCACCACGCATTCCCTCGCCCAGCTCGCCCACGCCAGCGCAACAGACACCAAACTAACCACCGCGATAGCCGACAAGACGCAGCAGGACTCTCGGGTGATGCGGATAGCGACACTGATCGCTATGATATATTTGCCTGCGAATCTGGTCTTGGTAAGTTATCTATCTATTCGTCCATTCTACTTCCTATCCGTGGCGTCTTTTTGTGTGGCAACAGGCTGATAGAGGGGGAAATATATAGTCCTTCTTCAGCACATGCTTGGTGAATCTGATCCCGGATGGAGAAGCGCAAGCTATGGCGACTAGGCTCAAGATAGAGGTTTATAGCCAGGTGTGGGTCGCTGTTTTGTCGAGCGTGATTTTGGTAGTAGTGAATGTTGCTGCGCTTACGGTGTGGGATCGATGGGGACGACGGGTGTAGGGGGTTGGTGTGTTGATTGTTGTCTACTGTTTCCAATGAGAGGTTTAGATGTTATTGCGTCCATTGAAGGGATTACGATTAGATCTGACCAACAGAAAGTATAAAGCAGAGATCATGATTTACTATCCTACCCAACCCTGTAAGTGGAGTGCGTACATGTAGGCGCGGTATACCGAAACCCGAAAGAACACCTCCATAGCGCCGATGCCATTCTGAAACTCCCGTAGATACCCTTAAAACCCGCATACTACCATGGCGATGTCATTGTGCAAACGCCAGAAATCATGATATGACCCAGATAAACCAGTGGATATACCATGCCCGTGTCTCGCCTAGCTGCTCCTTTCCGTCTGACCTGAACACCGAAACCCAAGAAGTAAAAGAGTGAATGGCCTGTCTAGTAGGCAAGATATCATCAGAAGAGAGAAGAATTCACTCCGTCTAGAGTTCGAAGACGGATTGTGGGAGCGTAGCAAGTAGAGCAAAGGAGACTGCCGCTCCGGGAACGATGTATGCAGCTGCCGTCCTGAGTGTCCTGCTGATGATGGAACGAGGTTGCTTCTTCGGACGGCGGGCGATGACAGCAGCGACTTCAGCAGCACCCTCGGTAGCGACAGCATCGCCAATGAAATCCTTGTCCACCCCAGTCGTCGTTGACAGTACTGTTGGGATGCTTGCTTCCTCTCCAAGAACATCTGCCTTGCGCTTCACGCCATTCATAGAAGTAGGTGTTGGTGGCTGATCATCGACTTCCTCGACAATCTCCGTAATAGATACCTTGGTTCTGCGACTCGGCGGTGGCGTCGTAGAGGTCGTAAGGTCAGAATTTGGCAGTGGTGGAGGTGTTTGGATGCGACCCGCAGCTGGAACAGTCTGGAAATCTAGAGCACCCTCGCAGCCATTAAAACCTCCTTGAGAAGCTTTCTGGGAGGTTAGAGGCGCGGGACTGAACAGAGATGGCCGATCACCAAAGTTGGTACCTAGATAGTTGTGACCGGGGAATTCCTCCGAAAGCCGTTCGTGGCTGTCATTTGCTTGTACAGAAGATGTGAGGTCCATACGACTCCAAGGCACTGCCTGTGGTGCTGCTGGACGTGGAGGCAGAGGGGGAGCTACCGAGTCGGCAAAGGTAGTTTGATCGATAAAGGCACCGAAAGACGGAAGCTCTCGTGCTTGCACATGCATATCCTCGGAAGACATGCCACTCCAGAAGAAATCCCTCGTGCGGAGAGCCGACGAACTTGCTTCGGGTGACCGCTCAGGAGGTACTGACATTGTGACGGACGACTCGTAGGTAGATCCGGTATGATGAACCATATCGACAGTTTCCTCAGCCTCAACATCTACGCCTCTTATTACTGAGACGCTCGTAGCCAGGTCAACTTCGTCTAGATTACTGAACATGTCGTCGTCGACTTCCTCTAAATTACTGTCGTTGTCGTCATCGTCGTTGTCCATGATGTAAACCAATTGGGGCTCTTCTCCGGAGTAGGCATCCTCAACATCAAGCGAGCTCACGGCAGGGCTTGGTTGTGGCACCAAGTGGCTCAGAAGGTTGTCGGCAGCAGCGAGAGGAATCTCGTCGTCAAGATCGGCCTCTTGCTCAAACATGGTGACTTCAGCTGAGGCGTCTTGTGCTTCGTCTGATTCAGAGGCCGAGTCGGAGTCGGAATCATCGAGTGTGAGGGGGTTCTGCTGACTGCCGCGACGTGGTGAGTGATTGACTTCCTCGACTTCCGACTCAGCTTCAGGGACGGTGAAGCCGTGTGAAAACATGTGTTGCGGCAGTACGAGGCGAGAGGCGAAGGTGTATTTACGAGCGACGAAGTAGCCTAGAAGTGGGTGAGTGTCAGCTGGCTTGGCACGGCTGTAGAGGTACGTACTCTCGTTGCGGTTGACGTCGGCTCCAAACTGCAGCAAGTCGCCAGTGGACAGTGGTTCAGGCGTGTTGGGCACCAGCTTCACGCCATTCACCATAGTGCCATGCATGGAGCCACTATCACTGACGTAAACCTGAGGTACCCCGCTGTTGGCGTTGGCGGAGAAGACGGCGTGGTCTCGGGAGACGACTGGGCTGTCGATGTAGGCGTTGTCAGACGCAGGCATGAGCTCTGGCTTGGCTGCGTTTCTGGATGAGCGGCCGATGGGGAAGGTTGAGTTCAACACCAAGTCAAACTCGCGGCTTCCCTGGGCGTCGAAGCCCTTGTCGTCTTTGAGGACGATGTGGAAGGCTGTGGGGCTGGTGAGCAAGTGTTGCCGTGCTGTAGGAGGCCGCAAGTATAACTTACTTTGAGCCATGTTCAGGAAACAGTCGCTCTGATGTCAGTAAGAAAGAGGGGTTCCAAGTTGTTGGTCAAAGGAGCGTTGGTAGGGCGAGACGTGGTAGCCAGCAGCGGGCAGGTGGAGCTCAAGCGGGGAGAGCACCTTGATTACAAGGTGATTCCACGGTAGAGGCTGATGGATTGAGAAGGAAACACGGTTGAGCAGCGTGAGGAAGGAGCCGGACTGAGCGAGGCTCAAGGTGACTTAAACAAATAGCCCGACCTTTAATGGAGCTACAGGCGGGGTCAAGAAGGTGAAGCAGGTCACGTCGTCGATGCCTTGAGCATGCCCTCCTTATCTTATCAGGCTGCATTAGTGGCGCAGTAGCAGCATGGGTGTATACACGGGCTTAGCGGCGGGAGCATGGCCGTGGGACCCCACCGAAACTTTTCAGCGCGCGCAACTCGAACCAAGGCAGGCATTCTCTCAGTGAACCAACGGCGCACCCGGTCATGACTCACGGCGCGACGACGATGCACGCCACCTCTGAAGACTTTCGGTAGCAGCACATCACAGCAACGGCACGCCATAGCACCACGGCCAAGATGGAGGCGCCCAAGACGCACGCGAAGCAGCAGGTCGTGGACCGCATCCCCGCGCGCATCAAGCACATCCAGTTCGGCATCTAGTAAGACACACCCGTGTCTTGGACACTGCACGCCTTGTCTTGTAGTAACACTCTCTCCAGCTCCAACCAGGACATTGTCAACCAGGCCGTCCTCGAAGTCTCGGACCGCAATGTCTACGACCTCGCCCCCGCCTCGGACAGCACTCGCGTCCTCACTGCAAACGGGCCCATGGACCTGCGCATGGGCATATCGAGCAAGAGCGGCTTCTGCAGCACCTGCGGCGAGGGACTCGACACGTGCAACGGCCACTTTGGCCACATCAAGCTCGCCCTGCCCGCCTTCCACGTCGGATACCTGAAGCACATCATCGAGGTGCTGAACTGCATATGCAAGGACTGCTCGCGCGTCCTGCTGGACGAGGTCGAGCGTCGCAAGTACCTGCGCAGTATGCGCCGCCCCGATATGGACACGCTGCGGCGGACAGCAGTCTCGAAGCGCATACTGGTCGACTGCCGCAAGAAGAAGACGTGCCCATACTGCAGTGCCCTGCAGGGGACGGTGCGGAAGGTGCCAGGTCATCCGCTCAAGATCATCCACAACCGCTACGACGCCTTCAACCGCTCGACAGCAAAGACGAAAAAGCCACCAGCTGGCAAGGTCGAGTTTGACCAGTCATTCGAGACGGCAAAGTCTGCCAACCCGGACCTGGACAAGCACCTGAAGAAGGCCGTCGACGACATGCACCCTCTGCGCGCCCTGAACCTCTTTAAGAAGATCTCCCCGGAAGACTGCGAGCTGCTGGCTATGATACCCGAGGATGCACGTCCAGAAATGTTGATTTGGGAGTACATGCCTGTGCCGCCCGTCGCACTTCGACCTTCAGTCATGCAGGAGGGCGGAGCGACAGAAGACGACGTCACGAACAAAATCGGAGACATCTGCCAGATCAGCAGCATCATTCGCGCTGGGCTAGCCCGTGGATTCCCTCTCCAGATCCTCATGGAGCAGTGGGACTTTCTGCAGCTGCAGATTGCCATGTACATCAACAGCGATGCGCCGGGTCTAAAACAGCAGGGACTGCAAAAGACAATGCGCGGCTTCTCTCAGAGGCTCAAGGGGAAGGGTGGTCGCTTTCGACAGAATCTCTCCGGCAAGCGTGTCGACTTCTCAGGCCGTACTGTCATCGGTCCAGATCCCAACTTGAGCATTGACGAAGTCGCCGTACCAGAACGGGTGGCGAAGAACCTCACATATCCAGAAAAGACGACTAGATACAACATCGAAAAGCTCAGAAAGCTCATTCGAAATGGTGCCAATAAATACCCCGGTGCAAACTATATCATAAAAGATAATGGTCCAAACAAAGAAGCGTTCAAGATTTCACTCTTGGCATTGACGCGCAACGACAGGCGCGGTGAACGACTCCAGAGGCCTGCAGAGCAGCTCAAAATTGGAGACGTTGTTGAACGACACATTGAGGACGGTGATATCGTGCTGTTCAACCGACAGCCGTCCTTGCACAAGCTGAGTATTCTCAGTCATCGAGCCAAGATCCGCCCCTGGAGAACATTCCGACTCAACGAGTGTGTGTGCAATCCCTACAATGCTGATTTTGACGGCGACGAGATGAATTTGCACGTACCACAGACCGAGGAAGCGCGTACCGAAGCGACAGAACTCATGGGTGTCAAGTACAATCTGGCCACGCCGAAGAACGGAACTCCCATCATTGCTGCCATCCAGGATTTCATCACTGCTGCTTATCTTCTGAGTGGCAAGAACAACTTTTTCGACCGACGTTCGTTCTGCCAAATCGTCAACTACATGTTCAACGGCGACGCAGCGTATGATCCGGACACGGGCGAGATGCATCCTATTGAGATACCACCGCCGGTGATTTGGAAACCTCAGGCACTCTGGACAGGAAAGCAGGTCTTCAACCTTTTGATGCGACCCAATAAGAAGTGCAGGGTACTAGTCAACCTTGAAGCCGCATGCAAGCAATTCAAGAATACCCCTGGCCAAGCTCCAGACCTGAATGAGAACGATGCTTATCTCGTCATCCGAAATTCAGAAGTCATGTGTGGTGTGATGGACAAGGCGACTGTTGGTGATGGAAAGAAAGACTCCATCTTCTATGTTATGATGCGAGATTTCGGCCCTGACCATGCGGTTCAGGGAATGAACAGGCTTTCCAAACTTTCTGCACGTTGGCTGACCAACAACGGCTTCTCTCTTGGTATCAGCGATGTCACGCCTGGAGACATGCTCAACCAGAAGAAGCAGGCTTTGGTGCAAGAAGCATATGCCAAGTGCGACAAGTTGATCAAGGACTTCAAAGAGGGAAAGCTGCAGCGCGATGCAGGATGCGACGAAGAACAGACAATGGAGAACAGGATCGGTGGTATCTTGTCGGGTGTCCGTCAAGCAGCTGGTGACATCTGTTTCGAAGAGCTTAGCAGATGGAACTCCCCACTTCTCATGGCCAAATGTGGTTCCAAGGGTTCGAACATCAACGTCTCGCAGATGGTTGCTTCCGTCGGACAGCAGATGATTGGTGGTGCGCGTGTCGCTGATGGTTTCCATCACCGAACGCTTCCTCATTTCCCGAAGGCGGCGCGTCAGCCAGCGTCGAAGGGTTTCGTCAGTAACAGTTTCTTTTCGGGTCTGACGCCATCCGAGTTCATCTTTCACGCCATGAGTGGTCGTGAAGGTTTGGTCGACACAGCTGTCAAGACTGCAGAAACTGGCTACATGAGTAGACGTCTGATGAAGTCGCTGGAAGATCTCTCGGCACAGTACGACGACACAGTACGCAACTCCTCAGGCACTGTCGTGCAGTTTCAGTACGGCGACGACAACTTGGATCCCGTCGATATGGAGGGCAAGGCAAAACCTGTGCACTTCGACCGCACTTTCTCGCACTCCGTCACATCTACCTGGGATAATGAGGAGCCTAGTCTGACTCCAGACCAAGTACGTGTCCACACAGAAACCGTGCTAGACGTTGAGCGCGAGAAGTATCCACGATTCAAGCTCGATGGCATCACACAACTGCCCTACCGTGACAACAGCGACAGCGGTATCGACCAGAAGGAGTCTATGCGAGATTTCCTCGACACAGTCCAAGACTACATCTTTAAGAAGGCGCAGAAACTTGAGACAACGCTGGTATACTTGGGCATCTCGAAGCCTAACACTCAGAAGAAGTTGTCACAGGCTGATGCGGAAAAGTACGGCCTCGCAGATGGCATCGCTAAACTATCTCAGAGCGCCCTCGATACTTTTATCAATCTCTGCCTGACAAAGTACCACCGCTCGCGGGTCCAGCCTGGTCACGCCGTAGGTGCCATTGGTGCGCAATCTATCGGTGAGCCCGGTACACAAATGACGCTGAAGACTTTCCATTTCGCTGGTGTCGCCGGCATGTCCATCACGCAGGGTGTCCCGCGTATCAAGGAGATTATCAACGCATCGTCCACAATCTCCACCCCCGTCATCGCCTGCGAGCTCTCCAACAAAATCTCCGAGTCCGCGGCCCGCATCGTAAAAGCGCGTGTCGAGAAGACCTATCTCCGCGACATCATCTCCTACGTCGAAGATGTGTGGCACCCTAACGGTGCGTACATCGCTATGCGCATCGACTGGGACACGGTCAACAACCTCTTCATCGACGTGCAGCCCCACGAAATCATCGCGGCTATCAACAAGCACAAAGCCCTCAAATGGGGCAAAGCAGGAACAAACATCCGCATCTCCTCATCCCTCATCCGCGTCGAAGTCGCAGACCCCAGCGCCGCCAAAAAACGCCCCACGAAAACCCCCCGCAACCACAAGGAATTCTTCGAGCGCGTCCAGCAAGTCAAAGCCCTCATCCCCGACGTGGTCATAAAAGGCTACGCCGACTGCCACCGCGCAATCATTAAGAAGGAATCCGCTCCAAACGCCCAGGGCCACTACGAATGCCAGCTCCTCGTCGAAGGCTACGGGCTCCGCGACTGCCTCACAACACCAGGTATACAGCCCTACACCACAAAATCAAACCACGTCATGGAAGTCCGCGACGTCCTCGGCATCGAAGCAGCCCGCGCAACTATCGTGCGTGAAATAGGCACCGTCATGGGGAACATGGACATCGACCCGCGGCACATGCAGCTGCTCGCCGACGTCATGACGTTTAAAGGCGACGTGTATGGGATTACGCGCTTCGGCCTGCAGAAGACGCGCGACTCGGTGCTGCAGCTTGCTAGCTTTGAGAAGACGCCGGATCATCTGTTTGAGGCCGCTGCGAGGGGTAAGACGGATACGATTGATGGTGTTAGCGAGTGTATTATTATGGGCCAGAGTGTTAAGTTGGGGACGGGCGCGTTTCAGGTTGTGAGGCCGTTGTATCTTGGGGGTGGGGATGTGGGGAGGAAGGAGACGTTGTTTGAGGATGGGTGGGAGGCGTTGTAGGGGGGTGGATGGATATCAGGATATCAGCGTGGTTATGGAGCAATCGAGATATGAATCGATTTTAGTATCATGTTTTAAATTCAATCTGTAATCTCACAGTTCGGCATGGACAAGTAGGTCGATAAGTGAAGTGAAAGTCATTTGATTCTACCTATTACATCGCCCCATTCCCACCCACTACCGCATTCACATCACATCCACATCCATTACCACCTCCATCACCGCCGGCCACCTACCATCCACCCACCCATCACCCACACACGCACACAAAAGGCAAGCAGTCAAAAAAAACAGGTGGGGGGAAGTGGTATAGATCAAAGCCAAGCGGAACCAAAACCACGCAACTCCGTCGAGAGGAGAAAGATATAAAACAAGTAATAGAAAAAGAAAAACCACGCACACACACGCACGAAAAAAACAATCAATCTGGGGGGGTGAACGCGCGGATATCAAAACACACCAACTGCTGCACTCTTCACTCTTCATTCATCCATCCATCTCTCACACCACTCCATTCCATACTAAGCAGGAGAAACATGAGTTTGCTTCGCTTAGTTCTTGTTGAACTTGTCCTTGATCTTGCCGAAGAATGACCGCCTCTTGTTCTTCTTCTTGTCGTCGGTACCAGACGCGATGCTCTGGCTGCCCGGGGTGCCTCGGGGGCTGACATCAGAGTCTTTCCTCATGTCTGACCTGGGAGCGTCGAGAGAAGCGTTAGTGGCACGGGGGACGGGGGTGGTGTCTAGGCCCGTGGTCACTACCGGCTCTGTCTGCTCGGGGGTAGCTGGCTTCTTTCCGTTGAAGTCGACGCTGGTGGTGGGCTCAATGCGCTGTGCGGTTTCCGGCTGAGCGGGCGCAGACGCGGGAGCATTGAGACCGCTGTCATCCGAGGTGGTCTCCGTGCCTGTGGTAGCTACCGGCTTCGTCTCCTCGGGAATAGTCACCGTCTTTGAGTTCAAGTCGTCACTGGCGGTAGGTTGGATGAACGGAATAGGCGCAGATGCAGGGGCGTCGAGGACGCTAAGATCACTGGTAAACTCCAGGGGCTTGGTGGGGTCGGAGTAGAGGGCAGCGGTTGGGCTGGTAGGGTTGGCGTATGGGGAAACGGCTCTGATGGTGCTGGCGGGGTCCGAGTGGGAGGCAGAGCTTGTGCTAGGAGTCGCAATGGTTGGAGCTGATTCACCAGATGAGGTGACTTTCTTGACTTCTTGGAGAAGCTCATTCTCCACACTCTTCTTCTCGCTGACAGCCTCGGCGTTTGCGGCAGCCTCAGGGTCCACATGGGCTTCCTTTTGGCTCTCGGCTACGACCTCAGGCACATCGCGGGCGACACCCATGTTGTTCTCGGCAGGCACATCGCGGGCAACATCCACGCTCTCCTCGGCAGGCACGTCGCGGGCGACATCCACGCTCTTCTCGGCAGGAGCTGCGGCAGGGGTGGAGCCGAAGGCTGAGCCAAAGACTGAGCCCAAACCTGCGCTGATACCTGCGACCAAACCTGCGCCGGGGATGTTTGATGGTTTGATGGAAGGTGCTGACTCTCCGCTCTCGGTCGTCTTGGGAACCTCACTGAGGAGCTGAGACTCGAGAGCCTTCTTCTCATAGACAGCCTCGGGGTTGGCAGCTGCTTCGGGGCCAACATGAGCCTCCTTCTGGCTTTCGGAAACGATGGCAGGCACAGCGATGACGGGAGCTGACTCGCCTGTCTCGTTTGCCTTGGGAATCTCCCTAAGAAGCTCAGACTCAAAAGCCTTCTTCTCTGCGACAGCCTCCACGTTGGCAGCCGCCTCAGGGCTAGCATGAGCTTCTCTCAGGCTCTCGGACACAATTTCAGGGACAGCGACGGCAGGGGCTGATTCACCGTGGTGGTTTGTCTTGGGAACCTGGCTGAGCAACTCTTGCTCGAACTGACCCTTCTCTGCGACGGCTTCGGGGTTGAGTGATGCTTCAGGGCTGGCGTGAGCCTCCCTCTGGCTTTCAGAGACGATCGCAGGAACGCCCTCCGAGATGGGCGAAGAGGTTGAATCATTCAATCCAACAGCATGAGCAGCCTTGTCTTTGGCCAGGTACGCGTTGTCAGTAGCTGAACCTGAATTGTTCAACCCGGCTGCATCAACAGCCTTATCCTTGGCAAGAAAAGCATTGTCAGTGGCAGAACGCGAACTGTCCAATCCGACAGACTCGACGGCCTTGTCCTTGGCGAGGTAGGCGTTGTCAGCAGCTGAAGCCGACTTGTCCAGTCCAACGGACTCAACAGCCTTGTCCTTTGCAAGGTATGCATTCTCAGTTGCGACATTGGCAGCTGAAACGGTCTGGTCCTTGGCGGCAACAGCAGATTCAACAGCCTTGTCCTTTGCAAGGTACGCATTCTCGGTTGCGACGTTAGCAGCTGCGGCGGTCTGGTCCTTGGCGGCAACAGCATTGGCGAGGGTCTTGTCCTTTGCAAGGTACGCGTTGTCAGTCGCGGTGGCCGAGCTGTCCAAACCCACAGCATCGACAGCCCTGTCCTTTGCAGCATAGGCGACATCGCCTACAGGAGCGGACTTGTCCAATCCAACGGCTTGAGCGGCCTGTTCTTTGGCAGTGTAGGCAGCAGAGGCGAAAAGACCAGCGCCAGCGATGATGCCGGCTGTGGCAGCACCAGCGACAGTAGAGGCAGCGGTGCCAATGTTGGAAGTAACATTGTTGACGGTAGCGGTCGTGTCATCGGCGGTGACTGGTGCCTGGGGAACCTTCTCCAGAAGCTCTTGCTCAACATCCTTCTTCTCAAGAACGGCTTCCGTGTTGGCAGTCGCCTCGGGCGCAAAACCAGCTTCCTTCCGGCTCTCCGCGACAGCCTCGGGCACAGCCCTGGGCTCCTTGGGAACCTGACCAGCGAGGGCAGCAGTGGAGCTCAAGGGAGCAGCAGACTGGACAGTGACGCCAGTGTCCTTCTCGAGAACAGCGTCTGCGCCCATGGGGAGGCTCGACTCGGGGACCAAGCCTTCTGAGACAGGGGGCAGGCCGAACATGCCGCCCTTGGCCTCCCTCTCGGCTGTGGGGGTCAGACCAAGCTCAAGCTGAGGAGGGCGAGAGTCGGCCTTGTTGTAGGAATCGAAGTCAGTGTTGACGGTGCTCTGAACAGTGTGTGGGGTCAGAGTGCTCGCGTCTGGCACCTTCTCACCTGGCGCGAGGTGGATGGGGTTGCCAAGGCCTGTACTCGCCGGAATGGGCGCAACGCTGACCTTCTCCTCCATCTCGGGCTCCTCGCGGTGCCTGACAGTGGAGTTCACTGTGTTGTCGGTGAAGGTGCTCGGGTGAGGGACAGGCTCACCAGGCGCAAGCTGGATTGGGTTCCCAAGACCCGAGGTGGCAGGGAGAGGGCTGATGTCAAAGGTCCTGGGCGCAGTACCAGGCGTCTCGGCGGCGGGAGTCATGGGGAAGGCACCAGGAATAGAGTCCTGGGACCTGGCCTTATCCAAGTTGGACATCCTCTCACTCTCTCTTGGAACAGCTCCTGCAAGTGCGGCGGTGCTGGACTGGGGAGCTGTGGATTGGAAGGCGTTGACGGGCTCGTCAACAATGTCGTGAGGCTGGAGGACGTTGTTGACCATGCCCTGGCCGTCGTCTTCTTTAGCGGCCGTGTCGTTGGTACACCACGCGCCGTTGACGACAAACTGCAAACTCGCGTCAGCAAGCTTTGCGCATGCGGCTGCCCTGGGCGCAAACCAGGCGGCAGTAGGGTGACAAACATACCTTGTACTGTGTCTTGACCTTGGGCAGGCTGACCGTCTTCTTGAAGATGCCGTCTTCCTTCTCCAGCTTGATCGTCTTTCTCCAGTCGTCAAAGGTGCCCGTTACGTAGACGTCGTGCGCAGCGTGTTCCCTGCAACAGGTGAGCGGGGGGGGGGAAGGAGCCGACGGGGCAAGGTGCTTACCATGTGAAGGTGTATTTGCCCATGTTTGGCAGATGAATGGACGTGCGATTAAGGATTGCGAACGTGTAGATTAAAGAGGAGAGAGCAGTCTTGGTCACAACGTGTGCGAGGTGGTTGGGACAGTCGGGGCCTGGCAAGCTACAGATGGAGCTAGAGAAAGCGGCGCCGCGTCGGACAGAAGAATGACAAAGGCTGCGGCTGTTTTGGGCGGCGATCAGAGGGACACTGTGGCACGCAACAGGTATACAAGCGCGAGATTTGGGCGCAGAACAGTGTCAGAGTCTAAGAAGATGCAGAATCGGCGTGGCTGGACTTGTCTTGCGATTCAGGGCAGCAAGATTATGGGCCTCTTTCTAGCGGCACCTAGCCCTTGGCGCGCCGTCGACGAAACGATGAGCGCATGTGCAATGACGGAAGGGCGCCGAGTTCCCTGTTCAATTGCAGGTCCACAGGCAATGTCCAGGGCCAGCGGACATTCTCTTGTCAGGTCGCGCGCCCGTGTCAATTCGTGCGCCGTTACCCGCCCCTCCAGCTCGCAGCTACCTCGCACGCCACGCGATGTACGTCATCGCGGAGGGAGGGTGCAGGCGGCAGAAGGAACGTGTTGGGCACACGCACACGCACACCCACCAGCAGCTGTTCAAGAACAGTTGGCTCGGAGCCGTTCGCGTCTCGTTGATGGCGCGCCTCTCGCCAGTCCGTATCACGTTTGTCCGCCTCCTCACCGCCAGTTGGGGCGTTCGCACAGGTTGCGGCGTTTACAGTGCATGGTACTGGCCAATGGCTCTGTTGATTCGGTGGATTGACCCGTTGACCCATCACCCGTTGACTGGCAATTGTGGTGTTTTGGTCGTGTTTCGTCGACGCAGTCTCTGCAGCTGCATCAACTCTACCAAACCACGATAGCACCTGCCAAGGCTTGCAACGAGTGCTGTGATGGCTCAAACATGCAGCAAACGGGCCTTGTCACTGCTCACTGCAAACCCACATAAACACACCTCTATAAACACGCCTCTGTGCAGGCTGTTGTCGAGCACAAGGTCCAGCTCTCCTGCAGGTCAAGGGCTCCACCGTTCAAGCTTTGAGCGACAGGCAGTCCGTGGCGCGGTGCGGGAGCTATGACGAATCTCGCTTTGGCATCTCGTGAACCGCATGCTGTCTCTCACCACGGCCAGCCAGAGCTTCGTAGCAGCTACTTGCTCTGGCACCAAAAGCAATTCCAGCTGCCATGGCAGATGCGCGGTGGAACAAGAGGCACGCAGCTGCATGAGGCCCCCATTCAGATTCAAGCTGGCTGCCGTCTGATGGATGCCTACAGCAGCTGCAGCAGCTACAGCAGCGCGTCGTCTTCTAGACGTTTTCTGGAAAAGATAGGCCGCCCCAGAAAGCGTGCCATTGCAGTGCAGTGCCCGCCCGTGATGGTGCCTGGCGCGCCTCAGCTCAGCTCCCCTCCCACGCTCCGTGCCCAAGCTGCTCCCACCCGGCGCGTCATCGCTCCTCTCCAATCTCCAACCTCACCCCCAACTCCACGTGCCATTGCGTAATCCGCCTCGCTCGCCGACTGCCGTGCTCTGCTCTCTCCTGCGTGTCCTGCGTGTCCTGCACCTCCCCAGCACCTCGCCCGTCACCCCTGCACGCTCGCGATCCCGACGACGTCAACCCCTCACCAGCACGCCGCTCCCAATGTCCCTCCCCTCGGACTACTCCAATGAGATATCCGCCCTCGACCGCGAAATCGTAAAGCACAAGCCGCAGGACATCCTGCAGTTCTGCGCAAACTTCTTCAACCGCCGCCTCGAGTCGCAGCGCACCGAGGCCCTCCTCTCGCAGCACCACGCGAGCCCCCAGGGCCGTGCCGAGAGCAGCTTCCCCGGCAACAACCCCTTCGGCACCTCGCCCAGCAGCGCCGGCTTCGCAAAGGGCCCCATGCAGCGCCTCGAGGAAGAGGAGGAGAGCGACGTCATGACGTCGCCCACGGCCTCGTCGTTTGCCGCCGTCGACTTTGGCGGCGGCAGCAAGCGCAGCAACGGCCCCGGCGAGGGCTCGTTTGGCAACTTTGGCGGCTTCGGCAGCTCGCTGGGCTCCGTCTCGCAGATGCCGCCCCTCACCGGCGACGGCCAGAACTTCCCCACCAACTACAACACCAACAGGCGCACCTCCGTCTCGGCCGAGTCGCTCAACCCCGCCTCCAGCGCCGCCGAGAACTTCACCCCGCCCTACCACCACAAGACGCCCGAGCAGCAGCAGCGCCTCAAGTCGGCCGTCTCGGGCAACTTCCTCTTCTCGCACCTCGACGACGACCAGTCGGCCCTCGTCCTCGGCGCCCTGCACGAGAAGCCAATACCCACAAAGGACATCAAGGTCATCTCCCAGGGCGACGTGGGCGACTACTTCTACGTCGTCGAAAAGGGCGCCTTTGACATCTACGTCCACAAGTCGGGCAAGCTGGAGGCAGGGCCCGACGGCCTGGGCGCAAAAGTAGGCAACGTCGGGCCAGGGGGCTCCTTTGGCGAGCTGGCCCTCATGTACAACGCCCCGCGCGCCGCCACCGTCATGTCGTCCGAGTCGTCGACGCTGTGGGCCCTGGATCGCATCACCTTCCGCCGCATCCTGATGGACAGCGCCTTCCAGCGACGCCGCATGTACGAGGGCTTCCTGGAAGAAGTGCCTCTCCTCTCCACGCTAACCCCCTACGAGCGCTCCAAGATCGCCGACGCGCTCGAGACGAAAAAGTACCCCCCAGGCACAACCATCATCCAGGAAGGCGACGTGGGCGAGTCCTTCTTCATCCTCGAATCAGGCGACGCACAGGTCTACAAGCGCGGCCTCGACGGCCCCGTCAAGCAGTACTCAAAGGGCGACTACTTCGGCGAGCTGGCCCTGCTCAACGACGCACCCCGCGCTGCCTCCGTCGTCACAACAACTGAAGTCAAGGTCGCGACCCTCGGCAAAAACGGCTTCCAGCGCCTCCTCGGCCCCGTCGAGGGCATCATGCGCAGGAACGACCCCACAAAGGAGTCGGAGAGCGTTGATCCTCTGTCCAGGCCTGCGTAGCTCGCAGGTCCTCCGTCGTCGTCGCTTTCGTCGTCGTCGCTCCCAAAGAGACCGGCTTCGGTCGAGTTTGCGAGTGCGAAACGCGCGAAACATGTCGACGAGGACTTGCTGGATTAGCTGAATACTGCTGCTCACTGAGATATCAGAATAAGAACCCGGGATACTTGTTTTTCCCCACCTACTCCCCCTCCCCCCCTCCACTTCCCCCTCCTACTCTTACTCTTCCTCTTCCAGGGCATCCCTTTCCCCCTCCCCCCTTTTTCGGAGCTTGTATGCCTATTCTTCCTACTGTCATGTCGGTTAGTCAGTGTCACTCAACGAACCGAATCGAATCGAATCGAATCAACCGGAGGATTAGAATGAAACGGCATGAAATGGAATGGGATGGATCGAAATGGGAATGAAGTCTTTTTATTGCGCTAGTAATGGGAAGGGAGGGGAACCCCAATCGAATTACCTACTACTATGATTACTGTACTGTGTTTTACTTTACCTGTATCTACCAATACTCCCCACTTGCGTTACTGGCTTGTTTGCGTGTGAAATTCATAACTTGGACTGTATATGTGCTGTGTCTTGTCTGTCTTGTTGTGATGATCGGGACTGTGCTGGATGGGAAGTATAAGATGCGGCGGGATGTCACAGGTAGTCAGTCGGTCGACAATGAATGTAAATAGGACCGTGTTTGATTGACGCAAACTTTCGCTGTGGTTGCGAATATCCTATCCTGTCTGGCCTTCATCGATCAATACCCAGTTTGAACTCAGCGATCCATATTCTAGGCGAGCAGCCCGATCATTCCACATGACATCTCAATCACCGGGGTAACGTATCGACATGTTCCAGCACCATCCACTCTAATATAATACCCCAGACACATCACACCCAAGCGTCCAAAACATGGGCACACGAGGTCCACCGTATCAACATATCTCAGTCCAACCCATCACCTAGTCCAACTCACGTGGAAACATGCCGAGAAGATAGTCCCTGTTCTGCACTCCCAGAACCGCACTCTTTTCACGTGTGAAGTTGTGTTGAAGTTGATTAGCCTGAAGAGAGCTGATACGCTGCGTGCCGCGGAGATAGCGAATAAGGCAATTGACATACTTCCGCTCTGCTCGTCCGCGGCTGGCGCGAATAGCCTGTATATTAGATACCGCAAATTGTGCTGCAGCGTACGCAGTCGCCTCTTGTGTGTATAGCCGTTGCAGATCCGACTTTGCCTGGCGCAATGCTTGGGCTGGGACGTGAAGGAACATGGGCACATTCCGTACAGTGACGCGTGAGTTCGCACCGACGTGAACTGTCAACGAAGAGCGCGAAAATTGGAACTCGTAAGGAGCAGACTGCCTAGGACGGGATGGCGGTCGTCGGTGAGTGGCCTGGTGGGTCAGGGCTCCATCCATAATCATATCAACGATGTCGACACCTACAACATGTCAGAAACCTATTTGTACTCCATGTACACGAGTACTCTGCATTCAGAGCTTACCTGTGGGACGTTGACGCTCATTCTCCAGGCGAGCCTTAGCCTTCGAATATAGGTTGTCAACGTCGATTCGGCGATGGCCTTTGCGAACAAGCGCCAGCCTAAACTCAGACATGAGCACATCAAGGACATCTGTGAAAGGTTAGCATAACAAGAACTCCAGTGTAACAGAACTGAAAGAAAGACAAGGCGCTAATCGAATCCATGGTATGTTTCAAGCATTTCGTCTTCTCTGTCACCGCAGTGCTGCATCCGCTTCGTAGTGACTCACCGACACCCTGGTCCTTCGCTCTAGCCATGCGAAATCGCACAACTCTATGACTCCTCCAACTACGCATCACGCTGGGCTCAGGTTCTGCGTAGTCTGCCGGTCTTGAAACATGGCCGAGGACAACGTGCTCAGGTAAATATGTATGAGCCATGTAATCCTGCTGATAGGAATACTCATACCACTTGTATGCATCTACTGGGTTGCCCCAAATCGCATAACAAACTAGCTTACGCATGGCCAAAGGAACAGGCCGACAAAAGCTGAGCTCCTCGATGCCGTAGAAGACCTCTTGGTCGATCCTCTGAATGATGTCGTGACGATATTCGAATCCGTCAAAGAAGTCGACGAGCTCGGGGTCATGCTTCGTGCTCAGTGGCTGGTAAGGAAAACTCATAGGTAATTGAAAAGGCTCCGTCTTGATAACGCCATCAATGTATCTATAGACAGTCAGCCTAGCTCTGTCTTGTTCGTGATCGTGCCATCCATCTTGAAGCAGCTGAAAACGCCTCAGTGGTAATGCAACTGAGCAGGAATTTGCTCGCCCTGGAGCTGCCAGATGAAAGTGGTTCTGGCAGCAGAACTAGTATCAAACAACCCAATCAGAGCAACTGGCTGTTATATGTTCCACAGCTAGCAGTTGGCAGACAACAAAAGTTCCAACCTACCGAGCTGGTCGGGTATATCCCCTGAGGAAGTACTTGTACGCGTCAAGCGGAGAAAGTGTGTTGAGCTGGTGGAGGGTACTGCGACCTTCCGTACACGAAGCAATCTCGGGGTGACCATACAGGAATTGATCGATCTCCGCAAGAAAGCCTGTTGAGATCATGCGGCTCTCCAAGTACACGAGAAGTTCCGCGTCAGCACCATTGGCGAAAGAGCGAAACTGCCGGTAATTAGTAGTTCGACCTTACTGGTTGGAGAAGGCTTACCTGAAGGCCACTACCATGTCGACTGTTGTTCCAAGGCAGAGGTTGACTACTGTTATTGAAGTCGAATTGGTTTTCGACTGGCCTACCTGCCGATACCGCCGCGCTGTCGCGACGGTATGCGTGTTGGTGCTCATCTGACAGACGAGTTGCCGGTGGTGGGACTTCGTATACATCGCTTTCCGAGTCATCCTCAATGGTGATAGGGGTGAGTCTGCCGCCTGGGGCACGCGCTCCAGCACGAGTGGCACTTGTATCCACCCACCACCTGTTGTGGTGTGAGTCACCCCCGTGATGAGGGAGTTCCTCTCCGCCCCGAAGGCGAGGCATGTTGTCACCGTTCGGCTGATACGCGTCCGAGGTCACCTCGCCCTCGTCGAGATCAAGCGAATTCCTACTATCAGTGGACATCTGGTTGCCTGTTGACTTACCTGTGGCTTTGTGAAGGACGCGGTAGGTGAGTTTTGTGAGAGGTGTTTGTGGTGAGCTCTATGTGAAGTGAAAAAGGGAGATTACATGTCTTGGCGACCGGTGGTGGACGAGGAGGAGGAAGGCACGCGTTCGTAAACGTCCCGTTAAGGTGAAAATGGTATCAGGCGCGATGTCATTTGCGAGTGGATCTAAACATCGTCCTCATTGTTCTAAGGGGTGCTTGTAATGTGTGTAGAGCTATGCATCTCCAAGGCATCTTGAAGACATCTAGACTGTCTACTCGGCGAGTGACTGAGCGATGAGAAGAGATGATTTTTGAACCGTAGTCACACCAAGTGACAACCATTAATCCCAAGCGGTAGTAATGGAGAGCAAAACATAGGGAAGTATTGAGCTGGGTGGTGCCATGTGAAGCTAGTCGAGTCCACATACCTTGAAACGAGAGATCAAGTCGGGTCATGGGAGGCAACGCAAATACATCCGAACAAACCAGCTACAGCCTCGAAAGACAACGTAACATGCATCTATGGCCATGCTAGCTTGTGTTGTTGTAACAATTCCAACAAGTTAACGAAGCTGCCACAGCAACGTGAAAAATCGGAGTTCGTCTGTAACATCTTGATGATAGATGTGGAGGATGCTGAAAGAACCTATACCATTTTTATTCTGCAGAAGACAATCCAGAACAACGTGGCAACACATAATTCACGAAACGGAAAATTTTGAGAATCAGAATTGGATATACGAACCGGTCCCTAACGCCAACCCAAGCCGCTCCGTTGTCAAAGCAAACATGCTACAACTGTACAGATTATTACACTCAGAATACACTGATGTAGTTACCAATGCGCTCCTTCTGGTTCTGCGCAATGCACTCGGCTATCCAGGTGATGTTTCGGATCTCCTGTCGTGATGTATTAGTATGACACTTTATCGAGAAGAAAACAGTGGGCACGAACCTGCTCTCGTAGCTTGACCCACGCGTATACCACGGCATGCGTGAACTGTCGAGTGAAGGCGATCTTTGATATCTCCATCTCTTTCTGGTAGAATAGATCTTCCAAGCTCCTGTTCTCTCCGCCAACACCTCCAGCCATGTTACCGACACCGCCACCACCTCCCTGGCTGAGGCCGGTCTGGTCAAAGAACGTTTTGTAGTCTGAGACACCCTCGACGGCAATGCGGACGCCCTCGACATCGTCTGCTTTGGATAGCATGTATGTACCCTCTGGGTACAGTCTGCCAAAGGTCGGGTACAACTTCTTCCTGTCTGCCTTGGAGAGCTCCGTACCAAAAGAGTTGAGGGTGATGTTGATACTTCTACGATCCGCCTCGAACTCCAGAACCTCATTCATGACATCTGCTGTCGGCGTCCCCGCAATCTCCGGAGTAGCGTTGACCCAGCTGTAGAAATCCTCCAAGTAGTTTTTGTAAAGAGTATTGCGGATAATCTCGATGTTCAGCTCGTCAAGATCCTGGTGGCTGAGCGAACCCTTGAAGTAGGGCGCAAGGGGTGTCTCGATCAACACGGAATTGTACAACTCCTCAATGTTGGTCGCCACGCAGAGCACCGGCATCGTCTCGAACCAACCAAGAGGATGGCACCTCTCCAACAGCTCTCGGGTATCCCTCTCGTGCAGAGTTCCCGTAATCAGCAGCGCGACGTTATCGATCATGTATCCATACGTGAGGTATTCCATGAACTTGGACAGGGAGCCAGTCGCGTTGGCCTGGATGTAGCGGAACTCCGCCACGAGCTTGTCGGTGGTTTTGGCGGCGAGCGCAGACGTCGAGGGATTAGGAGGCAAAGACGCGAGGAAGTCGCCATACGCCGGCGAGAGCTGAAGCTTGACATCTGCAGCACCGCATCAGATTTAGTCGAGATGAGTCGTTGCGCAAGACGTACCATCGATGTTCTCGCATTGCGTTAGATTGCTGTAGTTCTGGCTGGTGAGCAGTGCATTGCGGTAGCCGCGCACAATGCCCTCGATGTAGCTATTGGCATCAGTTACACGATCAGAAGGAGCGACCAGACGCGATAGCATACCCGTATTTGACGTTGTAGAAGAGACCCTCCATGATGCTTTGATGCAGACTGATGTAGATACCTGCAAGCAGGAAGCTCAAGCAGGGCGCGGCGTCATGTGTTGGCGCTGAGTAAGCCAGATTTGTGGATCTGTTTTCGTGAACGAAGCACGGACACATCGGCAGATTGGCGTGCCGACACTTGACATTATATCCAGCTGACTGACATCGTCGCAACTTCCTTTTCTCCATCACGCTCCATAGCAACGCAGACACCCCAGCAACCACAACGCAACAGCATCTGCTACTCACACACAAGTCGCGTTCGTATTGGCAATTGCGCAGCTCTTGCTCTGTAAGTCACTGACATCCCCAACGCATCGCTCCTGCTAATCCCAGAGGCAGCGCAACTATGGTGGTCACACGCCGCAACGCGAACACTGAGCCCGCGCAGCTTGCTGCATTGGAGCGAAGTGCTGGCATCACAATTTCCCCTCCAGAGCTGCCTCCTGTGACACGCCAGAAGCGCGCCCGGCGCGCGGCTGCCTCAGTCCAGGTCGAGTCCAAGACGCGCTCAGTGACTGAGATCGCGAACACATCGCGCGAGGTCACAACCACGTCACGCGCAGCTACTTTCACCACGCCAACCACCGCTACAACAACAACAACTACGTCACGCGTCAGTGTCTCTGCACCTACCGCCGCCATCCCCACAACTGGCACGAAGCGACGCACGCGATCGACAAAGGCAGAGACAGCCTCGCCTCTCCGTGCACTGCCGCAGCAGCCTGAGCGCGTTACTCAGAAACGCAAGCGCGTCACCAAGAAGACCGCTAGCGAGACACCAGAGCCTGAGCCAACACCAGTGCGCCACCAGCCTGAGCCTGTGCAAGATGAGAACAGTGATGACCAGGGCATCTTCTTCTCAAAGAGTGAGCCCAAAATTTCTTCTCCTTCCTCGAGTTTACTAAAAGTCATTTCTGAAGATGAGGTCGATACTCTTCGCAACGAGAATTTCCAACTCCGAGCACGTATCGATCAACTTGAAGACGACAATGCTCGCCTCATCACCGAAAACGATTCTCTTCAACTGAAACTCATGACCGGTCAGGTCTCAGCTAACCACCGCTACTCAGACTTTGACATGTATGGCGCCATGGAGCCTATCACTCCTCCGCCATCACAACCAGAATTTGTTCAGGGTAGTGAATCTGCATTGGCGCTGCTTCACAAAGTGGAGGAAGCGGCCAGACAGTCTGCGGACGTCGTCGTGCCATCGCCACCATCAACCCAGGGTAAGTTGTCCTGGATGTCTTCGCGTCCCTATCTCTCTGATGATCAACGACCGTATCGCACACTCAGGACTCTGGGCTGACATTTGCACAGAACGTGAAGAACAACCCATCTCAGACACTCCCGAAGAATCCCAAGTCACGCCACAACCCATAAGCACACCTTCTGGTTTCTTCAGCCGGTCTTTCTCCGCACTCAAATCTACCTTTGGGTTCTCTTCATCAACTCCTCAACAACCATACTCACCCACGCCATCGCGAGCGCTGCCCCCACCCAACACGTTCACCGAGACTCTATCTGTTCCGCCAACGCCAGTGGGTGAGCGAGTGAAGACGCCATCTAAGAAGAAGAAGCGCAACCCAATGATTAAGGCGCTCACAAGAGGTGTCCAACCTGAAGAGATGGCCAAAGCAGAAAAGTGGGCTAGGCAAGTCGCTGCTGACCTCAAGAACGACTCTTCCTCCGGCGACAAGCGCAAGCGACTCGAAACACCTGTTCTCTACAAGGAGCTCAACTACTACCCCTCGTCGAAGCCCTGGGAGACCGGCTTTGGTGATCCGCTTGGCGACATGGACTTGGACGACGACGATGTCGTTCCCACCTGGGCTGTCTATGCTGACATGAAAGCGGAAGAGGAAGAGCATCGCGCGAAGAAACACAAGGCTTCCCACCAAGTGACAATCGAGGACGACGACATCGTCTCTTTGGACGAAGCGCATGCCGCCAACACGGGTGTGCCGTCGCCTCAGAAACTTATGGACACCCGTGGCCGCTCCGCTTCTCTTTCGGATTTCCATCCTCGCCGCTCTACCGAGCCGTCTCCCATGTTCAAGACTCCAGTTTCACATCAAGAGGGCGGAAACGTATTTGACGAACTTCGAGGTCTCGATGCCGCAGCTCAGGGTTACACGAATGATCTGGAATCACTTCAACGTGCTACCAAGACGGCTGTTCAGGATCCCGTTCACAAGCCAGTCCACAACCCCTCCCAGGGCTCATTCAGTGTCCCGGATTACGACTCCGACGAAGACGACACGACCATGAACAGCGAGACGCCTAACGCCGATGCTGAGCCAATCTGGACGCAGCCACCCCCTCCAGCTCCTGTTCCCGCCCATGCTCCTTTGCCTGGAGCGGCCGTTGAGCCACCCTCTTCCCCAACCACGTCGCAGCCTGTTGGCGAGATCGAGCGCCAGCGACAGAGGCTGATGAAGCACACTCCCGCAAAACCCAGCCGTCTTCGGGAGGCCACTTACCCCTCCCCAAGCCTCATGTCAGATGCGGGTAATGAGTCGATCATGGCGGCCACCCCCATTCAGGTTGTTGAACTCTTTGCCGGCATGCCAGGAGCGGAGCCACTTGATCTCGATGACGACATCTTGGAAGCTGCCGAGGCATTCGCAGCTACTGAAGAGTTCCAGAAGCAGCTTGCTGCTACCCGCTGGTCCAGCCCGATTCTCACCTACGAGTCCGATGAGGAGGATATGAGCTCCGAGTAAGGAGCAGTTTTCACGACTACAAATTGTTTGCATTGTTTTGGAGCCCAGGAAGTTCTAGTGTAGAATACTTGGTGCTTTTTTGGTTTTTTCTGCGGTACAAAAAGCGTTGTTTTTTTTGGGATACTTGGAGGATCTTTACGCTGCTGTGTCCGCCAACCCTAACCTTCATCGCGGCTTGAGGTGATCCCCATCGGTTGTAGCCGCCTGCAAGGGCTGGCTCCTGTAAGGTGAACCAATATAGCCAGGTGGAGGGGTGGGTTGGGGATGGGCGATGTCTTGTCCAGTCTGGGTTTATTTGTTTTTTGGCGTTTTGCATTGGGCGGTGGATGATGACTGATGACTCTGGCTCCTGATAGCTGTATACCCCCGGTCGGTCACTTGTTTTTGTAGTTTTACTGGGCAAAGATAGTCCTAATTGTTTGTAGCGTCCGTAGCGTAGCGAATTGATTGTCGTTACAAGTTGATGTGTTTTGATTGACTTCAATGTGCTGAATCAATTTTACTAGACTTTGAGCAATTGACTCCACACTCGTGATGGTGTGCTGACACCCTCCAGGGTAGGTTTCGAGGAGGCTGCTCGGTGTTGTTGAATATTGCCATGATAACCACCAAAAGATATAGAGAATCTCAAGGTAAAGCCCAGGCATATCTCGTAACATGCAGGCCTTCAGGCTCTTCATTTTGATATTTCTGTTACTTTCCTAAACATATATCACTAACTTCTTTCTCAGCAAGCGACACTTGTCTATCTCATAGACCACCCAACTCGTCTCCAGACGCGTATTCAAGTAATTTGGTGAGCATACTACGCAGCTGACTATTCACAGTACTTCTCTCGGGACTATCTCAGAACCAGCTAGGTACTACATTCTTGAACTCGGAGGTTCTAAGAAGCCGGCCTTGTCTGCATGTCGCTGTACATAGGCAGCACTTGCTCTCGCACCTTTGTTCGTCTTATTTTGCTACTTCTGAATATCTACACTTGCTCTATTATAAATTTTCCAGCTTCAACAGTACACTCTACTGCATATATCCAAATTCCTACACGAGGATGCTTTTTGTCAAAGGGAAATGGACGTGTGAAGTCCGGATAGAGAACGAGACTAGCATGAAAAGCGCTTGAAGCGGGTGGTGGGGCGCACGTGAACAGCTGCCTTACCTGCTCTGCTCGACGCCTCTTTCTATAAAATCACCTGCGCGACAAACCTTTAATCTTCAACGACAACGACATCGAAACCCCAGCTAAACCCCGGTTGTGTCAGACTCCAAATCCCAAACACACCACCGCCAATCCACACCTACACCCAATAAACCCAACAATCCAGCACAAACCCACCCACCATGGGCTCCGTAGTCCTCCCCCACCTCCGCACAGGCTGGCACGTCGACCAAGCGATCCTCTCGGAAGAAGACCGACTAGTCTGCATCCGCTTCGGTCGCGACTCCGACCCGGACTGCATGCGACAAGACGAAGTACTCTACAAGATCGCCGACCGCGTGAAGAACTTCGCCGCGCTATACGTATGCGATCTCGACGAGGTGCCGGACTTCAAGGCCATGTACGAGCTGTACGATCCGTGCACGGTCATGTTCTTCTTCCGCAATAAACACATGATGTGCGATTTTGGCACGGGGAATAATAATAAATTGAACTGGGTGCTGGAGGATAAACAGGAGTTGATTGATATTGTGGAGACTATTTATCGTGGGGCGAAGAAGGGGAGGGGGTTGGTGGTTAGTCCGAAGGATTATTCGACGAGGTATCGGTATTAGGGGGAGGGTGCGTTTGGGGGGATGGCAGTGGGATTTGGCGAATGGCGAGATTGGAGGTGGGGCTGGTTGGACTGCGATGGCCTGTTCTGGGGGGTTTTGAGGGATGTCTGGGACGAGTAACGACTCACAAACTGGTTTTTGGGAGATTATCCACTCAAGACACAGCAATGATATTTGATTCACATAGCAAGTACAGGCGGTCAACATGACAAATAACCATTTTCTAGCTAACTGGGGTATCATACTTTTCTCCCTCCAATCCCTTCTTCACAGACATACATATCCAATTTAACGCCATCCCCTCCCCCTCACAACCATCCTTCCCTACTAACCAACCACTCAATCCCCAGTATTAAGTTCCAGATCAATCTGCACCCCATTACTAATCGAGTAATCCGCCAACGTAAGCGTATCATGAAACGGCCGCTCCCCCTGCCTCTTCAACATAATCTCATGAATCGGGCGCCCAATCTTCGCCGCAACCATAGCTTTCAGCACCTTGACGGGGTCGCTGGGCAGGCAGGGGACCTGGGTCTTGGTGCCGAGGCGGTCGTTAATCGTTACGATGATCATGGCTTCGTTGGACACGGGTGCCGGCGCAGGCGCGGCTTTGGGCTTGGATTCGCGCGGTTTGCGCTCGCGGTCGCGGTCACGGTCGCGGTCGCGGTCTTCTCGGGGGCGGCGCTCGCGGTCTCGATCGTCGCGCCGCCTGTCGTCGCTTCGCCGGTCGTCGCGTCGCCGGTCGTCGGGCCGGTCTCGTGGAGCAAAGCGGTCGTCGCGGTCGCGCCTCTCGTATCCGCGGTCTCGGTCGTCGCGCCGTCTGTCGTCGTGGCTGCGGTCGTCACGCTTGTCGTTCTTCCATTTCAGGCCCGAGTAGTTCTTTGGTTTGCGCGGGGGGCTGCGGCGTGGGGAGCGGGAGCGAGAGCGCGCGCGGTCTGGCTTGGGGTCTGCTGCGCGGGCTGCTGGTGCGCTGTCTGGGGGCGGTGGGGACGGCATGGTGTGTTGACGCTGGTGGATGGGAAGATGACGATAGAGTGGGGGTTTGTATGTTAGACAGGCAGCGGCGGTGTTTGAGGCTGCTGTGGAGTTGTGTCGGAGGTGCTGTGCATGCCGCCTAAGAGGTGAAGGAGCTTGGACCTCGCTTCTTCCCGGTAGGGCTGAGCGCGTCATATTCCCTGTCTCGCAGCATCTACGCTCCATTCCACATTCCACATTCCACACACAAATCTACCATGATGATCCCGCGATAGCCACACCATGACGCTCCTGCAGCGCCTCACCTCCCCGCCCGCTCAAACCCTGCGCGTCCTCCAACCCACCCCCGCAACAATCTCCTACACCGTCTCAACGCGCCCACCACGCACCACCGTCCCGGCCCTCCTATCATGGACGCTCAACCTCCTGACCCGACTCCTTCTCGGCCTCTGCGCCCTATCCCTCCTCTGGACGAAACAGCGCCTGGCCGCCAACCACCCCGCCCCGCTCCCCGCCTGGCTCCTCAGCCCCAAAACGCGCACACGCGCCCTCGCCCTCCTCGCCACAACGCCCTGGCGCTACCTCGCCCCGCTCGCCCTGCTCGTCCTCGTGCTTGTCTGCCGCCGCCCGTATACAGAGGAGTCGCTCACGCTGCTGCGTGGCCTCGGCGTCCAGACGTCGACTACGTCGGCCACGTATTTGCAGACGCCTACCACGCGGTTTATTCCGTCGACGCAGATCCAGGATATCGTTATACATGAGGCGTTTAAGGGGTTTGAGATACGGTTTTACCTTGCGATTGTGGTGCAGGGGGAGCGGGATGTGGTGGTTGTGTTTCCGGGGTTGTTGCCGAGGAGGCGGGTGTTGGAGGAGGTGTGGAGGGGGTGTCGGGCG